ATCCCTTTACAAATGGGGTTCATACAGTTCCAGTCAAAAGTTTGGACACATTTTCTCATTGTGTCCAAACCTTTCACTGGTTTGTACATATTGCTAACATACTGTATATAAAAACAGGTCAAATACCTGTAATTAGATTCAGGAAAATCATTTCAAATTGTATCTAACTTTAACCATTCAACTAAATCTATGCTACAAACTCTTTCAAAATCAAAATCCCTTTCTTGGAGGAAAACAACGGACGCAGAATGCAATGACTTCCAGTTTCTAAGGCTTGATATCTATGGCAAAGCTTGAGTGAGCGACAACAAAACACAGGCAAAAACTAACACACTGGCACAGGACAAAGGGAGACGCAGACTATTAGTACACATGGTGGGCCATGGGGAAGAGGTGGACACAATTGAGAATCAGGGAAGACAATCAGACTGTTGACACATGAGGAGCAGTAAGTGACCTGAAACGAGAGGAGAGTTACTATTTCAAAATAAAACAGGAAATGACAAGACAAAAAGACCAGACAAAATAAAACAAACCCAAAAACTTCATCGCAGTGTGATACTTATTAACAGCATTTTGCCATTTTACATTAAAGTCAAATATTTCTCGTATTCAGTTTGGTTATAAAATGAGATATCAATACACAATGCCTCTATGATTGTTTGCGCTGTAGGGAATTTAAATATTTTGCTGAATTGTTTGAACGAATAATATGGAACCAGACAGCTGATGGTTTACTTAAATTAGCATCACTAGAAATATTATTGGAAAAAATCAACAACAACGGGGACACCCGGGACAAAATAGTTTTTGCCCCTTCCATCTGGCAGGAGGCTAAGGTCCATCAGGACTAGGGGTGGGAATCTCTTGGCACCTCACGATTTGATTCGATTCCGATTCAGAGGTGAACGATTTGATTCTAAACCGATTATCGATTCTAAGCTGATAAAACGATTATCGATGCATCTCAATTTTCTAAATTTTCTCAAATCTGAGTTTGCTACTCAGAGGTTGCTAATCACTTCCTACTTTATTTGATAATTGACCGAAGAAAATCAACAGATGAATTACCTTCTCTCATTTTTTATAAGAGAAAAAAAAATCTTTGTCACAAATATGATGTCACAAACAATGCAAGAACCAAAGCAGCTTGCCAACTTTCAATATGGATCAACTTTTTGGAAAATCGAAATACTGAGGTAAGATATGCGCAGGCTCCTTCATAGTTGGGTAAAGTTATTAGATATTCAGATTCAGACTGACGGACCGGTCTGCGAGCTGGACGCATTGCTCTTAATGTGCCGTTAATGATGGTAAAGGTTGTAGCTGGTTGTCATCTACGGTCCACTACGATTACCGAAGGGGGGCGTTTGGTTTTGACAGCGTTATATCTCTCTTTTATTCCCCTTACATTAGTGCGGAAATGGGCTTCTATAGTTGTGTGAATGCATCACTCCAGCCAATCCAAAGACGGGGTTTGTAACCAATCAGGTGTAGAGACCATGTGACTGGCACCGCCCCCTTACTGTCAAAAAGAAAATCAGCGAGCGAGTAGAAAACACCTTCGAGCGCGAGCAGAGACTAACCTCGCGAGCAACGAAGTTCACGCTCCGCGAGCGAGCAACTTTTGCTTTTTTTTCACTTTTCTGAATCGAGACCGAATCGTTCTAGAGAGAATCGAGAGAAATCGAAAAATCATTTTTTCCTCCACCCCTAATCAGGACCAAGACCTCCCTCATAAATAGTTTCTTCCCGTCGGCACTCGGGCTCATCAACAGAGCCCGGCTCCCCCCACTGACTGACATCCCACCGGTCACTCCCTTCACACTCCACACGCTAGTGATGTGTTATTCGTGAACGATTCGTTCGTCATTTTGAACGAATCCTTACGAGGACTCGAGAGTAACGAGTCCGCTCAAAAAAAGATAGTTCATATTCTTGTGGCCACGCATTAGTTGAATGCAGGTCACGTGGAAAATGATCCTTCTGCCAACCAAGTGGTACCAGTGCGGAGCCTATGCAGGTCACGTGAAAAATGAACAATGAACGAATCATTGACCCGAAGGCTCGGTTGGCAGATAACGAAACATTGACCCGAAGACACGGTCGGGAGCTGAACGATTTGTTCATCTGCCGGATACAGATCTTTAGATCATTTTGCACGTGACCTGCATGGGCTCAGCACTGGTCCACGCTAGCATCGGGCTAACGTCAACATCCATCCACGCTAGCATCAGGCTAATGATCCCATCCATCCACGCTAGCATCAGGCTAATGATCCCATCCATCCACGCTAGCATCAGGCTAATGATCCCATCCATCCACGCTAGCATCAGGCTAACGTCCCCGTCCATCCACGCTAGCATCAGGCTAACCCTTACATACAACACATAACAACCTCGCTACCAGACTGTGGATTTCACCGCATTATGACAAAGCTTTTTTTGCAAGGTAAAAGGGATCAGTACCGCCGCTGCCCATTTTCAACACAGGGGACCGGCTATGCCCCGGAGAGGTCAGTGTTGTGTGGACGGGACGGGGCTTTTCGTGTTGAAAACGATTCATCGACGGGAAAGAGTGCACGAACCCAAAGGTTCCGACACGCGATCACCGCATGGAGGCCGGCTTTGGACCGGGGCAGCGGTGATTTTATCCCAGTTTGCATGTTTATTGGCGGACCTTTTATTGCAAGGTTCTGGCCGTCACTGGTAACCAGAGCGAGCTGATCGTCAGTGAGATCAACGTGACCCGGGTCCGGCGGTACGAGGGGAGTACTCACTTGTCTGGACGGCCGGCTACAGGCTGAACTTCACGTGACCTGCAGAGGCTCAGCGCTGGTATCGATAAGCAGTCAGCATTCTTTCTCTGCGCTAGCAGGTTGCCATCGCCGTCTGAGCCGTCGTGTTTTCAAACGAAAATACCATCTAACCGTATTGGTTTAAAGACGATTGAGCTCAATTCCATTATATATCTTCTTTTTTCTTCTTTGAACGACCATCCAGCTTTTACACTGACGTTCTTTTTGTAAAAGGTGAGCTGTCTCGATGGGTTTCTAGCCCGGCTAGCATTCAGCTAACTTAGCTAAGCCACCGGTTTGGTAGGAACTTCGTCTTCGTTACGATTTTATATTGGATTCCAAGCGGTGCACTATCAACGTGAATGATCACGTTCGGTTCTAACGGACCTCGTTTGTGTTATGATGTATAGATTTACCGGTTTTACCTTTAGGATAACCTCTATTGTTATGAACGATGAACGAATCATTGATCTATTCGGCGAGTAGATCAATGATTCGTCTTCGATTCGGTCCGTCTGGATACGGATCTGCGTTCAGAAGAGGGAAGAGAAAGGATTTGTTTACCTCGTTCACTTTCGCGTGGCTAGGTTTAGTAAGACGTGAATTCCTTCACAAGTAATAATTATAGGTTTCGTTATTTTAACTTTTTTGTACTTTACTTAGTTCAGCGTAATAGTTATGCCGTGATAATTGAATGCTAGTGTGAAAATAAATGATCACTTCAAATCATCCAGACTGTCATGATACATCATTTTAATGCAGGAATTTATCTTCCCCCCCCCCCCCCCCCCATCTCCAAGTCAAATTCCTTGTATGTCTGACATATTTTGGTAATAAATGTTTCCTGATTCCTAACAAGCAAAAAAGTACACTGACTGAATGAAGTTGCACTTACTGATGAATTTTATATTCCCTAGATAATTGATGAAATTATCAAAGATGAAATCTAGAATAGTTTGTTCGATTACATAGGTTAGCAAAACAGTCTTATTATTATTATTATTAATTGCAGGCATCACATGCTTGTTATTCAAATGATAATTTTAAGCACATTTGATTTGTTTTTTCACATGTTTCCATAGACGTTGTCCACAGCGTTCATGTAATCATCCCCGTCATCAGGGTTCTGTGAAAGATTATTGTCATTATAGTCACAGATGCTGAAAGTGCCACAGTTCTGTTTGTAATCATTGGGAATAAATCAATGGAAATTAACGTGCCTGTCGGTAATTGCAGGATTTGGGCTGGCCGAGGTCCATTTAATACAGCAATGAAAAGTAGAGAGAAAAAAAGTAATTATTTGGCTGTATTACAATATATAATATCTTTATTTAGAAAAACACTCAGGTTTAAGAGGAGTAGATCAAGTCCATTTTAGGGGATGGGAAACGACCCTTGGAGACTTTCTGGTTGGCATGTCTGGGGATTAAAATTACTGAAGTTCAGCAACAAAAAAATATGCTCAATTTCCTGACACGACTTGGGGAACCAGTGGTGTAGTCTCTACGTGATACGCAGGTATACGCCGTATACCCACTAACAAAAGCGCTATGATATGAAACAACGTCGTTGTGACAGAAGGTTCTAACCGTCATTCATAAATTCCCTCCATCTGAAGTCACGTCACGCATACGCCGTCTACCGCGGAAGATGACCAAAACTATAGCGGTCCTCGCTTACTAACGTCCAGGGCTCTCAAGTGTTCCTATTCAACCTCCCCGTCGGCCGTAGCGTAGAGTCCGCCATCCCCCCTCGTCAAGTAGCACAGTATACTCACAAAAAGAATACTAGACTACACCACTGCGGGCAACCAATCTGGCTGTCGGAGAAGTAAACCGAGCCGCTTCACGTAAACTTGCCATTAATGAGTCAGTGGTGAGAATTTGGAGGCGGCAATGTGAAGAACTCGTTTTTCTGCCACTGCGGCTTTTAGACCGGTGCTGCATATATTATGTATATGTACTTATATAATGTAATGTTATATATTCAGGTGCGCTCTATAGTCCGGAATATACGGTAGATGATAAAAATAAAGGAAAATAATGAATACAAACTTAATTGTGTAGTCTCGTTTTTACCTGCCATCCGCACTTTGGTGCTCTTCAATGCGATTCCTTGAATAGACAGAACAAAATATTATAAGGATGAATACTAAGATCTTTTCTAAAATAACCAGCACAGGCCTTTTCACTGCCTTACTCACCGATATCTCTTCACCATTAGGGTACAGAAGACTGCAAAGATCCCAGCTGTACCAATCACCGCCACCGTTGGAACGATTATGTGGTTATAGTTGTCTGTACCTGCAAATGGACAGAAGCATATATTAAGGGAAGTCCTTCCTTTTGTTTTGCACATGTTAGAGGATCTAAATCAACAGTGTGAAAAACTCACGTTTCACATAGAGATTCGACACGGTTTGAGATTTCGCCCTCCAAAGAATGCCGCCGTGCAGATGATCTCGCTGTGGTCGTCCTTCTCCTCAGGAGTGAACGCCAGGATGGATTCCATCTCCCAGTAGCCGAAACGATTTTTTTTGTGGACGACAGTGACCACATCATCTGTAGTGGCCCTATTCCATGTGAGTTCAGGCACATGGGAAGGGCAGGTGTGGGTGACTGAGCAGGTAATTGTGAAGGGACGTCCTTGAATGGCTGTTGAGTGAGTCAGAATAGGATCTGGAGGATTAGCTACAAATGAAAAAGAGGAAAACCATGTTGATACATAGAAAAGGTGTAGGTGATCTGTGATTTTTAAAGCATATCTTTGGGAAAGTTGTTTACATACGGAGCATCTTGAACATGACACAATCATTCACAAAGGAGAATTTGTCGATGGAACCGGTCGGAAGTTCCATCCGGAAACAGAAAGGGCCGTTGTCATGATCTTTGATTTCAATCATTTCTAAGGTGCAGTTGCCATCACTCAGATGTCCCAACAGCTTTGTGCGTCCCTTAAAGTTTTCCAAGACATCTCTTTGAGCATCGCTATAGATGCGTTTCTTCCCATCAGATTTGAGATGCCAGATCGCATTGATTGCGGAGTCTGGATGGTATTCTTTAGGATGGGTGAATGTACAGGGTACAACAGCACAGGACTGGACCAGGACATCAAGCTCTTTTACAACATTTGCCGTCCACTCTCCAGCGAACACAGGGCTGCTAAAAGCTGTAAGAGAAATATAAATTGATATTTCTCGTTTTGGCCATTTTTTTTTTATTAATCAATGGGGCATTTGTAGATATCAAATTGAAAACAAAGATGGGACTTCCATGTGTTACCTGCCAAAAGCAGACAGAATATCATCATCCTTTTCTCTTGGTCGGTACTTCTTAGGTTTTGGTGGTGTAATAGAATTCATGTTAAAAAGAAAAGAAACAGAAAAACATAAAGTTTACCTTCTACTCCCATCTGCATACCATACCACACTTTTGTGTAGAACTTCTTCAAACAGTAAACATCTTCACATGCAAGAGCCATATATTTAAACAGGAAACACTGGAATGGACTATGTCCTTGTACAGAATCACACATGAAACAACACATAATATGTTCACTTCTTCTTTTTTTTAATGATTCCTTTCATAATATATATACAAATTGTCACCTTTTATGTATTCGTTTTCTCATAAAATTGTACCCAAATAAACAATGATAAATCACGTGGAAAAAATCCAGTGGTCAAGTTCATCTCAAAACCCAAATTGCATCTTATTTATCAGCTCCTGTGGCTCAGTCGCTCTACCCGGGCCTCTCAATGCCGATGCGTCTGTTAGCATCATAGCTTGAAATGGTAAATGGCTTTTTCTAAGCTGAGGAAAAGATGCTTTGTTTTAGGCGCAAACACTGATTAAAAGATAATACTTGGAATGCGGCTTCAGCAAGTATTGTTCTTCCAATCTTCATTCAACTTCTCCTTTTAATTATTCTATTTCTTCCATGCTACCTTTCAACTCCTTCACATTTTCAGCAATTGAAATATCATATATTAAAATTTTCAACTCCGTTAGGACTTTTCAGCTTTCTACCTCTTATGCTTGAATAATAAATCAAATTCTTAAACTTTCTTAACATGGTTTTAATTATTTTTTTCTGTACATGTTGGTATGGATTCATTGTCTTTATGCATATAGAAACTCAGGAAGCCCTCGGTACCGATTCCGGGGCAGTTGCTTGATTGTAAACTGTTGCGTTCGGTCCTTCTGTGCAGAAGTCTATCAAATATACAAAGACAAATTTCTCCTTTTGTTCAGTCAAACTTCCACCACATCATCAATGAGACGAATGTTCAAGTAAGAGTCTGACAACAATAAATCACACTTTAGATGAAGTTATAAATGTTTAGGAATACCTTTGGATGTAGTTTTAGGGTTACTGCTTAGTCATTTTGTAGATGTGACAATTCTATAAACTATTCAGTCAAGCAGTAATTCAGTTGCGTCGGCCAGATGGTGGTGCATCAATATTGTTTATGAGTAGCTGAAGTAATAGAAGGTTGGGGGTACAACGACAACAGGAAACACACTAAAATAGAAAACCAGTCTGGTTCTCCTCAACAACAACACAGTTCACACTGGATTATGCAAGAGAAGATAAAAAATATCGGTGGCATTGTATTCAAGTCCTTAAATATATTAAACCATACATTTCTTTAACACTGATCAGTATCGTCTGATACAACTGTCGGAAAAACGTTTGAGAACATATCCTTCTCAATAAATCAACTGAAGACAAATAGCATGTCTGTCTACGGGTGGATGAATCTGCAGCCAGTCGCACCACAGTTTGTTCTGCCTCTTCACCGAAAGCAGAACTACAAAAATAAACTAAATATTTCCGTGATGTTCTGAATGTGTCATCGGTAAGATAAACGGTTGTGAGATAGACAACAGCTTGTGGTTAAAAGAAGATTGCCTGATGTACCAAGTAAACATACGCATCTTCTTTTTACGTAGGTCATAATTTTGGAGACTGCTAACTTCACTTCTGATGTTCACTGTGGGTGTTATGAGAAAACGATTACCCTATAAAGGTTTAAATAGGAGTAGAACATCAGAACAACAGTCAGTAATCAAAAAAACAATCCACTCATAAAAAACTTTAAATTGCTACAGTGACATGAACAAACCCAAGGAGAAGACATGGTATGTATACGTAATCTCAAAACACTTTATATCAACAGCATACTTTATATTATACTGTATAATATATTGTATCTTAATCGTGTATATATTGTACACGATTAAGATTCAACCTCAAACCAAATACATCAAAGTCAATCACCATAATTAACGAAGTTTCCAATAATTTGAATATGCTTTGTGTGTTTGTGAGTGAAGAAATTTCTGTGTGATTAATTGAGCGACGGATGATCACAAACTGATTGCAGGAACCATTCATCAGCTGTGATTAACTTGGTTGTTACTGCCGTGTTCATCCTCATTCAGAGGTATACTGTTAATTGTTCCTTTGATGAGATCACGGCGCCAATCTGCCCTCTAAGATTCTCTTTAAAATGGAGGCGTCCGACCACTTCTCATTTGATGTTTGGGCAGCAAACACATCAGAGGAGAGGAAGGACAACCGTTTTACTTAACAGGTAAAAAGACAATGTGTTGATTCGACAGTTTGGCATTCCATATATTGCAAGTCATGTGTGATCTTTATTTTGTACATTCTTGGCTTTTTGATTTACAGAACTTCCAATTCAAGTACGTTTGTTGTCATGGGTAACTCAGGGTCCTACTGCTTCACCACTCCTACCCCCAAGAAAGTGTCCTGGGCGCGGCAGGAAGAGGACACGTCCAAGCTGGAGGATGCCTTGCCACAACGAGAGCAGGCAAAGAAGAAGTCATCAGTGGAAAAGATCGACCTCACTCGCAGCATCCGTTACATGGACCTCCAACAGAGCGACAGCAGTTTTCCAGCTCTGGACGAAATGTACTTTTGTAGGAGTCTCACGAATGACCACATTTGCTACGAATAATCTTTCGCTGAGCATACCGATAATGTGAGTTGTGAATTTGAGAAGATAACTGCAGACAGCAGTTATCGTACTGCATGTTAATGCCTCTGCGACATGAGAGGTCTGTTACACAGGGACAGCTTTTCTCTATGGGTGTGAAACAATGAGTAGGAAATTAGGTATCAGTGCAAATTTAACGTGATAGGTCGCCTCTTTTTTTGGACTGAAATGGCAGCAAAAGTGAAAATATTTAAGTTTTTGTAGGGGATTGATCTTGCCACATCGATTGGATGTGATATACGAACGACTTTGACAGCATCAGATAATCAGCGTTTGAGCAAATATCAATCCGAGCAGGGCTGAACTGAGCAAAGTAAATCGGTACTCAACAACTCTGCATTAATTAAACACACACAGGTCTAAGGTTGGAAAATGTCACGTTCATATCTTAAAAAGAATGATGTCATTTTCAACATCTGTGTAGCCTACATGTCATTGTTTTCACCACTGTAATCCCATTTTTGTACAAATCAATGTATTACATCTTAGCGCATTGTATTCAAGGCGTTGTATTTCTTTTAGTCCAAAAAAAGTTTCTAACTCATTTGTAAAAAAGCTCATTGGACAAATACAAGGAACGTTTATTTTTAAATGATAAAATGGTCATTCTGTGGTTTAATTAACCTATGCTCTATATTGTTTTCAAATAATAAACTATAATATATTGGGAAATTACTCCAACACATTCTTTTTCATAGCAAGTCATTAAAAACACCCTGACTGTCAGCCAAATTACCGTGGCAGATAATTATATAGTTTTACAACGTCACTGTTATAATAATCAGTGCTTCAGGTAACTTACCTCATTAAATTCAGAGTGGGCTTGAACGGGCCCTTGGCTTCATGAAGTGCTCGACAGAAATAAAGTGGAAAAGTCCTAAAAAATGAAAAAGAGTGAGCAGCACTAACAGAAGGGTTCTGGTAACAAATGCAAAACAAATATAATGTTTAAAAAATGTGTAAGATGAATGTCAAACATTTTTATGGGATTATGAGTAAAAGTAAAACATTAAAATCTTATTCTATTATATATTGTAGAAATATAATAAAAATATAAGTAACATAAGCTTAGAGCATGGCAGCGGGGACACAAAACATCCAGGCGGGGGGAAAGACTCCCTTATTCTTCAAGAGACACAAAATAGTAACTCTGGACAGACAAAGGATATCTTGTATTGAAAGGTGAGAAAAAAAACAGAATAGTATTTCAAATGTCTCTCGGTCAATATATGTGCAGCAGGGCAGTGATCCTCCTTTGGCGGTTATGCACTAATAACATGGACGTCAACTGCCATAAAACAGAAGAAGAAGAGATCCTCCTTGTGGCAATGGCAAGCAATGGTAAGTCTGTGGCGGTCGTCAGTAAATCAGTGGCAACTCATCAATGCCTTTTGGTTGATTACATTACATTGAATACAATCATAGCTGTGCATCGGTATTATTCTATTGACTACAGTTTCAAAATGACAGCTATATTACACTATTCTCATTTCAGAATCATAGCAGTATGCTGGTGTACACTAAATGCATTTCATTGGATAGTTTAATTGATGAACCGTGTAGTCAGTTGGTTTAGAATATTCCTCTCTCCAGCAAATTAGCCTCTAAAACTGCAGAAATTAACCAATGCATCTCTGGATCCATGCTGTGAATGGATCGGGTCCAGCTTACATCCAGGACATGGTCAAACCCTACATCCCAACCCGCACTCTCCGCTCTCCATCTGCAAAACTACTCGTCCCTCCCTCACTGAGAGCAAAACACTCGACTAGGTCTCGACTCTTCGCTGTCCTTGCGCCGAAATGGTGGAACGCGCTCTCTGAAGACATCAGGACCGCAGAGAGCCTTCACATCTTCCGCCGCAAACTAAAGACACACCTCTTCAGACTCTACCTCGACTAAAGACTAACAAATTGTAGCACTTAAATTGTACTTGTGACGTCACTCATCTATAGCAAATTGTAAATTCGCTTATTTGAGGAAATTGCACTTTCTTGTTTCTTGTTCTCCTGAGTTTGTACCCTATGGTTGAATGCACTTATTGTACGTCGCTTTGGATAAAAGCGTCAGCTAAATGACATGTAATGTAATGTAATGTAATGTAATGGATAGAAAACCATGCTGGACACACTGAGCAACTGCATAACCGAAGCGGAAGAGCGTGTTAACACGACGGAGGACCAGCTGGTGGGTCTAGACTAGAAAAGGGACTTTTTATTGGAAAACTACAGCCGACGCAACAATACGACGTTACGTGTTGTCAACCTGAAGGCAAACTGTGAGGGAAACAACCGCATAAACTTTTTTACCAAATCAAATATCCAAACAAAGAAGAGTGAGCAGCAGGATGGCAAACTTTGTGACAAGGTCAAGGGTTCTGGTAACAAATGCAGAACAAATATAAGATTAAAAAAATGTTAAAGGTGAATGTGAAACATTTGTGACAGGTTTATGAGTAAAAGTAAAACCTGAAAAATATTGTTCTCATATTATATATTATAAAAATAGTACGACAGAGTCTGTGCTCTTCCACATAGAGGCACATTGTGTTCTGGGTCATCTGATAGTCAAGATGTTTTTGCGTTGATGTTTTCTAATCTTGTGGTGCCAAAGATGATCGTCTACATCCGAGGTCGACTACCAGCACTTGGGTTTTGCCCAGAGTCCCCCCTGTTTTATCATGTTTACCTTACAACTATTTATTCCTGCTCCGAAGATGAAACCCTTCGAGTAGGCTTGGCGCATGATTTGTATGTGTGTCAATTCTGTCTCCTGTTGGCAAACATTATATGTCCTGTTTTGATGATTTTACACCGGTGTTTTTCCACCAACTTAAAAATATGAACTAAAATCTAAATTTATGTGTAGTGCAGTGTGTGCTGTATTAAAAGAGGAATAGAAACTAAGGGAAGTGAATTTGTCACGTGACAAGCTTAGAAACATGTGTCACTTCATCCACAGCTCCGACCCGCAGACGGCGAGATGGATTCTGTCAAGTGGCCGATGCTTTTCGTGTGCCTTTGCTTTAGAGGTATGTGGCATATTCTCACCACTGTAAAACCAGCTACCATATCTTACTGCTCATTGAAAGTCCAGTTAAAACGTCAGCTTTATGTATTTTTTATGTCTTAATATAATTTTCCTTGGATCAAGATTGTGATTTTGAAATAGATTAGCATTTTGCATGTAAGTCCTTCTCTTCTCTGCTTTATCTCGGTTACTTGTTATCCCTTTTTCCTCTACAACAGTTACTCAAACTATAGATCCATCTTGGAAAGTTACGGTGCCATCCTCAGTTAAAGGTCTCCCCGGATCCTGTGTGGTCATCCCCTGCTCGTTCAACTACCCAGATACAGACAAACGGATCACTGCGTTCTTGGGGATGTGGTTCATCGCTGGTGGTTCATCGATCATTTATCACCCAGACGAGTCGAAAATGATCAAGGAGTTTCAGGGTCGAACAGAGCTGCTGGGAGACGTGAGACAGAAGAACTGTTCACTAAAGATTGATCCCCTTAAATCAAGTGACAGCGGGCCTTTTTTTTTCAGGATTGAAATGGAAGGCTATGACAAGTTTTCCTACAGAGAGCAGACATCCATCACAATGATGAGTAAGTAATAAAATCAACTGTCACCACACTTCTGTAACAGTACAGTTGATTAAGCATTTTGAAAGAAGTCTCTTTGTAATTACCTCGAGTCTCAAGTCAATCAAGTCACTTTTTTTTCTCTTTAGGTTTATGCAAGTTATGTTAAAAAACATAACCATATGTAACATGTAACTGTAAGCTCAAACCAAGTCCTTGTACATTAGCTCTGTGCACGTAGAAATGTACATTTAGGTCGCAATCCTAAAGAAATCCAATTTCCATTACCTTAATCGTACTCTCTCGTAAACAATACCTTTTGTTCAAAACACAGTTGAATCAGTGTATTTTTATACAAATGAAATTCACAATTGGAACCATGCACATGATGGAAGAGCACATGGCACCAGCAAATATGTTGATTTGGTTTTATACTATTCATGTACAATTCATGGCATTACCAAAATCATGTGCTGGCAGAATGCAAAGAAAGAAAAGACGTCGCCGTATATTAAGTTCCCTCACTTCTTCTTACAGGTGAACTGAATGACATCACTTTCACCGTGAAGGAGGATTTAATGGAGGGTCAAACTGTGGTTGCGTCCTGCTCTGTTCCTCACTCCTGCCCAACTTCACCACCTGACTTCACCTGGAGTCTCCCCGGAAAACAACATTTCCAACCACGGCAGCTGGTCGATGGCCAGTGGACAGCGACATCTACTCTGCATTTCCTCCCTACCAGAGCTGATCACGACAAGCTCTTAAGATGCAACGTGACATACAAGGGAGGGCAGAGCCAAAAAGCAGAAAAGCTCCTCAGAGTAAAACGTAAGTTTGACTTTTTACTCCAAGAGCTGAGCATTGACTTTACTTTTTAGCAGACTGCCAAATGTACTACATCATGGCATCATGAGCAGTTCATTGTATATTTCCATGCAGATGCCCCAGTGAATGTGAACGTTGAACACAAGTCAGATGTAACGGAGGGAGAAGCGGTGCCACTGAGCTGCTCTTGTGATGCTCACCCTCCTGCCAGCTATCAGTGGCACGATGAAACCGGTGCTAAACTGCATGACGGAAATGTCTACAAGCTGCCAAATGTCTCCAGACACACAGGAGCCCTGTTCTGTACTGCCATCAATGACATAGGACAAAGAAAATCAAACCCCGTGCTGCTCAATGTGTTGTGTGAGTAAACAATCAAAAGAATACAATGATAAAGGAGTTTTCTTTAATATATATGTATGTATATTAATACCTCATAAAATGATATTGTTGTTCTAACAGATATGCCTGAGATCAAGACTGTCTCCTCCTGCTCTTCAGAGGCACATATGGTGAAGTGCGTGTGCATTGCAGAGTCCCAGCCCGTCAGTATGATCCATTTTGTGCTTCCTGACAGAGTCCTGCCAAGAGTGAAGGTAGAACAACATGGCACCGTCACCATCGGAACTCTGCATGCAGAGTTTGGATCTTCTCGTGTTGTTCTCTGTGTGGCCAACAACACGCTTGGCAATGCAAACATAACACTCTCTTTACCTGTTAACAGTAAGGAAGATTTGTATGTATTTCTAGAAGTGCGTCACACAAACCTCAATTTCCTATTGATGAAGAGAAACATGTCTCCACTGTTTCTGTTTGGACAGGTACGATGCAGAATCTCTATATTGTCATTGCTTCTGGAGCAGCCGGGATTTTGGTGACGGTTTTAATAGCTGTCCGCGTTTTTAAAAAATGGTAAGTTTGAATGAAACTAAATAGAAAAATGATTTTGCTTGTCTGTTATGTCTCTTTTCCCCCGCTAGTATATTTTATGAATATATTTAATTAAAATTTTAAAAGCAAATGTGTCTCATCATAGTAGAAGCTCGTCCTTTTGACCATGTGGGTCCCGAAAGTCAGCTTCCAAATTCTTACACGTGTTGGATCTTGCAGTTCGCATTGTTTGGTTTCAGTTGTTTTGAAATGTTTCATTAGTTTCATTTCACTGTTCCCAAAATAAAAACCCTTATTCTCCCAGCAAGAGGAAATCTGCTAATGCACAAACACGTCACATCGTCCCTGAGAAGACGGACAAAGACGTGGCGCTCCCTCACTGCTCTGCTACTAAAAGGTTTCTGTCATTCACTTTAGTTTGAACAAGACAATGATAATGATGTAAAATGACACAACAAAGATAATCTAGAATAATCCTTAATGTTCATGAAACACTTGTTTGTTTCCTTTTTCCTCAGAAAAGAGAAGCGTTATGAAGATGTACATTCTGCTGACATCTTTGACAACAATCATGTCTATGGCAACATGGAGGTATGTTTTCTTTTTTCGTATTCATTCGTTAATTGTTTCCTTGAGTGAGTGAGCGTTTTGTTTCCCACAGACTGACTGCGATGAAGCAATCTACGCAAATATGTAACTTTGTTAAATTCATTGGAGGAACAGTTGCAGTCCCTCTGTTGCCAACTGATGTGCGTCAGGAAGCTGTCAACATATTATAACCCTCTTCTGTCTGTATGTCAAGTGACATTTTTCAGTCTTCAATAACTCAAACTAATTCTTGTTCCTTTAAAAAAATAAAAATTAAAAAACTAACCTTTCCCTGACAGCTTGTTCTATCATCGGTAACATATTTTTGTTGTGACAAATCATCATGACACGACTTCCAAATCAGGTGTGAAAACGCCTCATTATTAAACAGTAGCAATCACCCAAAATAACATGTGCTGCCTTTATTTAGCAATAATTTGCATTCAAATAAAGAAATATAGAGAGATAGACGACTTCTAACACTTCAACATATGGTGAACAACTATAATTATTGCTTGTTGATTGTCTTTGTTTAATCCCTTGAAAGTGAAACCTCAAAAGTGCCCTGGAACATTGTATGATCTGATGTAATCAAAAATATATGAATATATAATTATATATCTTCTTTTTTCTTCTTTGGACGACCATCCAGCTTTTACACTGACGTTCTTTTTGTAAAAGGTGAGCTGTCTCGATGGGTTTCTAGCCCGGCTAGCATTCAGCTAACTTAGCTAAGCCACCGGTTTGGTAGGAACTTCGTCTTCGTTACGATTTTATATTGGACCTCGTTTGTGTTATGATGTATAGATTTACCGGTTTTACCTTTAAGATAACCTCTATTGTTATGAACGATGAACGAATCATTGATCTATTCGGCGAGTAGTTGATGATGAACTTTTTTGTACTTTACTTAGAGTTCAGCGTAATAGTTATGCCGTGATAATTGAAAATAAATGATCACTTCAAATCATCCAGACATTCATGATACATTATTTTAATGCAGGAATTTATCTTACCACCCACCCCCCGAAATGAACGAATGCCTCGAAAAAAGATTCGTTCATTTTACTGAACGAGATTAAAAGAACCGAGTCTGTCAAATGATCCGTAGGCGACTTGCCATCACTAGTCAGAGCACATACGTCACGTCCAGACTGAAAGTCACCCGCGCATGCGCAGAGCCGCCGCTGATTCTGCAGCGTCTTTCCTCGTTGGGGAATTGGCAACACTTGTTCATTAAAGAAATAACTAATTTAGAACGCTACGAATCACGAGAGCTATAGAATAAATACAATAGACGTCTACGAATAGACGTTGAAACCCCCCCACTTCTAAACCACTTTGCAACGTCTTTTCAATGTCGGGCATAAACGTCTATTCAACGTCTTTTCAATGTCGGGCATAAACGTCTATTCAACGTCTTTTCAATGTCGGGCATAAACGTCTATTCAACGTCTTTTCAACCAAAGAAATGCTCGCTGGGATCCTTCAAAACACCAAAAGAAGCAACGGAATTCTTACCTCACATCCTCGGTGAAAAGTAATGGACCAAGCAGACGGAACCAACAGCTGGACCAAAGCAGACACTCAAGCTTTAACACTCACTGACTCTTGTTGTGCTGAAGGAGTGGAGATAAAGTCAGTCATTAAAGCAATCTAAGCCTAAACTCCCTCCTGATAGATTTACTCACCCCCTGTTGAAGTTCTAATTATTTCAGAAAAGGGTGTTTTCAGTATTTGTTACACAAAAGTTGTTTTGTGAGACAAACTGCGCCTCCTCCCCAAATATTGTCAGGCTGTGGGACAAGCTACAAGGTGATGTAAGAGGACAGGAGGCGGGTCCAAGTGGTCAAATGAGTTCTGCTCGTTCTCTTCTAAACAAGGTCCACAGACCTCTTTTCACACTCTTTGCCACTTTCAAATAATCCGTAAACAGTGAAGAATTACAGATGTAAACATTCCAGATATGAAGTGGTAACTAATGATCGTGAGAGAGACTAATTTAAGAAGTCAGTAATTTCAGGTTTTTCCAATTACATTACTGTGTGTAGTTAAGTGTAAAGTTGACTGTCTTAATGTGTAGACTTATAGTTCACTTTAGGTCAAACAGTAACACTGTAAACATATCACATCAGTGTACTGTTTCTAAACCTATATGAAACTTGACACATGAGTTTCTTTATGCAGAATAGAAAGGGTGATATTTAGGTCATTGATTAGGAAGTATGGAGGCTGTTGCTTCCTTCCCTCCTCTGTAGCTCACTGTGCCTTTGCCAGAATGGCTCCGGTCGAGTTGGGAGGGGGGAATTATTGGCAGGAGTCACAGAGCAGAACAAAGAAAATTCCAATCCCATGCTCTCAGACCCAGATGGAGGCTCTGGTTTGCCTGCAGAGTACAATATCAACATTATATTCTACAGTAATTCAAACATGCACAAAGAGTCTTTGTGTTTTGCCTTTATTGATGTCATCTATAATACTCACCTAAAGCGTCAAGGTATAGCGGATCATTTTTCTAGATGAAGCTTCAGTAATGCTGCATTTCAATCCTGAAGTAGAAAGGACGAACATCGGTATTCTTGACACCATCCAGCAGCACGGTGAAGGTCTCCTAAAAACTGTTTACGTACGTGTGGAGGCTGGGAATGACCACACAGGAGCCTTTGGCGGAATGTTTGCTAAACAAGGGTCATGAGACGAGTGGACGTGGATCACTGAAAACAGGAAGAGGACACTGCTTTATTGTTAACTGTAAGATCAAGTTTAATGTAAGACTCACCATGTAACAGCAGAAAGGAAAATCACACCTTCAGCTCCATCACTGCTGAGGAGGAAAAATCTAAAAAGAAAAAAGTGTCACGACCCGGCAGAACACAGAAAAACAGATGCAGGATTGTCACGGGATTTGTAGTCTCTATTGGCAGGACTGAATCTCAGAGAAATAAATATGACTATCACATTTATCTAGAACACACTTCTTCCAATAAATAGTTTAGGAGGAAGTGAGGCTACTAAAATTAACAAGTCTCCACTCTAGGAGGAAAAACAAGACTTCATTCAACTTTATTAAAATAGCGGCCAAGCACTCTTTCACAAACAAAAATGACTCCTTACGGAGGAAACAAAAGACTATGAAAACTTTAACCATTCAACGAAATATATGCTACAAAATCAAAATCACTCTCTTGGAGGAAAACAACGGAGCAGAACACAATGACTTGGTTTCCCAGGCTTGGAATCAGGGAAGACAGATCAGACTGGTGACACATGAGGAAGAGTAAGTGACCTGAAACGAGAGGAGAGTTACTATTTCAAAATAAAACAGGAAATGACAAGACAAATAAACCAGACAAAATAAAACTAACCCAACAACTTCACTGCGGAGTGACAAAAATAAAAGCATAAGGCAATAAAATACTTATTATACAACTGTTTGTTGTATTTTTGCACCATCAATTCTCTCCCCTCTGAATCCTTTCTGTGGTGGAAAATTGTGGATTAAGCCCTTGTGATAAATCAAAAGTATCTTGAACTCGCTTTGTGATAAAGTATTTATTACTAACTAGAATATAGAAAAATGATAAAGAATACAGAAATCATCCACACAAGTCATAAGTACAGACAGAAGTCAAATGACTACAATTTAGCTTAAAAGGGGCAGATTGTTCTTCCTCCCTCAGAGGAGCTCGAACATCTCCCTTAATGGGACCTAGTCAATCATGTTTGACAGGCAGAGGAATCAGGAATCAGGAATCAGGAAACATGTATTGCCATAATATGTCAGACATACAAGGAATTTGACTTGGCAGTTGGTGCATAACGGCAGACAGTACGACAATGGACGACAAGACAACAGTGCCAGACGGATAAAATAAAATATAATGCTATGGGTTAGTTTAAAAATAAAGGAATAAAAGCTAAAAGTTAAAAATATTTAAAAAAATTAAAAATAAAGTGCACCAGTGAACTGAAAGTGACGTGTGCAGTGTGAAAGAAAGTAACCGGTGGAATGTCAGAGAAAACAGGATATGGATCAGTCGAGGGACCTTCCAAACAGGATGCTAGTTCAGGTCACGAGTTTACGTTCTTAAACTCCACAGCTTTGCCTTTCAGGCATCTTATGAAGTCATGTGATGCTCAGTCAAATGAGTTCAAACCACACAAGGAAAACAAGTTAACATCCAGGGATCAAAAGATTCCAACAAGGGAGTGTAAAATATTATTTGGAAGTACGGCATAAACATTTGATTAGTTGGTCTGTCGCATAAGAGAAATTGCAGCACAAATGAAGTGAAAAACAAATGTCCTGGGACAAGTACTATAGCCACAGCAACGATGATCATCCTGCTCTGGTACGCACACTGAGAGGCTCCTCGGGAAAAACTAACCAAAATATGACTGTTAAGAGGTGAATGTCGAACACTGTGAACAAGCAAAGACATGCACTTGTAACCTTATATTGGGGGCAACCGTGGCGACGGTGGCGCATCGAGTACCGAGGGTGCGCCGCGAACCACAGGGGCGTCGGTTTGAACCCCGGCTGATCCATGTCCCGTGTCGACGTGTCTGTGAGCACGACACCCAACCCCTAAACTGCTGCGCGGGCGGCCTTACAGCTGCACACTGCTCCCACCATGTGGGAAGTGTTAAAATGCAATGCAAGTCACTTTGGATAACAGCGTCAGCTACATGACATGTAATGTGTTGTTTGGGGACAGTTCCTATGTAGTTCTACATTCAATGACTTTACAAATAATAGCCTTGTTTCTTAATAGGAAACTTAAAAAGAAAACAGAAGTGTGGCTCCTGCCCACATTTCACCATATGTGAATTGACAATTATTGAGAAGGCAAGAAAAAAAGGATGTATCCTGTCCCTGAGGGCATTATTCTTCTTCTTCTTCTTTCTTGGGCAACTCCAAAAGCAAGTGAAGGAATTAGTAATTTAGTAAAAAGCAATGGACCAGGCAGACGGAACCACCAGCTGGACCAAAACCAGACACTTTAGCATTAACACTCACGTGACTCCTCTTATGCCCAAGAAGGATCGATAAAGTCAGTGGTTGAAGCAAACTCTCTCCTGGTCGATTTACCCACCCTGTTGCTCTATTTATTTCAGAAAATGGTGTTGTTACACAAAAGTTGTTTTGTGAGTCAAGCGGCCCCTCCTCCCCAAATAGTTTCAGGCTACTAGACAAGCTCAAAGCTTATTTAAGAGCACAAATAATATTGTATACAATGGGTATCAAATATACGTGTGACGACTCGAAGAGACAGTGAAGATTAACTTCCTGTTTTATTTTTGTAACCACTGCACTTCCTGTATCTAGTTTGTCACCCTTCGTTTCTCCCCACAGCTGAGTTTAGTTTGCAATCACCTCCACCTGTATTTAAGCCTCAGTTTCCCCCCACTTGTCTGAGTCAGGTTATCTTTTGTCTTTCCCAGAGGTGCATGTTTGTAGTAAGAAATTCCCAGTGCTGTTGACAGGCCCTCTTCCTTTTTTGTTTCTACAAGAGCGTGTGGGTTCCGCCTTTGCCTGTGCACCCTTTTTGTCTTGCATTAGTTTTTTCCGAGTAAAAGATTCCAAACCTGGAAAGAAGTTTTTGTTGCCTTATTGCTCTGCACCTGAGTCGAAGTCCTGACCCCTCACAATACGGCAGAGATAAACAGCTGGAAGGAGATATTTTGAAAATGGAAAAATACTTTCAACAATCTGGGTCTAAAGAACTTTAACAAAACATAAACCAAACAAAAATATTAAGAATTGGGTTATTGGGCTCATAAAATTCTACCCTGGCAACTGAGAACAGAGGAGAGCTCAAGGACAATTAATGTAATCCAAACAGAAACCGGTTCAGATACATATGACCCCACAGAAATCAATGACGCATTCAAACAGTTTTACATTAATCTATATCAGAGTAGTCAAAGGACCTGGCTAAGATTTGGTCTACCAATGAATTGCCAAAACTCAGCCATGAAGACAGAAATAATCTAGATTTGCCCTTCACCAAGGGAGAAACCCAAACAGCCTCAGGCTCACTACAATCCCAGGAGAGAATCGCTTCCCTCCCAAATTCAAAGACTTTAAAGACTTACTCTCACGCCTTCTAGTGGAGGTGATTCATTTAACATAAACTACTCAAACTCTCCCTCAATCATTCTCTACTACCATAATCACTGCGATTCACAAAAAGAACAACAATCCATTCAAATAATTCTTCTTTTTGACCCATTTTGTTATTGAATTCGGATTCAAAAAATAAATAAGCTGTAACGGCATGTAATGACACGCGACTCCAGGGGTCTTTGACCTTTTATTAAAGCTCTGGAACAGCAGGCAGAATAACTAATAAATAAACTGTGACATAAGCCTTAAGCAGTGAAGAATTACAATGATAATAAATGTATGTAATTCTATGAATACAATTTACAAAGAGAAGTTGTAAAATATTATTTGGAAATACGGCATAAACATTTGACTAGTTGGTCTGTCACATAAGAGAAATTGCAGTATGAATGAAATTAAAAACACATGTCCTGGGACAAGTACTATATGATCAGCCTGTTCTGGTATGCACACTGTTGCAAGGTCGAGAAAGGCTCCTCCTCAGTAAAAAATAATGAAATTAGGACTGTTGCGAGGTGAATGTGGAACACTGTGGACGAGCAAAGACATGCATGCACTAATCTTTTATTGTTTCGGAAAGTTCATTTTCTATGTAGTTCTACGTTAAATGACATTACAAATAGTAGCTTTATCTCTGATTAACATCTCTCAGGAAACTGAAGAAAAGAGAACAGAAGTGTGGCACTCGCCCAGATGTCACAATATGTGAATTGACAAACACTAAGAAGGCAAGAAAAAAATGTTCAGCAAGTTGAACCTGGCCGGTTACTTGAATACATTCCACAGAAAACAGGACTCCTGTCATAAGATTTTGCAAATGACATACTTGATATTTTCTCCTGGTTGTGGTTAGGAAAATGTCACAGCATTAACATGTGAACAAGCTGCCATATTTTTTAAATCAGTAGTAAGACACATTTTAAGCCCTTGTACTGAGCACTTACACACGGTCCATTCATTATGGTTACATATTCACTATAACGACCAAAAGACAAAAAATAAACGGCAATATAGTAATATTAAATCACAAATTAATCAGTAGGATGGAAACAGACAAGGTCTCTCATCCCGGTCACACAGTAGACACCTACACAGGTTATCTTATCTTTTGGAATGTTAAGTAGTCTCTATGCCATAAAACCGAAAAGATTAGGAATAGATTTGTAAGACGCAGCTTTCCTACAGTTTTAAATGATCCACATTGGCATATATGTTGTCTAAGTGATCCGCACTTTGATCCATCTGATCTGGATGGGCCTGCAAAGACAGACGTTGGGTTACATATTGGTCTGCGGTTTGTGTCTCAGTTCCCGGCTATTTAGTATATTGATCGCATGTATCGTACCTCAATGTTGGCGTAAACCGGTTCCTCAATGTCTTTCTGTTCAGAAACTTTACTGTTCTCTGGTTTCTGGCAAGACGCTTCCCTGAAAAGACAAAAGAGACATAAGCACAGAGTATTAAACGTTGCTTCTTATTTTGCATAGAACAAATAATGTCTACATTGTAATTTGATTTCACAATGGTATCAAGAAACAAACCTTTGCAGTTGGTTTGCTCGGCTGAAATTAGCATAATATCTTGAATCCTCCCTGATAAAGGATGCTGACCTGTGCAAGTTGTGAAAAATATATTAGCCTTTCATCTATATAAAAATAACTACATAACATAAGTTGTATGACATGCTCAATAAAAACAAAACATTCCAAAATCATTGTATGATTTGTTAATATATTTTTGATTACATCAGATCAAAACATGAAAGCTGAAGTTACCTTTTGTGTTTTATGCCAAGGACAATTCCAACAACAACAATGATGGTCAGAATGGCAACAACTGGTACGGAGATGGACACATGCTTTAGTAGATCATTCTCCGGGTCTGCTCCCACTGTGGACAGTAATATGGTTAATAATGGAAACCAAATGACATATTTAGACGCATTTAATGTTCTAAACATTGTAAACATACCTGGTTGTCCTTGAGTGATGGGAGTTAGCTGTGTTGTACCTAAAAAGAAATGTTTTGTTATTTACTTGCATTTACTTACCTTACTTTTCTGACATGAATACAAATATTAAATAGCTTTTTAGTAAAATTGAGGAGTACAGGAACAAAGTATTTGAATGTGAAAGAGAGAGTAAAAGCCTACCGGGTATACCTGGAACAATTAGCAGAGCACATGGACATTTGGTAGAAACATAAGGTTTTGCTGTAATCTTATTTTATTCAATTTGATTTAGTAAATATAAATAATTAAAAACATTTGTTACTGAAAGTCTTACCAGTTACAGCAATGGAGACACTATTTTGTGAAAAACTGTAGTTGTCCCCCTTTGCAATAAGTCTCACATAGATGTTTGGGACATTATCCCTGATATTGAAGATCTTGAGGGAGCAGTTCCCTGCGCTTTTATTTCCCATGAGCCGGGTCTTTCCTCTGTACTTCTCAAGCACAAACGTCTCGTTTGGGTGAAAAATAAAAGCATTTTTGTCGTTGTCAAAAGTATTAAATTTGCTTTTCTCATCCTTTTTCCAGAAAACTTGCATACTTTCCGTGTAATGTTTAGTTGGAACGGTGAAGTGACATTGAATGGTCACGTTTGAACCCAAGGTTGCATTGATATGTCTGCTGACATCAATATTCCAGCTTTCACCTTGGAACAAAACAAGAACAGAATTGACATTGTCCACAACGTATAATTCATTACATTACATTAAATGACATGTCAATTAGCTGACCTACAATAGGTGCATTTAAATCACGAGGAGACAAACCCAGAAGAACAAGAAACAATTCAATCCATGATTTAAAATGAACGAACATTGACTCATTATGTCACCCACCTTCTGAATTAGACGCCACGATCAATATGAGGGTATAATCGATCAGGCTTATCAACTTCATCTGATCCAAGGAAGGTATTCTGAAGTTGACCAACATCCTGAAACTGTATAGTGGACTCAGTTTTTCACCTCCATCACATCTTGTAGCTTACATGATTTAACGTTCTGGTGTTAAACCGCCTTTTCTCTGCAGAAAGTAGGTACTCACTGTGAAAGGGACCTCGGGGCTGAGTTGTGCTCTGTCAATGTGTATTACACTTAACAGTGATGTGAAATAGTTTCTTTCCTGTTCATCACATCACAAAAAAAGAGGAAGTTGGGACAGAGATGTTCCCTTCAACCGTGAGATGACTTTCTCGTTGCGATTCCGAGGTAATGAGTGAACACTGAAGCCGAAGTGCTGCTGCTTAACATAATTGAGGACATGAACTTGAAGTGAAAGTGTCCATTTACTAGAGGTGTCAAGTAACTTTGTTACTGTACTTAAGTAGACATTTTGGGTATCTATACTTTACTGGAGTATTTTATTTTTTTTTTACTTCTACTCCTTACATTTTCACGTAAATGTCTGTACTTTCTACTCCTTACATTTAAAAAAAAAAAAGCCTTGTTACTTCCGGCTTGTCGTCGTTCAAAAACCCCCACAAAAAAAAACCTATGCAGATAAATCGCGCCATCCGGATAGAGTGAATTTGATTGTGGTCGGATGAGAAGTATAAATATTTACCATTCCGCCAACAATTTTCCCTTACATATACTACTTTAAGTAGCTTTAAAACCAGTACTTTTACTTTATCTTAAGTAAAAAGCTTGAGTTGATACTTTTTAAACCCTAGTATCTATACTTACTTGAGGAATGAATGTGAATACTTTTGACACCTCTGCCATTTACACACATGTGATTTACAAACCATTCTGTTTTTTTAAACAAAATTTATGTTGAGTTTTAGAATGAACCGTAACATCTACATTTACACAATCACACGTTATAAAACAGAGCAGGTGTTACTTCAACTATTAGATACAAAAATGCATTAGATACAAAAATGTAAAAGAGTCAAGAGTCGCTCTGCTGGTTTCGAGGATAACGGGTACACTGAAAACACACCGAAAACACATGTATCTTACCAATAGCATAGCTCAGAGGTGAGAATATAGAGTGTATGTCTCTTACTGAGACAAATCAATTTATTTTTTCAAAGTTACATTGCTTTTTCCTGCAAAAACACAGGCCTTGAAAGCACAAAGGAGGAGTCTCATTCCAGAAAGACAAATACCAAGTTGATTGATCGAAAGCCTTGTATCAGCCTCGGCTGAACTTTAGAATGCATTGAGTGGATTTTAAATTGAGTCCCTATCAATTCCATTTGATCACTGGGATAACGTTGCAGCCAGCGTGGACAGGAGGAGATCAATAACCCTTTCAATGGAGACAACGTCAGTAACAATATAAGACAGGCGTGAATAAATGTATTTCTTTCAAAGCGCTTCACAAAGTGTTTTGACACCGCTCCTTCAAAGACTATAGATTAAGAATACTACTATTAGGTAGTTGCAACAGCAGATATCATACATCAAGAACTGAAGAAGAAGTCAAAAGAAGAAGTCAATTTCAGCTCAGAATTTGATCAGAGGCCTTTTGTTTTTTGTCCAACACATGACACCTTACATCGGTTGACCTTTCGTTCAGAATCAGAAACTGCAGATACATTATTTATTTACCTTTTCTGTTGCTCATTCCCCATTTAATGGCCCACGATAATGTACCCCAAAGTTATTTTAGAATGAATTCCTTCCTTGAGTCTATTGGGGACAGTTAATGTTATTAACTGTTTATGAATCTCCTTGCCTTATGTTTGGATGTTTTAATGGTTTTATGTGAAGCACTTTGAATGGCCCTTCTCGTCCGTTTGTGGCGCTGCCGGGATAAACGTTGCGTTCCGTGCTGTTAAATGGACCACTAGGTGGAGTCACATCTGGACTCCGGCACCTGGAATGTGGGCCGAGCCGCCGGGATCCCAAGGTGCAGTCACGTGACAACCAAACAACGCCGCAGACGCCGTTCGCCGGAAGTCGCTCAACGAGCCGCCGTTGGGATCTTCGCACGAGTCCGATCCAGTCGGGCGGAAGTGAGTCCCGTCTGCTTCCAGCTTCCGGTCGCTTCTCCCGGGGAAGCTCGTTTCGGGTGTGCGGGAGGATGACAAGCTGGTCGTCCGGCGGCAACTGTTGCTTCGCGTGTGCGCTGTGCGATCGCGACCACCGCGCGCGCCGATGGAGGACTCGCACGGCGGGAGGAGGCGGAGGCCCGCAGAGGGGACCGGCGCACCGGGGAGTCACTTCCAGAGGAGCGTGGCAGCGGTCAGCTCTCCTGCGCTGTCCGTCGCGCGGCTCACTTTACCCGGGATCATGGACGCCGAAGGGAGGGTCGACGAGTCCAGGCTGAGGATGCATATTTTCAAAAACGGTAAATCTCTCTATGTCTCTATTCGAACAGATGCAGGTATTACAAAGTGCTTTTATAATTGTGTAAACTGTTTATATAGCAGTACTTCACATAGAATAATTATTACAAACACTGATTGGATTCGACTTTAGTGTGAAACGACATGGAACTGCTTTGCAGGTAGTTGCATTATATGTTTTTTCACCCTCAACACTATATATTATTTTGAACATAACATAAAATTAAAAACTGTTCATCAACGTGTGGCTTTAGTTTCAAGAGAAAAAAAATGGAAAATGGAAGTTTGGTCAACAGGGATTCTTCAAATCACATGTGTCCAGAAGCACAACCACAAATGTAGATGCATCAATGAGCATTTCTACGGACAAAGAGGAGAGGAAGTCAAGTGATGCTTGGCTTCAGGGCAGTCGAGCATTCTCTAACGCTGCATTGTACATCTGACCCCCTCCAGCAGAGAACTGTAGACAGCGTGACTTCTGTATCAAAGCCACAGAGACATTTGAGATGGCTGCTACGATTTCTAAGAAATCACATGAGATTCACCAGCCAGAGTAAAACGTTCACTGAAGTGTGGGAAGCTAAGAAGTCTGGATTAGTGGCTCCAGTGCATTAAATATGTTAATCCAGTCCGTGGACACTTACAAATGAAAGCTCTGGGGTTAAATAACACTTTGAATGAGCAGGAATGTGAAAACTCTCCCCCCTTCTTTTTGAGCCTTTATGCACATTCCAGCCCTACAAATATGTAAAACTGAAGATTATAGAACCCGCAGAGTGAAACATGACAGATAAAAGCAGAGTAAAGTTCATCAGTGATTGTTTCCAAAGATTACATCTCTTTTAACGCTCTATTTACCGCACGTGAGTGACTCAGGGTTAATTTTGGTCAGGTAGAGATTAGTTTGACTGCTGCCCAAATGATCCTTTGGCTTGAAAACACTGGGCGAGTCAGTTCTATTGACCGCCGTAAACTATCCAATGTTTTTTAACTTCTGTCCAGGTGGCGTCTGTCCCTCCGAGCGTGGTCTGGTGTGGAGTTTTTTATTTGGGATGTATCCTTGCAGCTCGACCGCTTTGCAGCGCTCTCTGCTGCAGGAGCAGATGACGGAACGTTACCGGGTCATGAAGAGAAAGTGGCAGCAGTTCCTCCCTTTGGCCGTGCGGATGCACCTCAACGGAACGGACGGTAAAAGCCCAAATGCACATCACAATAACGAGACGTACGGCTCTCAAGTGTCAACCTTTAGATTCTTTTTTTCCTTTTGTTTAAACCTCTCTGACCACATGATCTTGCCTTCCTGCCAGCGGAGTTGGTGGCTGCAGTCAGTTACTTTGACCAGAGGGAGGCACTTGCCCAACAACAAACCCACGAGCAGTCTGAGGAGGTCAGGGAACGACTGGCTTTCTTGGAGCTTCAGGCACAGGTTAGAGGAGTAGTATAATTGCAATCTTAATATTCCAATGTTTGGTTCTTTTGTTTTTCTATTCTGCCTCTGGAGCTCCAGTAGTTTACTTTGTCTTTGTGTGACAGAGGAGATCACCTGTACAAAGTGTGAGGATTGAAGCATATTTTGAGACATTAGAATACACAATAGTAATATAATGTATATTCAGTCCAGTGTGTGTGTGCCTTTTAAGAACAACTGATATATTTGTGTATTCAGGTATTGATTCTTCCCAAGCAGCTTTAACATAATAATCTAGTACAGCGGTTCCCAAACTCAAGAATGCCGCGGCCCACTTTGAAATCTGAAATTTTTTTGCGGCCCACCCAAACCTTTAATCACAACTCTGATCAAAACATAAACTAGGGATGATTAAATGCTTTAACCGATTAAAAATGTATTAACCGTCAATGTATGTTTTGTATACCATTTTCTCCGGAGCTCATGCGCCGTGTTTTCCGCACAATAAGTTGCATAAGATACTGCAGTCTATCAGCGCAAATCACTGTCAAAATCAGAAATCGGATGGCGGATGAAATCAAACATCCGCCAGCAAAAATTTGTCTCGAGCGAGCAAAAGTTTGTCTCGATGCGAGGTATTTGCTCGCTTGCGAGACTTCCAACTTCGTTGGTCGCGAGGAGAATCTCTGCTCGCGCTCGAAGGAGTTTTCTACGCGCTCACTGTTGTTCTTTCAGACAGTAAGGGGGCGGAGCCAGTCACATGGTCTCTACACCTGATTGGTCACAAACCCCGTCTTTGGATTGGCTGAAGCCCATTTCCGCACTGGAGAAAGGGAATAGAAAATCAAAATTATGAGATTAAACGTTGTCAAAACACAACACAGGTGGAGACGGTGCTTTCAGGGTCCGATCGATGCTGCAAGGTGCGTTCGCTCCTGCCGCCCCCCTCCCTCCCCATCCACGACTTAAATCTCCGGCTGCTCTCCAGCCACGCCGCCTGCCAAGGGCCCCTTTTAGAATAACTTATTTTCCCGTTAAGATGGTTCAGCTACTGTAAAGAAAATGGCACCGTCTCTCGCTCTTTAATCTCATGAAGTGCTCGGCAAGAACGACAGCTTTGTTTCTCCGACGCGCCGTGAAACAAGCTCCATATCTGACGCGCTTGAGCGCCGCTCAGCATCTCGCCGTCGTAGACGAGCTTTGGCGTGTTTGGCAGAGCGCCTTGCGCGCCGTGTACAGCCAGTATGGATCAACCGATTAACCAATCTGTTCGCTTAAATTGTTTGTGCTTCATCAATTAATGTTTCACGTAACTAATGTGCTGCATGATACATATTTTTATATTAATTTCAAACTTTTCAAAATTGAAAATTAAAAACTTTATTTATTTAATGTAAATGACCTCTCGCGGCCCACCTGCAGGCCGCGGCCCACACTTTGGGAATCGCTGAACTAGTACAAGAACAAGTCTGAAGCAGTTCACGCAGAGATCTTAATCAGCATGTTTGTCCCTACGTTTCTCTACTGTTACCAGATATTGTTTGAGCGAGTCACGTTTGACGAAGAGGAGCTACGGGAAGCCACAAGGATCATCGACAAGGATGTGGCGAGAACTAACAGAGACCTGAGCTATTATCAGTGAGTGTTTGTCAGCCATTGTTGTGCATTTTAACTACGTGCCAACAGATAGTGTGTGAGATGGGATTGCTGACCCTTGACTTCAACTTTGTGGGAGTAAACATCCAGACATTTAGTTTTAAGTACCCAAGAAGGATCGTTCACTTTTTGTTCACCTCAGTAAATCTGGAAAGTAAAAAAAAAAGACTGGAAAGTATAAAGATTTAAATGTAAATGTAATAATTGATATAACTAACAAGATATTTTGTCTTCTGCCCCGTAGGTCTGCAGAATAATTTATACAATGATAAAATTATAACATGATTATTGTTTTTTATAAATTTGAGGGCGCAACTGTCGTCACATTGAGACCAACTCAATGTAGTGCACATGAAATAAGTTCCTTCAGTGTTCAACTTTTTCTGCTCCCGTCTGTTTCTGCAGGGGAGAAGGTTCAGCCAACCTGTTGGTTTTGAGGGACATCCTCATCACTTATGCTGCTTTTCACCCAGGTACGCTGCAAGAATCACACTGGCAATATCAGGCTGCATTACAGGCTGTGTGTTGCCCTGTTAAAGTCACTAACAGTTGGTTGTTTGCGCATCACTTCTCATGATCCAGAGGTCAGTTATGCCCAAGGAATGAATGACCTGTGCAGCCGGTTCTTGGAGGTTCTTAACTCTGAGGTTGATGCTTATTGGAGTTTCTGCTGCTACATGGAGAAGTTTTCCAAGGACTTCAGGGCTGATGGTCTGCACAGGAAAATAGGTTTGATGACTAACAATAAATGCCACTTAATTTGTATAATAAATGCTATATCTCGAGGATATATATGTTTTAAAAATGAGCTTTCCACCTGAGTGGAATTACTAACTAGGGTTGACCTCTAGTGGTAAAATAAAGGTATTGAAAACAATAATTCCAGTACAAAAAAGCAAGTGTTCCCTTATACAGTATATTTAAGTGAAGGCTTTATTAGATTGATACGGAATGTGCACATTTCTGAAAGCCTTTGTTTTTCCCGTCAGTAGGTCTTTGAGGCTAAATCAGGGATTCTTAAAATAAAAATATTAAATATTAACTAAATTCTGGGCGGCACGGTGGCGTGGTGGTTAGCACTGTCGCCTCACAGCAAGAAGGTCCTGGGTTCGATTCCGCCCAGTGGCCTTTCTGTGTGGAGTCTGCATGTTCTCCCCGTGTCTGCGTGGGTTCTCTCCGGGTTCTCCGGCTTCCTCCCACAGTCCAAAGACATGCTCTGGGGATCAGGTTAATTGGGGACTCTAAATTGCCCGTAGATGTGTGAATGTGAGTGTGAATGGTTCTATGTCTCTGTGTTGCCCTGCGATTGGCTGGCGACCAATCCAGGGTGTACCCTGTCTATCGCCCGAAGTTGGCTGGGATGGACTCCAGCCCCCCCGCGACCCTGTGTGCAGGATAAGCGGTTTGACGATGGATGGATGGATTAACTAAATTCTCCCCAAAAATGGGACAAAACCAGAATAAAATCCATCCAGAACCAAATCTATAATTTTAGATTCTGTTGGTGAAGCATATGAAAGAGATATGGGTTGTTTTCTCTTTTAGAGTTGGAGGCAGCCCTGTTGAAGGAACTGGACCCTCAGCTGTACACTCATTTGGTCACAAACTCCATGGATAGCTTTACCTTCTGCCACAGGTATATCTACAAAGATCTTTGCTCATATTCTCTATGCCTGACTACGGGGTTTTTGATGTGTTACTGTTCTACTTGTGTGTGTGTGTGTGTGTGTGTGTGTGTGTGCCCCTTAAGGTGGCTGCTGCTTGGGTTCCAGAGGGAATTTGAACACAGTGATGCATTACGTTTGTTCGAGATCCTGAGTTGTGACCACCTGGAGCTCATCTCCCAGCAAGTGGACCAGGCACGTTATAAGGAAAGACTTGCACAAAAATGCAGGACAGGTAAAGCAAAAAACTATTAATAAATTAATAGAATAAGCAAGGCTTAATGCGGAGGAATAGTTAAATGTCTTTAATGCAGCGATGTGTCCCTGCAGAGGACAATTCAGAGTCCCAGCTGCAGGCCATCAACACTGACTTCACCTTCGAGCTCTTCATCTGTGCAGCCATCCTGTTGGAGAACAGAGAGTTTCTCCTGCGTTGCCGTGACGAAGTACAACTTATCCAGTTTACAAGCAGGTAAGATCTGCTAAGATGTTTAAATCTCACTACATAAAAACATTATGTTTTTGTTAATGAATGGGTTGGATAAACTGTTGTTTTTTTTTATTTTTTGTTTTCAGCCTTCAGGGGAACTCTGGGAACTGCACAGCACGCTAAAGAAAGCAGAGCACCATTTGTACAACTACTGCAAGAGCTGTGCTTGGGACTACATGAACGGGTGCTGTAAAACGGACAAGAGCCAAGAAGAGGACTTTCTGTATCAACTCCGCAGTTTATTTGTTTTAAGGTGAAAGCTACTGTTTAGATATTTGATATTAAACTCATGTAACTGTTAATTTGTAACCAGGGACATGTAATCACTATTTAGAGGTTTGACATTTGTTATTTTTATTCACTGATTGCTGCTGACCTTTCCTTGGATCCGTTACCGCTGTTTATTATAAATGTACAGTATTTATTGTGTGAAAGCCGACCCGCAACAACCGTTTTATTTCTGTGGCCCATAACTGCAGTGAAAATAAAAGGCCCAATATTTTAGGAGGACATAGAAAACACACTTTAGAGGATGTTTTTCCCGGGTTGTGCAATATTCAACTGCAAGTAGAAAACTACCACTCAACGGGCGTGTGTGAAAACTAAGATCTGGCGTGACGCAACAGATGGTGTCTAACAAACCGCAGTTATATTTAATGCCAGATGGTCTCTGAGCCAGAGAGGCCCATGTAACAAGAGTAGAAATCTAGTTTTTGAGCTCTGTAAAAGGGTACGAAGAGAGTATATGACTGCACTTCTGTCTTTTTAAACTGAGAACGAAACATATATACTCCATAAAATGTATACTTTAATAAAACGATTGTTTACTAAATTGCAATATCGATGTACACTTTTCTTATTTACCCTACATAATAAAAGTCAGTACCTTGATGATACATTTTTACATGCTCTGAAGTACAAAATGAATTGAAGTAAATAACTAACTGAATTGAATAGATTAACTGGTATTAAAATGTACACTTTTGTACATCCAAAAGTGCATGTCTTTCAGCCGCCACGATCATATTAACCCATACGGTGAATCTTAAACTAGTTCAGTCCATGTGCATGGACAACATTCGTTATCACACAAGCCCTAAAAGTATTTTCATTTGTTTCCTCTCATTTATCCCATTCACACACGCACACCGCAGCACAGCTGTACATTCTCAGACACCCCACAAATACGGGATGATCTATTTAAGGTTATTAATTGAAAAAAGATTTTTAAGCCCTCGTCAGTTTGCTTAGCTCAGCTGGCAGATAAGTGACAGCGGCAAGCTTTCGTTCAAAGAAATCCAGTAAATGAGCTGACACATGGGCCTAGAACTTTCCTTGGTGAAGTCACCTGACACCCGTATGGGCTCTCGCTGCATGCACGGTGCACTATATACACCGGAGAGCAGACATACTCGTCCTTTCAGTCCGCCCGCCAGGAGAGGGAACGGAGCTCTAGATAGGATGAGATAAAACGGAAAGGTATTAATCTGAAGGAAAGTCACGTGTAAGAGTTTCCTTTAAAATTCTGAAATTCTTGCGAAAACTCAGTAACTTCTTGTCTTGAACTTCTGACAGCACAAGGTAACCCTTCAAGTAGCCTGGCTTCATGCTCCGTCTTGCTTGCTGCTCTGAAAGTGCATTGCATGGTTTTTGTAGAATATGCAGACTATGAGAAGAAGCACAACGTTGAGTGACTGTCCAGTAAACAAAACAAGTATTTTTTCATAATGTTTTGGGAATTTTTTCCCAACATGTCAGTCGGACCTTTAGGAACGCCTCAACCAAATGAAGCGGAATTGCATTGAATATGCCATATAGCTAAAACAGACTTTAATCTTTAAGCTTCATGAGTGCAACATGTTGACACAGACCACAGCGCTGTTATATTCATGTTCCAAAACAAATAGTTCTTTACATGATTTGCATTTTAGAATTGGGCAACGGGACATGCAGTGAAGCAACGCTGTCAGCATGTTTTGCTTGTATGTTGCACAACTGAAAAACTATTGAGTTCAATTGAGACATCACAGGGAACAAGGTTCAACTGTCACTTGTTAAGAATGCAGAAGATAAAAGATCTTTAAACTTAAGTCAGTTTTGAGTTTTGTGTTTTTCTCTGCTTTCAAAAGGTTTCCTGCATGAGAGGCTTTTGTTGAGTTGTTATCTGATCAAACACCAGTTACTGTATCTGTTTAAATAGTAAGCCGTCTCGCCTAATAATCACTAAGACACCTTCCACTCATTGCGCCGATGCTTAATTTAGTAATGCTAAGCTATTTGGAGCCAGCTGTCGGAACATAGACACACCGATCACTATTCCAGGATGAGTACATCACATTTCACCAGCCTGACTGTTGCTGAGTGAGTAGAGGAGAGAGAGTTAATTAAAGAGCAGTGTGACATCCACCAATCGCTGGGTCTGAACTGTCAGAAGGAGGTTCATGCTGCTACACCATGAATGGTCATCTCCTCTCCACCCAATGAGCCTCATGTTCCCTTGCAACCTGCAGAGAGTTATGTAACATGGGACATGCGTATCTTTGCAGATAAACCCATAGTTGATATACAGTACATATATGTGTACAGGTGAGTACACATTGCATGAATGACACAGAAAGAAAACAAAACTCCAAGTAGAAAATAATTACTGCCATAAAAATTGAGAATAATTCTAATAATTTTATTCAGTTAAGATGAATACATACTGTATACTTATCTATAATTATTGTCCATAACAAAAAGGGTTGCAATTACAAACTCATTGATTTCATCTTGCTTCTTTTATGTAAGATGTCCAAAGGACCAGCAGTCGGTATTGATCTGGGAACCACATATTCCTGCGTGGGGATCTTCCAGCATGGCAAAGTGGAAATCATTGCTAATGACCAAGGAAACAGGACCACGCCAAGCTACGTGGCCTTCACAGACACTGAGAGATTGATTGGGGACGCTGCCAAGAACCAGGTGGCCATGAACCCAACCAACACTGTATTTGGTGAGAACGGCAAAGCCCAAAAGACAAGAGGCTCAGAAACAATATTTCAAAATAAAACATGACTTATAGTGCTTTGTTTTCTTCTCTCCTCAGATGCGAAGCGTCTAATTGGTCGTAAGTTTGACGATCCTGTGGTGCAGTCAGACATGAAGTACTGGCCCTTCAAGGTTGTGAATGACTCAAGTAAACCTAAGGTGGAGGTTGAATACAAGGGTGAGATAAAGACCTTCTACCCTGAGGAGGTGTCCTCGATGATCCTAACCAAGATGAAGGAGATCTCTGAGGCTTATCTCGGGAAGGTAGATGACAATAAGGATGCACTCCTTTACTCAGATCAACAAAGGGTAGTTTGGTTTTATGAGGTTGGCAAGGACAAGCTGCAGATATCAACTAAAAGTACATTTTGTTTATACCCGTTACACTTGACAGACCTTAGAATCCTAGCAAGCGATTTCCTTCTCCTGTGTGCCTTGTTTATGTTTGCATTGTGGGGACACACACATGATATTTATTGAGCTCTTACTGTCTCCCCAGGCTGTCACCAATGCAGTTATCACAGTTCCTGCTTACTTCAATGACTCCCAGCGGCAAGCCACCAAAGATGCCGGAACCATTGCCGGTCTCAATGTGCTGCGTATCATCAATGAGCCCACTGCTGCAGCCATTGCTTATGGCCTGGACAAAAAGGTGACTTACTAACGCAATGCAAATCTCAACCTCTTCTATGCTGCTATTTTTAATTCTTGCCATTTTATTTTAGGTTGGCGGTGAACGTAACGTCCTTATCTTTGACCCTGGAGGGGGTACTTTTGATGTGTCAATCCTGACTATTGAAAGATGGCATCTTTGAGGTCAAGGCCACAGCCGGGGACACCCACTTAGGGGGTGAGGACTTTGACAACCGCATGGTTAACCACTTCATAGCTGAGTTCAAACGCAAGTTCAAAAAGGAAATCAACAGCAACAAGCGAGCTGTGCGTCGTCTACGCACAGCTTGTGAACGTGCCAAGCGCACCCTCTCCAGCAGCACCCAGGCCAGCATTGAGATAGATTCCCTCTACGAAGGAGTAGACTTCTACACTTCCATTACCAGAGCCCGTTTTGAGGAGCTTAATGCAGAGCTCTTCCGTGGGACCCTCGAGCCTGTGGAAAAGGCCTTGAGAGATGCCAAGATGGACAAGGCCCAGATCCATGACATTGTACTGGTGGGTGGCTCCACACGCATCCCCAAGATTCAAAAGCTGCTGCAGGACTTGTTCAATGGCCGTGACCTCAACAAGAGCATCAACCCTGATGAAGCAGTGGCTTATGGTGCAGGTGGGTCTCTTCACTGGTTATATTACTATTTCAGTAGGAGAGCTGTCGTTCAAATACTTTTGTTTTGGTTTATATTGAAGTGTTCTTGTTATCATGACATCACTTTCACCACCTCACTCTTCACAGCTGTGCAGGCAGCCATTTTGGCTGGTGATAAGTCTGAGAATGTGCAGGACCTGCTCCTGCTGGATGTCACACCCCTGTCCCTGGGAATTGAGACCGCTGGAGGAGTAATGACTGTTCTTATCAAAAGGAACACAACCATTCCCACCAAGCAAACCCAAACCTTCACCACCTATTCAGACAACCAACCTGGTGTGCTTATTCAGGTAATTCTAGAGAAACAACATTTCGCTTTCGAAAGTGTGTGTTGATGCAGAAAGAATTGAGTCGAGTAACTGCTTGCAGGTTTATGAAGGCGAGAGAGCCATGACCAAGGACAATAACAGCCTGGGCAGATTTGAGCTGACCGGTATTCCACCCGCTCCCAGAGGCGTCCCTCAGATTGAGGTCACCTTTGACATTGACGCCAACGGCATTCTCAATGTGTCTGCAGTGGACAAAAGCACTGGAAAAGAGAACAAGATCACCATCACAAATGATAAAGGTATACGGATTATGTTGAATGCGTATTAAATCAGAAGCTGATGCCACAGCTGGAGAATTGCAACACATTAACAAAGAAAAAATACATATCACACAGAGGGTACGCTTTGTGTATCATTCATTTTACAGGACGTTTGAGCAAGGAGGACATTGAGCAGATGGTGCAAGAGGCAGAACAGTTCAGATCTGAGGACGAGGCCCAGAGAGAGAAGGTCACTGCCAAGAACTCCCTGGAGTCTCTGGCCTTCAACATGAAGAGCACAGTGGAGGACGAGAAGCTCCAAGACAAGATAAGCCCTGAGGACAAAAAGTCCATCGTAGACAAGTGCAACGAAATAATTTCCTGGCTGGACAGGAACCAGGTAAAAACACTCTTGACTGAACTATGATTCTTGATGAGAGACATGGTTACTCTTTTTTGTCATGGAAGCAGGTAGTTGTCCTCAATCATTTTAAACAATGTGAAGCAAATCCGCAATATCCTTATCCAATTATATATTGAACAAGCAACTACCATCCATAATAAACCCGTATAAGGTGACAATAAAATCTGGGATTTGTTTTTCTCAGACGGCAGAGAAGGATGAGTACGAACACCAGCAGAAGGAACTGGAAAAGGTGTGCAACCCCATCATCTCCAAGCTGTACCAGGGGGGCATGCCGGGAGGGATGCCAGGAGGGATGCCTGGTGGTTTCCCTGGTGGAGCTGGAGGCGGCTCCTCCTCTGGCCCAACTATCGAGGAAGTCGACTGAAGACTATGCTGACAGTGCCTTTATCTCAGATCCCAACATGCACATACTGCCTTAAGGCTGTTTACTTTGCCAGAATCAACCTGCAATAAAATGTACTGATCACAGCCCTCTTATGTTATACACATTATGCTTATCATGTTTCTTCACAAAATTCTAATAAACTATATTAGACAGGCATTTAAAATATTCAGTCAAATAAGAAGCTGGCTGTTGTTTATTATTTCCGTCATGAGTGATAATTTGCTTGAGGTATTCCAACATCAAATCAATAAAAACATTGGGAGGTTGGTTGTTGCTTCTTATTGCATGATTATAGAACTTGTGTAGGACAAACACAAGCATAAACATTTATATAATCATGTGCTTATCACCAGATGTTCTCTTCCCAGACCTATCACAGTCATTGCTGTGTGTTGGTGTGTGTGGTGGTAGGGCAGTCAGGGAACACATGGAACTCAGGGTCAACCATCCGTGTGAGACTCATATAAAAGCCAGTTTCCCACACAAAATGACACAGGAGAGTGCATCACCATCGAGACGTGGCCATGCTGTTGCTTATCAGTTGTTTCGCTCTTGTGGTCTCTACACTGGGTGAGTGAGTTGAAGTATGCCAGCACATTCGTTACCTGTTGAACATTTTTCCTACACATCAATTGGAAGATAAACAATATGCAAATTATTCCTGGTATGCATGCCCTTGTTGTGGGACAAGCAGATTAATTTGTAATTGTGCGACTTTGTCAGGTTGTGGAGTACCTGCTATCAAACCTCAAGTGCGCGGATACAACAAGATTGTAAATGGGGAGAATGCCATTCCTGGGTCATGGCCATGGCAGGTGTCGCTTCAGGTAGCTTAAGCTATGCAACCTTCCAATTGCTACAATCCCAAGCCTTGTGTAATTCAGAAAATGTCACTAAGAACGGACGTGCTTCACTTCCAGGATGGTGGTGGATTCCACTTCTGCGGAGGATCCCTGATCAACCAGAACTGGGTCGTAACTGCCGCTCACTGCCGCGTGTCGTGAGTAATGCTGTGTCCCACATCCACATGAGCAACAGCCCAACCTTGCCATCTCTGCAAGCTGTCTGTTTTTGTTCCCACCAGAGCAAGCAACCACCGCGTTATCCTGGGCGAACATGATCGTCAGTCCAACGCTGAGCAAATTCAGGTCAAGACAATTTCCAGGGTAAGTAATATAACACATGCATGATGTCTTTATTCAATTAGACATTTCAATGTCCAATGCTGGTTGGATGTGTCAAAACTGCATCATATCTGCTACTAATATTTGCTCCCGTCCAGGCCATCTCTCACCCCTACTACAACGCCCAGAACTTCAACAATGACGTCACCCTCCTGAAGCTGTCATCCCCAGTGCAGATAACGTCCCGTGTGTCTCCTGTGTGCCTGGCCTCCTCCAGCACCAGCATCCCCTCTGGAACCAGATGTGCCACCACCGGGTGGGGCAAGACGGCCCAGACCTGTGAGTGAGCAGCTACCATTTAAGAATTACACACAGGGCAAATGCACAAACAGATGTTCCATTTCCACAAAGGAAACTAGGTAGGCACTGTGTAAGGTATTTATTTATGCAACAGCAGCCTCGTTTTCATTTCTTCTCCTTTTTCAGCGAGCCCACGCTACCTCCAGCAGACTGCGCTGCCTCTGCTTAGCCCTGCTCAGTGCAGACAGTACTGGGGTTACAACAGAATCACTGACGCTATGATCTGTGCTGGTTCTTCTGGCGTGTCCTCCTGCCAGGTAACAATCATTTCAACCCCTGAAATGCAGTTTCATATTATTATTATATTACATGGTAATACATATCGCAAACAAACCACTAGTAAAACAAGATATACAGTTAATACGGCAGGTTGTCCTAATCACAAAGTGGTTTTTTTTATCAGCATATCGGTTTTCCTGTTTTTGTATTGCTCACATCCTGTCAGTAATTCGAACCTCCTCTCAATGTGTTGTTATCGAGCACTCTCTGTTCTATTCTGTTAGATGACCCCATGCACACTCTATAAAAGCATTTACATTCACATTTTTCTCATCTCAGGGCGACTCTGGTGGACCTCTGGTCTGTGAGAACAGCGGAACGTGGTCCCTTGTGGGTATCGTATCCTGGGGTACCTCAAACTGCAACGTGCGCACCCCTGCAGTGTATGCACGTGTGTCCTACCTACGAGGATGGATCGACCAGATAGTTGCTTCCAACTAACGTGCAAACAAAGAAAATCGGCGATACAGAAGTGCCTCTTCCTGCTAGTCACTGTAATCCATGCAGCATCAATATAAGCTGCCACACGGAACCTATCTCTGTTGGCTTTGAATGGTAGCAACTACTTGCTGGGCTGCTTTGCTTGTGAGAAATTACATATAAAATATACAACTTTGAAGTAACACCAGCGTTTAATTTCATTTTTTACATTTGTGTGTGTGCGTGTTGAGTGGAAAGGTGAAAAGCATGACTGTGCAGCATAAAAGCAGTTTAATAGGTTTTGTCAGATAGCCACTGGGGGTTTGAAAAAACACTAAACCTCTCATATATTGAGATATAAACAAAGGTGTCCTGTAATAAATACTACTATTATGTAAATGAGTTAGAGCTCTGATTGATGATAGTCCGGCTTAATGTTGGACATTAAACTGTAGAGTCATTTTGTCCATTCGCTGTCTTTGGCTTAACGTTCTGCATGCTCTGGATAAGGCACCACCTGAGTAGGAGAAACATCAAACAGAGAACTTCATTTCTTCTAACGCCTGGGTACGCATGAAGCTGCGAGAGCAGGTAAAGTGGGAAAAATACGGACTTTATTCACCCAAGCTATTTACAAATTAGAAGGGATAGCTAAATCAAACAGAGGGAAAACTCAGAATAACTATTCAACATACTTGCAAATTCAACCTAATTAATTGAAACTACTTCAAACAACGCAGTGAGTGTTCTACTGAAAAAATACACTACTGACCTATCTCCAAACAGCAAGTTTATACTACGCTGGCTATAGTGACCCTTTTTCTTGTCAGAAGTGAGGTCACCTTGGTTGGTGTTAAGTTTGTTTTGACGCGTGAAATAATCCTTGAGACGTCTCCAATAGTTTTTGATGGTAATTTATTTTGTTCTCCAAACATGATCAGAGGACACCTCAGTTTCTTGAACGTCCACCTTTCCTACTCAAAAATGAAATTGATATAACACTGTTTACCACTAGTGACACCATCAAGAGATCCCAACACATCGTCTCGCTTTTCCAACCTGCGATGCAGCTGCTCAGTTGTTTGCCAGGACGGCGGTCGGCTGCGAACCACCGATTGCCAGACAATATTTCTTCTCTTTACCTTGATTTAGTTAGTCAAAACCATCCTAATGTATTGGAATGAATACTCTGGTAATTTAAACTGGAGGATTGAATGACATTGGTAATTAGTACAGTTAAATGCTGTGCATGATGGCTTTTTTTTTTGTTTATTTTTTTGTTTATTATTTTCCATTATACTTTAAATACTTGAAGTGTTGCACTTCAAAAGAAGGATACTCATGGGTGTTTGTGGTTTTCTGTTGAAACACAATCAGCATCTGTTGTGTGTTCCTTGTATTTATAAGCCGCTTCTTTTGATACTTTACTGCATCTATTTGCTGCAATATCAACTGTCTATGTATTTGTATCTGGGGGACGTGCAGAGCCATTTGACCTCTGTTTTTGACCTTTGACCAAACATGAGGTCGTAATGAGGCATTGAGTTCAGTTTTGCTCACGTCTGAGGATTTCACAAGCTCGTCTAAATATTGCGCAGCAAACTTTATACACGCTTCAATCTGCTTTTTTTTCAGCAATGGAGTTTTGCGTGGTGAGCATGTGCATACAGGCGGTTGAGCGAATTACTTATCGTTTCCTTTGAAACAATTGTACCTGCTAATTCTATCTCCAGCTCTCCAAAAGCGGTCCTTGGACAACTCTTCCCATAACGTTTTTCACTCAGTTTTGAAATCTTACTGTAACCAATGCCATCAGTATGTTTTGCAACAATATGGTTGCGAAGGTCTTGAGACAGCTCTTTGCGTTTAATAGGCCCCAGGCGGTACACATTTGCATGACAAGGGGCAGAAGTGCTTTTTTTATTACTGATAGATTTCAGCTTGTGTCTTGGCTTTGCATGAGTTTGTGCACCTCCTTTCTTCAACACTTACATGCAGTTTTATATTATTATTACATCACACGGTGATACAGTTAATACGGCAGGTTGTCCTAATCACAAAGTGGGGTTTTGCATCAGCATATCTGCTTTCCTGTTTATGTATTGCTCACATCCTGTATGTACTATTACAGAACCTCCTCTTAATGTGTTGTTATTGAGAAATGTCTCTTCTATTGTATTAGATGACCCAATGCATGCTCTACAAAAGCATTTACATACACGTTTCTCTCATCCTCTGGTCTGTGAGAACAGTGGAATGTGAAACCAGGGGTACCTCAAACTGCAATGTGCGCACTCCTGCAGTGTATGCATGTTTATCTTATCCATGGGGATCGATCGACCAGATAGTTGCTTCCTACTAACGTGCAAACAGCAATACAGATGTGCCTCTTCCTGCTAGTCACTGATCTACGCAGCATCACTATAAGCTGCCACATGGAACCTCTCTGTTGGCTTTGAGTGGTAGCAACTACTTGATCTGCTGCTTTGTTTGATGCATTTGTGAGAAATTACACATAAAATAAGAACTTTGAAGTAACACCAGAGGTTTTTTTTTTTTACATTTGTGTGTTGTGTGGGGAAGGTGAAAAGCAGGACTGCAGCATACAACAAAGATAAAGAAAGAAATGAAGAGCAGTTTAAGAGGTTATTTCAAAAAGGGGGGTTTAAAAAAGACACTAAACCTCTCGATATAAAACAAGTGTCCTGTAATAAATACTCCCATTATGTAGAGTTCAGATTGATGCTCGTTCGGCTTAAGTAATCTCCAGCTATGATCCTGTTGGGGTCCTTTAAATTCTGTGGTATTCTGTGTATAAATTGTTATTTTCGTCCATTTCCTGTCCTTGGCTAAATGTCTTTTTGCACTCATGACAACTGCAGGAGTACTACTTCATTGGCAGCTGCATGAACTGAGAAGGAGGAGTCATGAGGGAGAGATTGAGTAAAGGCAGAAGCAGGTAGAGTTCATTTCAGAATAAAGACAGACTCTCACTGCACCAGAAAAATGGGCTCTGGTAAGATGCTTTACTTGTAACTCCACTGCTTTCACATTGCATGACCATAAAGGTGGTCAAATATAATTTCTTACTAAACTTATTTAGTAAATTCAGGATACATAATCAATAATCTTTAGCTCATTTTCTTTTCATTTTAGTGCAATATGGATAAAAGTTAACTTACAGTAACCGCGGAGGTCACTATGGCAGATGTGCCGGGACGAGAGCATTCTAGCACGACATAATACAAGCTACCAACTCGCACACAGTCAACAAAGACTCTCCGGTTACAGGAGTAATGAAATGACCTGTTTCTCAATGATCATTGCGGATTGTGTTGAAGAGACTAATGTGTATTTTCACATTTCTTTTTTGTTCAACAGATAACACCGCTTCCACCGCACCTCCACCAGAGGATTTGGGTTTGCTTTTGACAAATATACGTATCGTGTCCCTGTTCGTCTACAGCGTGGCATTCGTGTTTGGGATTCTGGGGAACGGTGCCGTCATCTACGTGACGGCCTGCAGGATGAAGAGAACGGTCAACTCAGTCTGGTACCTCAACTTGGCTCTGGCTGACTTCCTCTTCACGGCATTCCTGATTTTCACGATCATTTCCGTCTTTCGGGAGCACCATTGGCAGTTTGGAGAATTCATGTGCAAGCTCAACAGCTTCATGTGTGTATTCAACATGTTTGCGAGTATCTTTCTTCTGACAGTCATAAGTCTGGACCGGTGCCTGTCCATCTGGGTGGTGGTGTGGGCACAAAACAAGCGCACCGTTCGCAAAGCGCAGGTCACGTGCGCGGTCGTCTGGATTACTGCGGTTGTCTGCAGCCTCCCTTATGCCCACTTTCGGAAGGTCCAAGAGGATGATGATGATGATGATGATGATGAGGAAGACATGAAGACGCACTGTGCTTATTCTGTACAACACAGTTTTTTTGACATCTTCCGCTTTGTCGTGGGCTTCCTCATCCCTTTCATTGTAATACTGGTGTCTTATGTTGCAATAGGGGTTCGTGTAAGCCGTTTGCAGAGGGCCGGGAAAAATAGATCTTGCCGAATAATTTTCTCTATTGTTGTTGCATTTTTCCTCTGCTGGTGTCCCTTTCACGTTTTTACTTTAATTCAGCTGTATTCCACTAACCCAAATGTTGAGAACACAGCCCATATTGTGGGTCCTCTGCTTGCGGCCCTGGCTTTCCTGAACAGCAGCCTGAATCCGATTCTCTATGTTTTCATGTGTGAGGAATTCCAGAGGAAGCTCAAGTCGTCCATTTGCTTGGTCCTAGAGAGCGCCCTGGCAGAAGACCGCCTGTCAATTTCGTCTCACCGCACTTTGTCGTCACAATTTTCTCGGATGACCCAGAGGTCCAACTCCACTGCACCCGCAGAGGCGAGTGGCACTGCTGGCACTTCCTTGAACGTTAAACAATTCAAAGTGGTCATCGCTGTGGAGACAGACAATGAGATGGAGAACACTGAATAAGGTCTGCAGAGACACTTCTACAACTTCACAGAAGGAGGACCGATGAGGACTGTAGGAGATGTAAATCATGTGTTTCCTGATACATTTTGTAGTCAATAGGCAGAGAAAAGAAGAGCACAAATAATATGTTGAAGTAACTGAATTAGTGCGTCGGGAACATAACTTTTTATTTTTTGAATATTTGCCGTGTGTGATTTCGATGTGTTTATTTTAGATTTAATATGACTATGTCTATGCAGCCAGATGGTGTGAAAACACATGTGTGCGTGTACTGTGGCTTTAATATCTAAATACAAGGTTTTTTTTTTAAACAATTGTCTTTTTTGCCATGAAGACGTGAACTTATATTAATCAGAAACATAAAGTAATTTGTTATTTGTGAGACAAAGAGACCATTTGTATTTGTATCTTTGTCTGCTTTCGATGCCTCAGGGTGTTTAGCCATCGTGATTGATCGAGAAGACTGTCACACAAGCCGGAGCTTTAATTGTTCAGCTGGACAAATTTCACAGTGATTAAAAAGTTTTAAAGGTTTTTTCAGGAAATGCTCTCTTCCTTCTATATACCCCTTTACACACTACTCCCCAGACAGTGTTAAATCGTAAAAGAGTAAATATGCCTTACAACGTGGAACGTAGTTGAAACTTACTTCAGTTCAAAACAAGGAAATTAAAAAGGAAATGAACCATGACAGATGTGTGCTTTGAAAGAATAGTAGTTACATTTTTTGTGTGCAGTCTCATTTGGTTCATAAAAGCATGTGATATCACCACAGCACCGAGTCCTCCATTGTGCATTTGTGAAGACCCTTTCTGCCTGTTAGGTGTTTACCTTCCGTCAGGTATCGGAGTGGGCGGGGCTTAAGGTCATCTGGGAAGTAGATGCACCTGCAGCAAGGCCGCCACATGGGCCCTTCTGTTAAAAGGTGTTGGTGCTTGATTTGGTAAGATTTCTGATTTTACTATTTAAATTGTTTAACAATTTTTTTAATATATATATATATATATATATACACACACACACACACACACACACACACACACACAATAGGACCAATGTGTTACTTAGATACTTGCTCACCACTAAACTTGTAACTTCCCATCCAGTCAGCAATTTTGCAACACATGTTTAGAATGTGTTCATTGTCTGACACTTCACTGAGAGACATGTGATCGGTTAGTATTGCGATATTAAGGCTTCACTTCTTACCTGATTAGTTAATAAATAAGCAAAAACACCATCATGCATTTCATGTACCAGATAATGCATTGTAAAGAATAAAAGTAGTCATACTGAATGTCAATGTAATTCAAGCTACTCTGGCTCCTTGTGTTCTCCAGTACATGTGTGTGACCACACTGACCTTTAATTAGTCTCTTGGATGTGAAGGCTGACACAGGAGGGACGGAGCCGCAGTGCGTGTGGAAAACCGATTTGTTTATTCACACATCTACAAATATATTTTTTTATGAATGAAAACAGCCCAACATCACACTAGAACAAATTCTCGCACAAGAAATCGCAAAACAATTTAAAACCCAGTAGAATAAATATTCTGCAATGCACACGACATACGGTTTATTTAGGACTCAAGTTATGTTCATGCTTCCCTACGAGTTTGGTGATGTTATAGTCTGTAAATTCAAACATCAACTGATCTTTTACAACTGTGTGGAGTCCTTTCTACGGTGGAGAGCCGCAGCACAAGCCAGTTAGCGATCGTAGAGCTCCTTCATCTCCTTAAGAACCTTGATACTCTCGCTGTATCTTAACTGGTTCTTGTTAGAGCACTCCTTCCATCTAGGAAAGAAGACCAATATTCGTTAGCTCAACTCGCCCCCAATGGTTTGATGTTTCAGTATTCTTTCAAAACTAACTTGCGAACACCTTCACATGAAATGTTCCTCATGAGCGGATTTTATAACAGTGAAGATTCAAGAATGTTTTAAGTGAGTAAAGAACACTGATGTGTAAAACCCTGAGCTCAAGGTCGCTCTCCTACAGTACAAAAGATGATAATTGTGAGTAATTATTTAAACAAAAAAGAACATACTTTTGCCTTATTTTTTTCCAACGTTCCATGTGGTCACATATGAGAGAACCTGATACGGGAAGTGAATCTGTCAACTGTTGAAAGAGGAACGTTTTAGAATATGACTGAATATTTGAAAATGACTCAACTTCGTAACAAGTTCATTTTATGTTAATGCGATACATGAAAATAGAAAAAAAACGTCAATAAGTATAATGCATATAATATACAGAACCTTATTAACGGTGGGTTTTTCCGTCTGTGGGATCCTGAGGTTGACGGGTTCACCGGAGATGCTCGTTGGACAGGACGTTGGCGGAGGGAGTCCGTACACATTCTGACCTTTACCATTGATCATGTCCGTGAGCTGGCAACAGAAACAACATTTGAGTTAGCAATGAAATTGAACAGTGACTTACTCAAAATAAATTCTAGCCTTATGACGCCGAAGGACCAGCAAAACAGCATATTTAGATTTCGGGAATTTCTTAAACTTTGTGTACTGCAAATACTCTGGGAAATACGCTCTCTCAAAGTTAATTCAACATTTACAAAGACTTTAGTCTTTCTATATTGCTTTGCCACAAGAGAGCGCCCTCATGCTGGTTGCTTTAAGAGCCCAATATAACAGCTACCAGGACCATCAATACTGCGCTTTGTCTGCAAACGTTTAGCCTTTTATAGATCAGAATAATTCCCTCACTTAAGTAGCATTCCTGGGTTGACTCAATAGCATACCATAACCATTTTGGTGAAAATGATAGCTTGCATACTTCAGAAAGCTAGAAACCTTTTTTTGGTGGGTTTTTGGAAAACCTGTCATTCTAGATCTAGAAAGACATTGTTTTGATTAAAAAATAAAAAAACTCCTTGAATATGAATTGAACGTTACTGAAAAGTCATCTGACATAACTGAAATAACTGCATGGCCTTACCTCTTCCTCCACCGTAATGTGTGGGGGGCTCGGGGAAGCCAGCGGTGCTCGAACAGAGGGATTATTTCTCATCCAGGCACGGCAAATGGGATAGAGTGGGGTGCTGGTGTTGAACTGAGCAAGATCCACGCTGCGATCAAACAACTTAATAACGTAAGCGTCTAACAAGTGGGGAAAAAAAAAAAGAAGAGGAAAATAAAGTTAGGAAATTGTACAATAAAGTTAAGGACCGAGTGACCACACTTAAAGCAGAAAAAAGACGTTACTGCAATGACATTTCTTCCTCAATTGTTTTCTAGCATTGAGTGTACTTTGTTTGTGTTGATTTGCCTCAGGTATGCCCTCGTCCATCTCTTTGCGCTTCTTCCTCCGGTGCTGTGAAAATCGGGCTGATTGCCTGGAAAAATATAAAGAAGGACTGAAACGTGAAAAAAAGATAAAAACACATGTTCCAGCTGATTGTGGTGTGAAGAAATACACAGCTCAGTTGAAAAATACACACTTGCCTTTTTCCAGCAGACGATGGTGACAAATCCCTAGAAACCAAGTGAAACATGACATGTCAAAAACAAGCACACTTTATATTTAATACTGTTATAATATAACATTGATACATTTGACAACTCCAGCTACAGTATTTTATACATTCTAAAGAACTTGACAAATATATTAGAGATCCAAATCGTAGGTCCATACTTGTTTAAGGAGTCAGATGATATTTTTCCGGTATCGCCCTCATTCTGCTCCCTGTTCAAAACACAAATGATATCAGTCCGATAGGAAAGTAATCAAAGGCCAGACGAGTTTCTAACCTGTAAAAGGCGAAGGTTTTACCTACTTTTCACTCACACTCCTCTCCAGCAGCCCCTTTAACACAGAATCCAGTCTGCTGCGCGCACCAGCCGCCTCCGCATCTGCAGGTCAACGAGCGAGGCAGTAAACGGTGAACTTTCCATTAAAAGCAGCAATTAACGTCATTAGCAACAAAGGCTTCATATTGAAAGCCTAAGTTCGCCGTTGGGGTGAAATCGGGAGTATTAGCGTTGCTTACCTTGCCTTTCAGTCTTGATCTTGACGTGGTGCATTATTTCCACCTGTCTATATATGTGACGATAGCGTCAATGTGGGAAAATGGCGACTTTTACAGCCACAAGTCCAGTCTAGGAGACAGATACGCAGAATCTACGGGTTCTTTCCAACTTGTGACCGGTTCTACTCGTCCACGAACGTAACCAGCGTAACAGGACGTTTCCTCGCTAACGTTAATGCTAGCTAACCTCGGTAGCTGCAGTTAGGTGTTAGGCCGCGTCGCGTCAGCGCTGGCAATTGGATAACGTTAAAGCTAGCGTTAGTTTCCAAGCCTTTACATGTTGACGTTGTTGCGATTAGCTGACTAAAGGTAACGTCGAGCGATATCCATACAAATAATACGTGGAAACAAACTAGACAATGGACGTTATATTTTTCATCGAACTGTAACCGCTTGCTATGTAAAATTACCGTAGCTAACTTAACGTTAGCTTGTTTTTAGATCTGTTGTTCAACGAGCACTGCAGACTTTCCTCTTCCGCGCGCTGTCGGTTTCTTTGTAACTGATTGGCGTATTTGCCACAAGGACGTTGTTCGTGATTGGGTGTCTTGTACGTCCATCACATTTACTCGCTTTCTATTGGCTACAAGTTATCGTAGTAAATAAAAATCGGCAGAAGCAGGGTCTCCGTCTTCTGGTTTCATCGATGATGAAGAAAAAAGGAATTATAATTTCAGTTACAACAGATCTTCTAAGTGTCACCTGAGGCATTCGTGCTATTTTATGGACTATTTGTGTCTTGCGGGCGTTTGACTCCATGGTAACTTCCTTTTGCCAAATCAACTCTGAAGTCCGATGCGTGAGGAGGCTTTTCTCTTTCTAAATGAACTGCTCGTTATAATATGGAACTGCTTGAGTAACACAGACAGACATCTATGGAGACTACATACCACTTTCGGTGCAATTAGATCACCTGTGGTCTTATTGAGCTGTAGTGCAATCAGGTAATACATTACGATTGTATGGTAGTTACTGTTGTTTTTTAAGAAGTCTTGTACAGGGCAACATGCCACTCAGCACATTGGGCAAGAGATACTACCACGTGTTCTGTAATCAGTCCCCATCAAAGAAGAATAACAAAACAGTATGTTATAACGTTAGTATGTAAAATCACGTTTACCTTAACTCTGATGATGCTCTCATTCTCGTTAATGCTAACATGTAAATCACTTTGTTGTTGTTTTAACAACACAGACTAAGTCCTGTACGTTCAAACCCGTGTGCGATCCAGATCACGGTTACACACCCTGCACCCGGAGACCCAACAGCTGTTTCTGCAACGTGAACTGCGACCTTTTGCCGCTGCGGATGGACGCCCGTTTTTTGCAGAGTTCTGCCCCTCAACCGAGTGGGAATATTCTCCTTCCAGCACTACAACCTCATCTGACATGGAGACAACCAGAACCTTGTCTGTGAGAGCAGGACAATCCACAAATTCCTCAGAACTAAGAGTTCAGCAAGATTCAGTGCTGGCAAAGTATGTTTTAGTCTCGACCATGGCCTCAAAAGTGCTTAAGTAATCCTCTTAAACGTTTTAATTGCACTGAAAAGACATGACCATGGCATGGCGACTTCTCCTACAGTATTTCATTTCTTAAACTCACTGCAGCTCTTTGCAGTGACACTGCTGTTTACTCTCCAAGGTATGTAGATCGCTTTCGACATGGTCGACCGCAGAGTCGCGAGGAACGCAAGCAGGGCCCTTCAGACGACGGAGAGAAGCAGCAGCCTTTTTGGTGGATGTCACCCTCCTCTTCACCCTGCAGTTCAACACCCACTAAAGCAGCAGAAAAAGGTGCATTCTCGCCTACCGTTTTTTTTAATGTTGGGGTTATTAACTGTCCCCACTGACCTCTTAACACCAGTGTGAAACACAACCTTGTTGGTTACCTCTGCACAGATGGTATCCAGCCTCTGAAGTATGACCATGGATTTGCCATTTTCAGTCCAGATGGGCAGCATCGACATGACGGATCCCTTTCCCCATGCAGAAGGTCCATTAGTGTGAGTGCACTTGTAAGTTTCATGAGATTTAGCCACAACATGGCCTGTTAATGCATTTCTCTAATGTATAGAAACCACTTGTGCATCGTTTGCTGAAAACAAATGACACTTTCTTCAAAAAGTGGGTCTGCATACTAACCTGGTTTATGGCAGGTTTGTCTGCAAAAGACACTTTTTACATTCCTATTTACATTCTGACACCACACAACATTTCCATTTTGAAATGTCTGTGTGTACTAAATGCCAGAGATGCAGTTGTTTACGGCTTGTTCAACCTCCTTGTGTCAAATGTATCCTCCTCACAAAATTATAAAAGGAGGTCAGTATGCAGTATTTGCCAGACAGTGTGACTGATCAGACTCAAATGCTGCAAATATGATGATGTAGTTCTATTATTTTGCACCGTTTTGAGTATTCTTATTATTAAAATATGAAGAGCAAAATGTCGCTTGTTCACTGTTGTGTCTCTTGTTTCTGTTTCTCAGATGTTGTCAGACACCTCTCAAGGGGAATTTGATGACACAGAGATTCAACACCTGCAAGAAAAGGCTAGCAGACTCCTGCTGAAAGGGTATGACAACCACATAGTAACGCTAATGGTAAATGAATGCATTCCTTCAGTGCAAGTCACTCGTTTCTGTCTGACAGGGAATGCACTCCGAGTGATGGATCAAACCCTGTCAGCTCAGAGGACCTGGGATGCTCAGACTTCTCTTCTCCAGTCAGCGTATATGAGCAAGTACGAAGACCTTTTATTCCCATTAAGACAAGAGTATCAGGTAATTAAACTTCTTTTCAATTTTAACCCACTCAATGCTGTTTTTCCTCATGCAACTTGTATGTCTTTGTTTTTTCATGCTTTTTATTTTAAAATGGTCTGCTGTGTTATAATACAATGTGCTTTTACAAAATCATTTACAGAAAAGTTCAGCTCAGACGCAGTTCAGAACATGTTCTGCCAAAATTCCTCTGTCCTTCCTTTTGTGGTGCCGCCCACACGGCGGGAAGAGGACATCTTGTTCCAGTGGCGTTTAAGGAGAAAGATGGAGCAGGCCAGGGAGGGATCGCAATCCCTGCAACACGCCGGTCTTCATGATCCCACATCCAACTGGCCGGCTCCCAGTTCAAGCCGTCTCTCTGCCAGAGGAGCGGCTTACAAGGTTGGGGTTAAAATGTCTTAACACATATTCCATATGTTATGTTTAATATACTATACCAGGCAAACGTTTCATTCAATCGAATGAGTGTGTCCAACTGGTACTGAATGTTTGAGACGTACAGAATAACATTTGGTTCCTCTTTCTGGAATTGTCTCCAGCAACAGCAGCCTCCAGAATGCTCACAGCAATCTTCACAGCCACAGATCATCGCGCCCCGGCCACAAACCGAAGAAGCCCCCAGATCATGTCCCAAAGCTTCAGATCCAACTCCCTTCCCTGCCGCTGTTGCCTCTGGCTCTTCAGTCTCTCAACCACAGGCTGTTGTGCAAGTGCCTGCACACATGCATTTACTCTGTGACGTCGTGCCCTGTCCCGTCCGGTCATCCCTTGCGAGCATTCATCGACACCTTTCTGAAGGAATCGATGGGTCGCAGACAAAGGACGTCTCTGAAAAGACCCAAAAGCCACCTGAGCATTCGCCTCCTCTACCACCTGCATCCTCTGGAGCTATGGGAAGAGCTGAGCTGATTCACCAGAGCAGGTCTGAGGGGGGAAAGAAAGAGGAAGACGAGACAAGAGTGTTGGAGACAAAGAAGGAGCCGTCTTTGAGAAAGAAGAAGAAATCCACAAGGTAGTTTGAACCACGCACACTGGGTGAAAGAAAGGGGGAAAGAATCACAGTTGAAGGCCTAATCATATTTGTATTTTTGCAGATGTACTGCGCAAAGGGAACACGTTGATGGCCCCGCTCCTACAAACAGGAGATTTTCATATAAAACCGTTCCCAAAATAGTCGTGCCACGGCAACAGGAAGGAAGCGAGGGGTTCCAGAGCTCTGCTGGTGTTTGTGCACCACCCACGTCTCCGATCCACAGCGCCCTCGGACAGGTTGGCAAGTTATTTTCTCTATTGCTCTGGAAGTAGTGTGATTTAATACAAAGAGCGTTTATGAAAGCTCTTTGCTTATTTCGTCCTCATGGTTTCCCTTCTGTCAGAATAACTTAATAACTTGCCAGAAGTTTACGCAACAATCTGAAATATTTGTGTGTTGCTGTTCAAAATACAGTAGTTTGTGAGGATTTGTGACATATGAGTAGTTTTCTTCAATAAATCGATCTTCAATTTCAATTTAAGATACACTAGTGTTCATGTCAAACCATGTAAGAATGAAATGAACATAATTCTTCAAATGCTCAATTGTGCGTCCATCCCTCTCCACACTTTATGTTGTTTGGAAGTTATAAATGATCATCGGGTGATGTATAACGTCATTATGGTAATTAGAGCTGCATTAATCAGTGGGGTGTTCTTATTTGGACCTTGACAGGTAGTTTCGGAGGTATTATTTCCCACGGTGGATCCATCTCCTGGACAAAAGGACCCGGTCTTGTTGGGTTCTTCTCCTTGTGCTGCCTCTGAACCTCCACAATCCTCAGTTCCTCCACGCACTGCACACAACTCTATGGAGGTCATTTCCCAGCTGCTGCGAGAAGCTGAAGGTGATCCCCCCCCCTCACCTTTACCCTGTAGTATATTGTGGAGAATATATTGTGACCCAAGAATAGGTTTTATTCCCAACTTTCCACATCGCTTTAGGTTAAAACTCCAAAGGCTTTCTCTCTTTTTTGTAAATGCTGTAACATTTGTCATCCATGTTGAGTTTTCCATTGGTCAGAACTTGCCACTGCTCTTCAAGGATTTGATCAAGAAAACGACAACTGCTGTGTGTTCATGCGATTCAGTTCTGCTCATGAACTTTCTTACTTATTTGTTCTTCAGATTCAGATGAAAAAGAGTTTGAAGATGACCCTTTATTACAAGTTCTTCGCAGGCAGAGGAAATGGGTAAAGAAGCAGATCAGGTAAAATAATGACCTACATATTAAAATTGTATTGTATATTAAAAAGCCCAATTCTTTGTTATTTATGTAAATGATGTCCTCAGAAGGCCACTAATCTAAAGATCATATTTTTAGAATAACCCAAACATGGCACCCAAAATTCCAGAGAAATAAACTTCTGTATTTGTCCTTACAGTGAAGTAGACGCCGTGTTGAATGAATTCCTGGAAGAGTGACAAGTTACTTGGCCAGTGACAAGACGCCCTCGACGCAGTCACTTTTTAAATTTTTTTAAAGAAATAAAGTTTATTTTTTCATTTTTGGAGAAGTATTTCCACATTAAAGAGTTTGGCGATATGTTTGCGCGCATCATTAATCACAATACAGTGCATTTTTACAAAAGTTGCACACAAACAAATACCAATTTGAACACAGAATATTTACAAAGACCGGTTCCTTGAAACATCATACAAGATTGAGTAACAGAAGAGCAGTATATACAAACCCCCAAGAGTAGGGAATATTTAAACAGTGCCTGGAACAGAGCAAATGGGTGTTTTGGCACGTGACGCGTGTTGCTGTGACTGAAGGGGCATGAAGTTATTTCTGTGTGTTGGTTAGAATATCCGCTGCACTTGTTTTTATGTATGGTGAGGACGGCAGAGGTTTGGGTGGTCCGTTTGAAGGGGATTAGGTCAGGACTCTGGGGCACTCGGTCTGCAGCATCGGTGCAGATATGAAAAGGATTCCATCAGGAGAGACCGCGGATTCCAAAGCCATGGTGTCCACTCCCTTTGGGATACGGTAGCGGCGGTTAAACTGCCGGGTTGTAACCCCTGCACCGTCCTGCTGACAAAATATAAACACACGCGTAGAGGACATGACACGTTGTCGCTATTATTAATAAACAAAATGAATACATTAAGGATCCTCCCAGCATCACCAACCTTTTTTTCTTCATGCTTCCCTTGTACTTCCACAAAGTCTCCGATCACTTTGACCATCAGGTCTTCTGGCTTGAAGTGCTTTACGTCCACTTGAACAGTAAAACCGCTGTCATCACAGTTCACCTACCAACAAGTTAATACTGTGTATTATAGAGCGACAACAGCCCAAATAATCCAAGTACTCTTAATCAATATCCATGAACACTAATCATCGACCTTGGACACAAAGATTAACTTTTTTGGGGGGGGGGGCTTCCACCTGCATCTCAAGGTTTTTATCTTATGCTGATGACTTTAAGATTAATTTGAAAGTCTGAGTCACACCGTAAGACTTGTTATGTCTCCTTATTCTCATATTAAGGGATATTCCCTTTCAAAGTCCCTCTATGGTGTCACTGAATATTTTTATGTTCCATTAAACCACAAATAGTCACATTATTTTAGTGTAAACATTCCCATCCAGCCTGTAGGCAAACGTAAAGTGACCTACCTCTGCGGAGCTCGTATGATCGGTTTCTGGCATCAGTAAGCTGGGAGACCAATTATACTGCCCGTAGGTCCCGTTGAGCCGAGGAATAAGCGGCGGTAGAACCTTCTGCCACGGGATACCTCCAGCTGGAACACTGGTTGGCAGTACGAAGTCCATTTTCTGTTAAGTGGAGGAAATAATTGTTACAAAAAAAATGAAATGGACGAAGTCTACCTGACAGCAGCTGAGGACACGACTTGCCACAGGAGATGATTTAGAGCAACGCAAGTCCCCGCGTGCCGCACTGATGATGCGCGCGCCCGACCGACAGTCTGACGCCGAGCTCCTCGCGCTCTGGGGGGGGCGCGTGACGTAGACGACTGTCCCCACCCGTGCGTTTTATACCGGAGTTGCATAATGGGGTGGGAATTCGTGGCGGAGCCACCGTGACGCTGTTATGTTCTGAGTGCGTACCCTTGGGTGTTCGTGAAGGGGCCACGTAGGGAAAAAAGAGTGTATTGTTTTGGGAGAGTCACAGCTGTCGCGAGCTGATTGGCAATTAACGTGTTTATCGGCTATATTGCACGTGTTGGAGCCCGCGGTTTATTCCTAAGGGGGGGGGGGGTTGATGACAGCGATACCCGCAGACTGCTCGCATTTTCTTATCAAAAACCTGTTGCGAAATATACATGTGAGGTCGGTTGTCAAGGAAGGTCTATCCAAAAATAAGTTCAAAAGAGATGCTGTGACCCTTGTGAGCTAATGCCAGACGGACAGTGACAGCAGCGAGGCCCCTGACACGTGCCAGCACACGTGCTTTCCCCTTTCAACTGTTCAGCATGTTAAGTGGGAGAATAACATCAGATCGTGTACTTACGAGTATAACGCGTGTATAAAAACACTACGTTTCCAGTGAAAGTCCTGCATTCAAAAATTACAAATGTTAGGTCTAGACGTATGTGGATCAAAAGCAAAAGTCATCATACAGAGACTTGAGACATAAGTGTTTTGTAATTGGCACTTTAATGCAGTGGGTTGAGTAAAAAAGTAGTAAAATTGAAGTGTGTAAATACTGTACTTAACATACAATAAAATGTACTTCGGTATTTCTCATTTCTTCAGTCACACTCACGTGAACCGCATTGAAACTTCATACAAAGGCCATAAAGATGTTTAGTTTCCTCCCCATTAATCATTTCTATTAAGGGACCCCCTGCATCATAGAAGAACCGTACGTGCCGATATGTCTGAATGGCACAATCTGGAGTAGTCAACAGATTACATGGCAAATGTTCTCCCTGTTAGTAATGTAAAACCTGACCTAAAGCCTTGACTGGGCTGGAGTGGCTAAAAACAGCACTGATTCATATAGGATAGGGAAGTGGCGACATTTGGAGGGATTAGGTTATTGGGTTTCACAACAGGCGCCAGTGATTGGCCAGACTTTACGAGCCTCTGTAACAATGCAAAATATCAGAGTATATCTATAAGGAGTAAATAGCTCCGCTGGTGAGTCACCAATGGATCCTACAGAGGGTGAGTGATGTTCCAACATTAGTACAAACATGCCTTTGGAAATACAATATGTGAAAACATAATTGACATTGGAGGCATTACAAATGTTTGTTTTATTTTGTCATTCATACACAAGTAGCCTACTTCTAGTTTGTTGGTCACAAACATTCAACTTGAAAAGAAAACTTGTTGAATGTTATGAACTATCCTAAATGTACTTAATTAGATCATTTCATAGCAGTAAACATTGCCTAATAAACAAGATGAATCCGCCTACTCTTAAAAGAACTTTCTGAAATACAATGGAAAGCACAAAAAAGAACTCTCCTTGATCATTAATATATTTAAGACATAGGGGATTTGTAAATGTAAATCAGCCATTAAAATGATCTCCAGAGACCAAAAAAAAATCCACGGAATATTTCAATCCAGTTAAAGAAGATAACTAGTCTTTTTTATAAAAGGATCACTATTTTCAAAAGAACTGACATAAATTATTCAAGCGATTCCAAGTGGAATTGTGAAGGACAGGTAATCTCCAACCTCCCCCCACTCTGCTCTGAAGCGCTGGAAAATGGTTATCCATGTGGTCAGAACTGTTACCCACAACAACAAACCCAGCGCAGACCGCTTCACATCTATATGGAAAAGAAACAAGACACAGTTACCATTAAAAAAAACACTGCGATATCATATGATGCCCTAGCTTTGCCTAAAGCTTTCTTTAAATAACATTAGAGCTTAGTGTGTTGTAGAAGTAGTGGTGAATAATGTTTCTAAAAAGTAGAACACATGTTACATTAAAGTATTAATAGTGACTAACATGTTTATGGACTGAAAAGATAACTGACCTCATCTCAGTGATTATGGCAAAACAAAATGTACTATTGTCAACAAAGAAACAGTTGTGACACTTACACGTCTTGATCTGCAGCTGTTCAGAATAAACTGGTTTCATGAAGGCTTCCTTAAAAAACCAAACCACATTGACCAACCACAGGAATGGCAGAAACGCAAAGCCACCTGAGAGAAAACGGAGTGGAAAACATCATCAATGCAGATACCACAGAGTCCATATAGAGGCCCTCAATTCAATACTACTCATGCTTAACAATACAGATTCCCTGTCGCTGGAAATATCCTGGCCATCTTAACTCTCTGTGCATAAGACTACACTCCATAATTCAGACATAATGCAAAAATGCTTGAATCGAAACTTGATTGTAAATTTATTTTTAAGCACTCTTACCTAAATAATATTTTCGGCATAAGCTCAGTTTCTCCTCATTTGGAAGTCGTTCCAGATTCATCGTGTGGTTTTTTTAGGGGTGTCCTGCAGAAAGAAAGAAAAAACAAGTTAAGAGCGCAAGATCAGCTCCAATCATTAAAACTGAACACAAACTTCGGTGACAAAGGTGATGCTGTTTGTGTCTCCGTTTAAAGGGCAATCTAACGTTAGTAGAATGGGCATTACTCTGGCAGAGAAATATTAAGTAAAAGAATTACAAGTCAAGCAATGAAGCACCATGCTAACGCCGGCAGACCAAGTTTGCATGGTCAGGTGACTTGACATCAGACTAAAGTTAGCCTTTTATTAGCTTAGCAATGTAGCATTGTTCCGACTGTATAAAACGCAGGTAGCAGTTACTCACTGTGTTCTTCATATTACCTGCAAAGTAATTTTACGATATGTGTATTGGGATATACTGTACCCCCATTTAGTATTTGGACGTACCTGGTATTTGGTAGAAAAGAGGCCGGAGAATCGTCGCAAATTTCAACTAAATAGAAAAAAAGGCTCCCTTCCTCCCTTCCCTTCCTCGTCGGGATCGCGTTCTTCCTCTTCGTCTTTCTTCTTTGTGTTTTTTCTTGCATGGCAGACACATACATTGCATACTGCCACCTACTGCACCGTGGTGTTATAACCCGTCACTGCTTTTGTTACTCCCATATGTTTCCCTTTAAAAACATACTTCGACTTCGTCCCATTTAGGTCTCCGTCGTTTTTTTTTTTTACACAAATCAATTTCACTTGAAATAGCTGACCTAAAGTGTTTTTATTTCTGACGAAAGCTGATTAATGGTTTTGAATTTGGATTATGTTGTTCCCCTACAGTTGTTCTCTTCCCATCAAAAGTGTCATCAAATATGAACTTGGCAATAAAGAGGTCCAAATCGAGACGCGGTACTGGTTCTGAAAAGAATGAACATCTGCCAACATCTTTGAATTACAATTCACAATGTATTTTGCTTGATTTTTAGTACTCGAGCATGCATAAGGTTACTCTATTTAATAAAGTTCTTGGCTAATGTAATCTGCAACTGTATGTTAAGATCTTATACAAGCAGCAAAAACATGTATGTACAATATATAAAAATATACAGTATAAAAGTCAATCATTTATTTCATTGATATTTCTTTCCCTTCTACTTCCACATTTTGTCCTAATACACAATGCATATTAATCAATGAACGGCAGGCTATAATATAATGTATAAAAAAAGACACTAGTAATACAATATGCAACGTAATCAATTTAACGAAGGGCCATAGTTACATAATACAAAGTGCGCATTTATGTATGGACGTTTTACATACAATCACCTCAAGAGGGAGAACGATCTCCCCCATCCAATTGGAGCCTCACCTTAAACTCACTTTCCCTTGCAGCTTTGCGGCCCCCCCGCCCCCCTCCGCCCCCTCCCATCTCGCGCCTTCCCTCTTGTCTCTCGTCGAACTGCTAGCCGACTGTGTGTGTTGTTGTTGAAGCAATGATGGCGGCAGCGGGATGCGGATCAGCAACCGCGGCTGCCGTAGGAGGCCCAGGTGGAACCGCTACGGCCAGAGGTCGTTTCCCCGGTCGGCCGTGGTCGTCACGCAGTCGTTTGCGATCAGAGAAACGGTGGCAACTGGGACGATCGGGCTCAGACGGCGATGATGTGACTAACGGAGGGCCCAGGCCCGCAAACCTGGTGCTGTCGTTAAACGAAGACCCGTCTCACTTGCGCTTACTTGGAATAGAGGCGAGCCACCATACCCTTGGCCAGGCTGGATACAGCTCTAGTGGGAGTGAAGAGGTGAGGTCCCAAACCGACCCAGGAGTTAGTATCTTTATTTCATCTTCTCATATTTTGTGTGATTGTTAGATGTGTGAGTATGAGTGCTGTATACTGCAATGTGACTGGTTAAAAGCATACCCTGTAGATATGTCAACATCCTTTCGCTAGGCTAACGCTACCCTTAGCTTGGTAAGCTAACATTACATGCTAACGAATGTTAGCATAGTGTAGATTTCCGTGACATTTAATGAACAAAATACCGCTTCAGCTAAGAAGCAGATAATATACAGTAGGACTTTTTCCTAACTCTTCTAATTTGTGGTTAAATAGTTACACGTAAAACACGTATATGTGCGTATATGTTAAAGCCAGTGCAGCAGTACGACAGTTTGTAAACAGGAATCGCAGTTATTTCACCCCAACGCTGTGGCCCTATAGCGAGCGGGCCACAGCGTTAGCATGTAGCTAATAGTAGCGAACACAAAGAACGGGAAGGCTAGCGCTGCCCAGCGGCTAACGGCTAGCGTGAACGGCTCAGCTTTGCTACCATTTCCAGTGGCGGGGAGAATCGTCAACGTTACTACTTTAAATGAACAAACTCACAATTTGTCAAGGACCTTGCTACGTTGCTTAAGTTTATGTTTGCTGTGATGTGAACAGTGACATTAATCAATTCTAATGCTGTCTAGCGTCTCTGTAGAGGAGTAGTTCTGAGTTAAATGCTTCCGAGATGAAGGGACGGCTAACTGTTAGCGAATGTTACCAAATGCGACAGGTTTAAACGGCAATTAGTGCATAAGTGTGAAATAGACATTTGTACCCCTGGTAGAAGTGAACATCCCCGCAATTAAACACGAAACGTCGACTAGAGTCGCTCTGTGAGAGTTTGTGGTTATATCTGCAACCGTTGGAGATGTAACGTCACAGTACCTGCAGGGTGGGAATTGTAGACCTACACGTAGTTTTTTGTGGGTAGTGTAGGTGTTTGCTTACTGCTTAAATGTGGGTCATAATAAGCTTGTAGTTGTGGCCTTGCAAGTTTTAAATAAACATGGTAAATGAGTACCGCAACCATTCCAACACATTTATTCCAACCCTATTTATGTTTAATATGTAAACATTCAATTGAGTTGAACATGGAAAAAGGAAATCACACATTCATATAATTTGTATTTAACTATTTGAAATGCCCTTTGGTCCAGTACGCTAAGATAAACACATGTTTATTGCATTTATACAATTGTTATTACATTTGACATAAATCCATTCTTCACAAGTCATTGATTCAATTCATGTTCAGTTTTCCTCCATCTAAAGTGCAGTAGATTCAATGAATACTATGCTCTAAATTGAAGGCATGCTCTAAATTAAATGAATGCTCCTAGCTAAAATATTTTACCCAATGTGTTAGTGTTAATAATGCTTTTTTTACTTTTTCAAGGGAGATGATTTCAGAGGGTTTGAAGCTGAGAGAAAACGCTCCAAAGGACCAGTTTTGTTGCGGAAAAACCCTTCTAAAGGTAAAAAAATATATATATAATATAAATATATATATATATATATATATATATATAGAAAACAAAAGTACAGTAATGACAATAAATCTGACAACAATCTATAGTTGTAATTATTAAATACTCTAACTTCTAATGAAGGTTCTTGCCATTGCCAGTTTAGAATTCACTAGAGGAGCCATGCAAAATAATATCTATTTTTTAAATATTTTTTTTGTCTAGGTGATGCTGTCAACACAAAATCTAAACAACAAAGTGAAAAGCTCCCGCTTCAAATGCCAGCAGTGGAGGCAGATATTACCCCACCTGATTCTGTGAAGGATGTAAATTCTTTGGAGAAAACACTCTGCTTATCTCCTGAAGCAGAGGCTGCCAAAGACTGCAGGAAAGGTTTGAAAGGAAAAAACACTATGTCCACTAAAAGCGGAGCCGCATCAGCAGCACCAAGGATTACTATAAAGTTGGTGGCCAAAAAAAAAAAGAAAGCTGTAAAGGAGCCTCATAAAAAATCTCCAAAGAAGGTGAAGATAAAGGGAATCCAGGATCCGCCTAAAGCCGAGGACATTCAGGGCGACCAGATTTCTAGTGCTCACGTCAAATTAAAAACGGAACCACAAGAGGATAAACACGGCACCGAAGATAAGGGGGGGGGGACTGAACCCGCAAGAAGGCGTGGGAGATCAGCTACAAAGAAAACAGACACTGTCTGTCAAGATGTGGCTGATGATCGAACATCAAAAGAGAGAAAATCACCTGATCAGTTTGACACTGTAAAGGAGAGCGGCGCTGTGCAGCCCAAAACCAACGCAAAGAAATTAAAGCATACGGACATTGCGACGGATACGAGTTCTGAGGTTAATCAACAAGTAGTTCGTAGGAGCAATAGAGTCACAATCCCACTAACTAAAAAAATCCTAGACAGCGCAGCTGAACCAGAAAGTCTGAGCTACAGTGCTGGCATTCTGGTGGAATCAAAGCCAGAAGTTTCTCAAAAAGTGGAGACCAAACCACAAGTCAGAGGTGACGGACGGAGGCAAAGCAAGAGGCTGAATAAGGATGCTACGGTTCCTGAAAACCATGGTACATCATCCACAGAGACAGATCCTTTCTCTGCAAAATCCAGGGAGTGTCTGTCTCCGAAGAACGACGAAATGCGGGTACCAAGTCTAAAGTTGATGAAGATCAGAAACCCCAAATTTGAGGCACAGGCCAGTGGGAAGAATTTGACTCGAAAGAAAAGGCAGAGAAAAAAATTTGTCTGGGCTTTATCATCAGTGAAAGGAGAAAGTCCAACACAGGGTGCTGAAAGCACTGTCAAAATAACAGAGAAGACTGTCCGGGAAGTGGATCAGTCCACGTTCTGTGACACCAATATCAAGAAGAGTTTAAAGGTATTGGATAAGCAATCTAAACTGGATAACCCAGCACAACAAGAGAGTGCAAGTGTGGACAGTAATGAGACGAGTTCCCAAATAAAGGTCGATGTGTTTGAGGAAAAGTCTGACTTACAAGTGGAAGTTGAAGTGGAACAGGTAAATGAAACAACGCCACAAGAAATTACTAAAACGGATTGCGTGAAAGTTCCACCCCTTCAGATCAAAAAGGTCTCCTCTCCTGGGAAACATAAAAGCTCAAAGCCGTCCTTTTTGATTCAGCAAGTTAGCCCCGTGTCAGAAAATGTCGAGGATGTTATCAAAGATCCAAGTGAAGTGCACGAGGACGAGCCGGCATGTCTGGATGACGCGGTCACACCAACTAGGAGACTGCGGCGGAGGACAGCAAGCTTTGATTCACCACCAACGAAGTCGGCCGCTCATAAACCAGTGACCACACAGAAACGAAGGCTCAGAACAAGTTCACAGGATAAAGATCGGCCGCCGGAGCGCGTTGAGGATGCTCTTCAGGCTTCAACTGACGAGTCCAGTCCCCTTGGTCTTCCTACAAAAGGCTCGCCGGATTTGCCCGAGGACCCCTCGCTGGTGACTAATTTGAACTCTGCTGAAGTTCCCAAAAAGGACTCCTCAAACGTGGCTGACGAGCCCCCACCTCTGGCTCCGCCAGTTGAAGTCACTCCAGAGGAGAAGGAGAATGAGGTAGAACCACAGATCGAAGAGGCCAAACCGGTGCCTGTGCCTTCCAAACCAAGACGATGTAGAACTATAAAAACGGGGAAAAAGAGATCCGCTCAAAGCAAGGCGGCCGTCGTCTCAGCTGAAACTGCAGTCCCCGCCGAGGTGGCTACTGTTGAAGCTACTATCACAGAGTCCGTTGTGGTATCAGAAGTAAGTCAGTCGGAAGCTAAAGAGTGTACCCAGCTTGAGCCGCAGCAGGACACCGTGTCAGTGGAAGAAAAGCAGATGTTGTCATCTGTAAAGGAGGAAACCGAGATTCAGCTGATAGATAGTCAGCATTCTGTGGTGGCCGGAAGTCAAATAATTGATCCAAAACCGCTGTGCCTTCAAAAAAAATCCCACAAAAAAGGAAATAAGAAGCGTAAAAATGTGATTGGGCCGCGTCCGAAACACAGGTTCAGGAGCAGAGACGGAAAGTTTGCTCCACTTAAACTTTCTGAAAGTCAGAACATGTTTGAGGGGGACGTTGACATTTCCGCCCCCGTGGAAGCTGCATCACCAACTCCCAGCACTAAACTTGTTGGAGTTCATAAAAAACACAAAAAAAGACCCTCGGGCCTTCACGTAATGGAATCCAAAAGACTGAAACCACCGTGCAAAATAATCTCTCAGCTGATGGAAATGGGGCTTAATGATAGCTTGAAGCAGGAAGAAACGGACACTTTAGTCGACAGGAGACAAGCGGATGTTGTTGATTCCCAACCCAGTAAATCAAAGTTTGTGAAAAACATCAAGCACTTCATTATGCCCGTTGTGAGTGCCAGATCCTCACGGGTGATAAAGACCCCACAAAGGTTTATGGATGACGCCGGAATGTCGGTATTGCCTCGAAGAAACTCTCCAAAAAAGGGTTTCCAATTTGGCCTGCAAATGCGTCCAGCAAAGGGGCGAGACGATGGGATGGGCAGAGCGATATCCCCTATCCTGCCCATCGACGAGGAGGATATACTGAGTGAAGCGCAGTTGGATATGGATCTGTTTTCATCTCAGGACCTCGATGATGACATTGATCTAGCCGAAAGCCTGTTTTCTGACCGAATAAGTGGCAGGATTGAGAATAAGTCGTCTATGCTGAAGAACTCTACTTTCGAGTGGCACGTGCCACGAGAGTCCAGCGAGGACTTGTACACACTGGACAAAACGTCAGAGGACAAGTGTGAGGATCTGTATTTATCCACAGCCCTCGAAAAGCCCACAGAAGCATCCACTGACCTGCTGGATGTCCCGAAGAAGAAAAGTTTCCTGAAGTTTAATAAACAAGCAGCTAAGCTCAGGATTTTTCAAAGGCTCAGGAAGGCACACACAGGACTTCCCAAAAGCAGAATCCCAGCTGAGACCGATTCTGTGAGTAAACCCCTTCAGCCACCTGTTGACTTAGCAGAGGGACTCGACGACGAGGCCATGAGCATCAGCCTCAGGCAGCGGAATACAAACGCAGGGAAGGACAAATCCAAGCTCAAGATAGAAGACCTTGACTCTCCTGGAGTCGTGAGAAAAGTCTCTGTGTGTGTTCGGACTTTGAACTCCAAGTCTCTTGCATTTCAGCAAGGTGAAAAGGGGGGTCCAGGGGGGAAAGACCCCGGGCAAATTCACTTCGGTAAGCAGCCTTATTCAAAAAGCATTCAATTGTTTGAAATGACATGTCATTTATTACTTACAATGGACCGTTCATTGCTTTATTTCTACAGGAGAGCTGCAACCAGAACAGAAGTCCGCTGCATGTGAAGGCTATTTTGGATCTGTGGAGAAGGGAGCTTCACAAAGAGCGCGCCTCACTGGGGCAAATAAACGAATGTTCAATCTTCTTCGGAAAGCCAAGGTCCAGCTCATGAAGATTGACCAGCAGAAACAGCTAAAGTCATCTGGGGTACATTAATCGCCGTACATTCATGAATGGTTAATAATTGGATAACATCTATGTAATAGGACATGGTATACATGAGTATATTTTCTTTTTCTTTTTGAGTTTTCTGACTTGTTTTCTCTGGATAATCCCGTAGCTGTTGAGCTGCGGCTCGATTGGTGCCAGATCTCGAGATGTGAACTCCAAAAGACAAAGGAGGAAGCAGAGGGTTCAGCTCAATGCTAATGTCCCAGTCAAGACTGAGCCGTCTCTAGGACAAGTAAGTGTAAAAACACAAAAAAAATCAATAGACCAGTGGCAGATATCGATCCAGCTACAATTCTTGTTTGTGTCTAATTTAGCTTGCTAATTAAAGCGCCCTGTTCAGCATGCTTGACTGAAATCTATCAGTGATTATTTTAATTATTTTAAAACAATTTATGTAAATTCTTATGCTTCTCCCCTCTAATTTTTATATTTATTTATTTTTCCAGGCGCAGCTCCTGTCCCCGCTGTGCCAGGAGTTCCGTAGAGCAGGAGGTCCACGTATCAAGCATGTGTGCCGTGCTGCCTCCGTGGTGCTGGGGCAGCCTCGGGCCCTCGTACCAGATGACATTCCAAGACTCAGCGCCTTGCCTTTGCATGAAAGATCCGGCATTTCCCCTTCGGACATCACTAAAGGTGGGTGTAAGATGACGGACCTATTTTGATTGACTTTCATAAGACATCTGCTTTGGATTTAATGGGTCTAGCACTGGTATTGGATTTTAGTTCTGCCAAAGGAGGGAGTAGCAAATACATTTAATTTCTTTTAGCAAATAGATTCACTGCAACTGAATGTTTTATGATAAACGAATCCCCTTTTCAAGCCACGTCATGTTTACATTTCTAAATTGATAGAATTTATTATTTAATGCAATTCTATTATACTTATTATTTTTGAAACCGTATTCCTATAGATTCTCATATACATGATAAGCTGTTGTGATTCTGCTTGATTGTGCAAAATGATTTAAGAACCTCCTGCAAAGACTTGACTAATGGATGGATGTCTATTGTGGCAGATATTGGTTCTCCCTCTGAATCAGACAGCCCTGAAATGTCAGATCCAAAGTTCATCAAGGCCAAGAAGCCGTCGCATTTTTCAAAGAGGAAAGGACTCGGACCATTTGGGTATCGCTCTCGGAGGTGTGGCGTATGCAAAGGCTGCAACCACGAAGACGACTGTGGCGAGTGCATGAACTGCCTGGACAAACCCAAGTTCGGTGGTCCCAATACCAAGCGACAGTGTTGTGTGTAAGTTGACCTATATTTCATTCTTAGTTGTACTCCTATTACAGTGTTTTGACAAAGAATTGGAAAATCTTCTCCTCTCTACAAGGTATAAGAGATGTGATCAAATTGAGGAGAGAAAAGCACGCCGGCTAAGTGGAAGAACTGCACCGAAAGGTAATTTCCCCCTTCAGCGTGCACAATTCAACGTTGCCGCTATTCTTCCATTGCACTGAGCGAGTCACCAACAGGCCGCCTCTGTTTTTCTTTTCAAAGGTGCCTCTAAACGACGGCGATCCTCATTCGGTCACTCGAGCAATGATGAAGGGAACGAGGGTGGTGCGGATTCACCATTTGGTCTCCAAGGTGACGGCCACAGTCCGTCAGTGAGGAAGCAGCCCAAGCGTGTTGTGAAACCCCGCGTCTACTTTGATCTGGTGGACTATGACTCAGATCTAGATGACAAAGCCGCCTCGAGCTTCGCCTCGCCGGGCAGGAGAAGAGGCACCGGGTCCCGTTTTAATCAAGGTAAATAAACATTCAGAAACAAGACAACATGCCGCTTCATTTATGATCGGTTATATCTTCTTACATAAAATAGGTTTGAAGTATTTCTTAAACCCAAATGGTTTTTTCACTACTGTGAGTAAGAAGCCTTCTGATGTGTTTTTTTTTTTTTTGTGCCATCTAAAGACTTTGTGTCACTGGATGGGTTCCTTGGTGACATTTCAGATGAAGAAGTCCGACATCGAAAGTCCAGCTCTCACCGTGTACCACCTCCTCGACCTCCTCCTCGTAAACCCGAGAAGGTGCGTGATTCTGTGTTGCTGTGATGTCACTGCCCTGGTTGGACAACACCATTTGAATTTGTGGCTGTTTGATTTGTTCTCTGGCTGCAGCCCAACAACACACTTTCACACAGTCTCATGCAAATGGAATTCATTTAAATCCCACATCCAAACAAACAAACCAATCCATCATTGTGCTGTAGCATATTTTGTCAAGGACACAATGTTGTTAACTACCATTCCAGCTAATTAAGGCATGAACATAACACAGCGGTCATACTGCACTAATCCACTGTACACTGAAACAAGCAAATTAAATGACACACGTAGTGAAAGGCGAGTATGCCGCTTGCTTCCATTCTGGCCCACATTCATGTTGTGGTTGTCTCTCAGGGTCTCTCATCTCAGGGTGCTTTGGAGCAGACTCCCCCCAGTGTCCTGGCGGCGCTCGCCCATGGCTTCGAGCAGAGAGACACTGAATCTTCTAAGCCTTCTCATAAAATCAGGGTTGACTTCAAGGTAAGTCCCTTACCATTCATAGCGTATTGAAACCCTCCTAGAAATGCTCAGTTAATTTGTGTGTGCCTTAGAGCTATTTATCATGCCCGGGGTTAAACATTTGTTTTGTCAGCGTACATTAATATTTCTGTCCCTGTGAGAAGAGTTTTTTTTAGTTATTTTCATACCGATTTATTCAGTGGCACATTTTGACCTGAGAACAACATTTTAACCCTTGTTGCCCCCCCCTCACACCAGAACTTAAAACGTATAGTCACAACACAGAAACAGTGTCATGTAAATAGCAGAATAATTAACATATTATTCTGCTATTATGGTCTTGTCCCAATTGTTAAATGTGGGGTTTTTTTTTCCAGGAGGACTGTACTTTGGAAAATGCCTGGAATATGGGGGGTTTAAGTATATTGACCTCTGCACCGCCCACGCCTCCATCTGTCTGCTTCCTTTGTGCCAGTAAAGGGCAACATGAGGTAACTGCTCCACATATTTGCTTTATTTTCATAGAATGTGTTAAATTCAAAATTCAGGAATGTTTTTTTTATTATTCTTATCGCAGATGCTGTATTGCCAAGTATGCTGTGAGCCCTTCCACGAGTTTTGCCTCGATCCAGCGGACCGTCCCTCTGAAGAGAACAAGGAAAACTGGTGCTGTCGTCGCTGCAAGTTTTGCCACGTGTGCGGCAGGAAAAACAAGCCCTCAAAGGTACAGCCTGTCATCTTAACATGTTTTACTGCTTTACTGTCCATCTTGGTGTTAATGTGGCTCAGTCAGTAAGCATGACATTACCATGTCTCCTCCCTCAGCCATTGTTGGAGTGTGAACGATGCCAGAACTGCTTTCATACTTCCTGTCTGGGACCCAACTATCCAAAACAAAACAAGAAAAGGAAAGCTTGGGTAGGTTTTATATTTCTTCAGAAATCACAGTCCTCTATGTTCAGTATAAGCATGTTAGAATTCATTGATGGCTCCTCCTAAATGTGTTGCTATCCCTACAGGTTTGTATGACATGCATCAGGTGTAAAAGTTGTGGCGTCACACCAGGGAAGAGTTGGGACACCGACTGGAACCACGACAAAGGACTCTGTCCAGACTGTTCGAAGCTCAACGAATTGGGTGAGGAGAGAATCGATGAATGCTCCGTCCACCAACATCATCTCCCAACATTACTAATTGATGTTGAGTCTAATCTCTCCTATATGTCTCTGTCTCATAAGGTAACTACTGTCCAATCTGCTTCAAGTGCTATGAAGACAATGACTATGACAGTCAAATGATGCAGTGTGGCACCTGTAACCACTGGGTACACGCCAAGTGTGAGGATCTGACAGGTGATTTTTACTCTTTATGTCTTAGACAGAGCATGACGGTACCCGACGAGATGGCATCCAAGCTATTCTCATTAAACATGGGCGAACTAAAAACTACCGTGTGAAACTTTGGTAGCGATGTGTTGACACCAGGATAACAAAGGATGGGCTGAGCTTGAAGAAAAAAAGCTGGAGGTGTTTTAGTTTGAAATGCATTTCGCTAAACCTGCACTGCATCCATCCTGTCAAATCCTTTCAGATGAGCTGTATGAAATCCTGTCCAGCTTGCCAGAGAGTGTGGTGTATTCGTGCCGGCCGTGCAGTGTGACCCAGCCCAGCGCTTGGAGAGAGCTGCTCTATATTGAGCTCAGGTCGGGGGTGGAGAAGGTGCTGGCTTGCCTGCTCTCCTCCACCCTTACCCAGCACCTTGTTGCCTGCTCACAGGTAAGAGACTGGGCTTTTATTCTTTTACGGATCCACTATGACATAACAATGAGACAGTCGCATGATGTGTTTTGTAACAATGCTGTACTGAATCCAGTGTGTCAAAGTGGCTTTTGTTTGTCCTGCAGTGTGAGAAGTTGGTTGATTCTGGCAGTGCATTAGAGGGACAGCCAGCGTGTGATCTCCGAGCCGTTGGCAAGAAGTTTGACAGAGGCCTTTATACCACTTTGGTGGGTACACAACCTCTTATTCTGTGTTTCAAATCTGCAGTACTTTAGTGAACATTTATTTGATCCTAATTGGATTTTGATTTGAGGTAAGAATTGAGATCTACTTTTCAGGCAACAAAACCCTAAAATATCCATATGCTTGGAATCAGATGCAGAAAATATATATATTTTTTGCACTTTTTTTTTTTGTTTGTTTTATAGAAAATGTTCCATGAAGATGTGGTTCAGGTTGTGCGAAAGAGGCTTGAGCACGAGGAGGATCTTCCAGAAGAGCAGAGGCCTACTGCCCTGGCACGCTCTTACTACTTAAAGGTGCTGTATGACCTATGATTACTTTGAATATTTTGTCAACATATTTGTTATTTGGAAATATGTGTGAAAAATGTAATTCTATGTATTAGCATCAAAGATGCTGCTACGATAACCTGTACGAATAACGGATATGGTTTTTGTCTTTAGCTCCTCGAAGAAGTATTTAATTGGTTCAACAGCCAAGACCCAAAGGTGTGGAACTCTTGTACCAAAGAATTACCCATGTGAGTAATAGTTTTCATTTACTGGGTTTAAAGGGAGTAAAAATTATTATTATAATAGGTTTTATGATGTTTTAAGAGTACTTCTTGTCAAACATCTATAGTTCTATACTTATCATGCCTCCAAACTTGTTGAAATTCTCCTTTTTATAATCAAAATATGTCATCCACATGAATTGTGTAGATAGGTATAGATGTATATCTATCTACAGATATGTTAGTTATATAAGTTACAAGCACTGCTCTGTTGTTTATTTCTTATGACATAAGAAGATATATGTATTGCCTTTTGAACTGTTGAATTCCTTCTTAAATAGGGGCATGCTTTCTCACGCTGTCCATCCTCCCACAACGGAGCACGTCTACGCCCAGTTTCAGGAGAGGGAGGACCTCTCATCTCGGGCTCCGCTGGGGCTCCTGCAGGGCGAGGATAGACAAAGCTTGATTGTAAAGGAGGAAGAAGCAGTTTCTCCGTTGTCTGGGGAGCCAATCAGCCAGAACTACTTCAAAAGCAGCAAGGCTGTCAGGCTTAAATTCAAAGGTAAGAAGGTCAATATGGAGGTTTGTGTATAGAATTTGTTTTAGGATTATGCCTTAAAAACTTTTGCCAATTATCTAGGGAAAAGGGGACTCCTTTCAAAAGCTGATTTGGACACTGGATGGACCAAGGATGATGAGAGACAGTGCTCTTTGTGCCAAAAATATGGAGACCTCAAACCTAACGTAAGTAATGCATTAAACATGGAGATCAAAGTAAATAGTGCGTCGTTAATACTGTACATTGCAGATGTTTTGCTCACTCAAGGGCTGCTGTTTTTTGTTCTCAATAGGACGCGGGCCGGTTGCTGTACTTGGGCCAGAATGAGTGGGCGCATGTCAACTGCTGTTTGTGGTCAGCTGAGGTGTTTGAAGAGGACAATGGCTCGCTGCTACACGTGCACAGTGCTGCCACAAGGGGCCGCTTGATGGTTGGTTGTTAATTCACCAAATGGATCAATATACAATATTTCCAGTTGTTAATAGATATTGATGTTACAGAATTCCAAAAATGTGACACTAAACAAATATTAATTTATGTATATATATTGATATTGATTGCTGTTCCTTTTTCTTCTATCCATCTTAGCGGTGTGAACGCTGCAACCAGACGGGCGCCACAGTCGGCTGTTGTCTGACATCTTGTCAAAGCAACTATCACTTCATGTGTGCCCGCTCCCGTCACTGCGTGTTCCAGGAGGATAAAAAGGTCTATTGCTACAAACACCGACATCTCATCAGTGGCAAGGTAAGTTCTGTCCTTCCAGTCTCCGACTGCATCGGTTTAAAGGTTTTGATTCTTGATTATTGCTTGTATTATCACTAATTTGCCTTCGTTTTGTAGATGGTTACTGGTCAGGAATTTGAAGTCAACCGCAGGGTGTATGTGGACTTCGAGGGGATCAGCCCCCGCAGAAAATTCTTGACTGGACTGGAACCAGAATTAATCAACGTGATTATTGGTAAGCGCCCATCTTTTAGCCTGGTTTCCGGTTCACTTCTTGACATCTGTGTATTCTAACCGTTCTTTAACTAATTGGTATTCACATGTCACTGTGCAGGTTCCTTGCAGATAGAGCAACTGGGTGTGCTGACCGAGCTTTCGGCTAGCAAGGGGATACTGTTTCCTGTGGGTTTTAAGTAAGTAGCATTTTGAACGTTTTAAATTGTATTACATAAACAAATCTGACGTAGCATAATCCCTTGAAAATCCCCTTTTAAATATTCTTCCTTCTTAAGGTGTTCTCGTTGGTACTGGAGTACAGTTAATCCAATGCGCCGGTGCAGATATACATGTACAGTGCGAGAGGTTCGGCCAGTTGTCCCAGAGAAGCCTGTAGAGGAGATGCCTGACCAGGGAGACAATAATACAATTGTCCACAGTCCCTGTCCACTATCTGGTGCGTACTTTTCTACCAGAAAAAAAGGCAGTTCTTTAAGAAACATGGTAACAGTTTCATAAACTTTTTTTTTTTTCCCCAACGAATCAGATTCTGAGGCCCAAGAGAACGACATAACGGAACCCCAGCCCCCAACAGAGGAGACCTTTATCCCAGGACCCACCTCCAAGTCAGATCATGGAGCAAAGCCAAAGATTCCCCGAAGACCTACTGGAGGAATGTTTCGGCCTCTTCCATCCCCAGGTAAAGAATAACCTCCTTTCAGTACCAAACAACAAATAGGTTGATCCAATCAAAAACGCACGTCTCATTTCTGCTTTCTTCTCAGGAATGAAACAGTTGAAACCCCACCACATATTAACCATAAGTGATCTGGAGGATACGCAAAGGGTTCTTCGCCACAACCCGCACTTTCAACCAACAGGCCTTCACAGTCACATGCCCCCCCCTCCTCTGGGTCCTCTGACCGGACCAGTTACTCTGCGTGCCGGAAAGTCTTCCGTTCCCACTTCCCCGCTTCTCCCACTCGGCGCTCCAGACAACCTGATAAATTCCCCATCGTCCCGCTCAGTCGCCGGTAGAAACGCCTCCTCGGTCCGATGCCCTGGGAATACGATGACCCATTGTACGTCATCTCTCTTCCCTCAGTCGCCCTGGCAGGACAGCGCAGCGAGCTTTCCCTCGCCAAGTCTATCTTTCTCCCCGACGATACCACATCTACCCAGAAATCGCTTGTCGTTTGATCTGAACCAGCCAGATTCAGTCGAGGTGCCGCACAACTTTCTTGCGTCCCCAGAACCTGAAGATGTCTCTCCAGCAAACGGCACATCACCACAGGGGGATGTAGAACAACGGAAGGAAGTGGAGGAATTTCCCTACAGTTCTTTCCTCAAGGATTCCAACGTGAGTCTGGCTCAAGAGATGAGGACGGAGCTGGAGATTGAAGAGACCCTCCTGAACGAAGGCGTGGCGATGAACTGTGGGGGACAAATACTGGTGGGCGGTGACGATCGGGAGGAGTTTTGGGAAAGAGCCCAAGAGGTACACAAGAGGAAGACTCTAGTTGCCAACCTGCCGCGGTCTGCAGCTTCGGCCAGGGACGACTTAAGCAACACGTCTTCCGATGATGATATGGAGCACTACTTTGACTTCTCGCGGACGATAGTCAGCTGTCCCGCATCAAAGGATCATTCCAAATCTCCCTCCTCCCCTTCCACCCGTTCTATGGCTCAGCTAGATGGTGTCGACGACGGTACAGAGAGTGATGCAAGTGTAGCCACCACCGAGGTTGCCCAGAAGGTTCAGGATGGTAGTAAAGCTCCGATACAAGCCCAACTCCTTAAAAATACCCCTGAATCGAACACTACAAACAGCACACAGGGTGTCCAGAGTCTGGGCCCCAAAGCATCATCCAATGAGCAGCGCACAGATTCCTCAGCAGTCACCATGTCGGTGGCCAACAAAAGTCAAACCTATGATTCCTATCAAGATCCACCAAAATCCCCCCCACTCAATTCAGAAGATTTATTCCATGGTTGCGGTTCAGGATTTACATCTGAAACCTCTTTTGTTCTTGAGAGATGTGAATCTCGTCTGCATTCAGCGGAGATGCTAGAAGGCACACTGCTGGAGACCCAACAATATGAAGCTGGAAAACCCCAGAGCTGCGAGACGAACAGCAGCCAATCCACCGTGTTTGTGAACCACCTGGCAGCAAACACGATGCTGCCATCATCCGCAGATTCTGCCGATAAGAGTCAGGACGCCTTGCTTGAGCTTCAGCCTTCCCCTGTGATGTCTACAGATGTACACAACCCCTCTCAAGGCCTCCTCGACTCTCTGCAGATTTTTTCCAGTTTACCGGGTTTCAGTAAACCTCTAACAAACATTACACTTCAGCCGGTAACATCCTCCCAAGAGTTAACCTTCCCTTCCACGGGCCACTCGTCTGCTAACCTAACCCCCCTCGGCCCAGTTGTTGACGTGACACGAACGCTGCTAAACGCCACCCCTCAAAACGACCCGGCGCTATCGGCTCTGCCAGGCGCTGGTCCCCCACCAGGAACCTGTGGAACGTTCTCCCTGCCCATCTACTCCACACAGCCCATGTGCTCGACAGCCGTCACCATTGTTTCCTCCTCTGCGTCGATGGCGTCTCTCTCTGTGCTTTCAAGCCAATGCTCAACCGCTCCGACGTCAGTCCAGACCGCCGCGGCCCCGCTCATCCTAAACGGTTACAGCTCTTCGTCTATGCAGAAGGATGCGGCGTCGGGTCACACGATCTCCATCAACTTCTCCACATCCAGGCCAGCTCTAGAACCTCAGCAGCCGGTGGTTCCCCAGGCTTTACCTGGACATGCTATTCTCACTGTGAAGGAGGTGGGCGGTCCCAATGTAGACCCAACACCACATGTCCTGCTGGTGAACCGCCTCGGGCAGATCTTTGTGAAGAACCCTGAAAGCAACACTTTTCAGCTTCCCTCTCCCAGCTCCTCTTCGTACAACTGTGTCACTCAGATCGCCAGCCTCTTGCAAAGCAACGCGCTGTCTGCGACGCTAGCAGCCGCCGGTAATATGACTCCACCTGCCACGGCGGCCACTCCACCCTCGGTTCAGAGTCCAACCACAATTGCGCAGCTGCTCACTCACAACAGCAACGTTGCAGCGACCTCAGTTGATGTCAAGAAGCCAAAAAAGAGTGCGAAAACACCAAAGCAGGAATCCGCTGTGGAGTTGAAAAAGGCAAAGAAAAAGAAGGATTCTGGTGTTTCCAAGAAGTCCAAGTCATCTAAGGTGTCAGCTCCTCAACCCGGTCTGCCCACTGAGAATCATCCCATGACTCCTGCTGAAAGTGCCCAGGCCATCATCAATCAAGCAATGGCGAGTAATTACACGCCGAAGTGGACTGGGCTCCGCACACTAAGCCCTTCCTCGCTGGTTTTACCACCTGGCCTATTAATTGAACCGGAGGCTCCAGCGTTGTCTCGTTCTCCACCATTAACACCGACGGCAGCGGCAGCTCCGGCATGCCGACCTCGCACGCACGTCCGCATGAAGAGAGTGTCTTCGCTTTCAGACCGCATTGTCACAAAGAAGTCTAAAGTAAACTTCCTGAAACCAGAGCCCCCCAGTGAGGACGAGGAGCAGCGCAGGCCGCTCTTTCCGAGCCTCTCCAGCAGAGCTTCAGGGGTCCGCATCAAGACCCCCACAGTGAAAGAAGTGCTGGACCTGGACCGGTTAAAGGAGGAGCATTTAAGTGATTCTGAAAGCTCAGGGTAAGATTTTGTCACCTTTTTTGAAGACGGTTACCACCAACCAGCAAATGTTTTTTTTTTTTTGCATAATCGTTCGAATCTCTTATGAAAGCGTTTGGATGAGCTAATGGATCAATTGCGCTTGTTTTGAAATGCAGCTTTCTTTCCTTTTTTAGATGCAACATTGGAAAATTGATATAGCCTCATTTATTTGCTGTTTAGATTTACTTAACCACTGCAGGGTTCCAGTTGTGGGTTTGGAAACCGTAAACAACACCAGGTGTTTATATTTGTAAATAATGGTTCTCATTTCTCGCAGATCGGAGCCGTGGGACTACATGTCTCAGGGTGAACATGGCCAACCGCAAATATGGGAACCTGTGGGACACAGCACACTGACTGACTGGAAGAAATACTCTGGTACTGATAATACTGCATTTTAACTGCTTGGTGTAGAGATTTCTGGGAAGCCATTTAAGACTGCTGAGGTCAGGAACCACAAGTTCCTGAATAACACTGACTGCATCAATTGTAATTTTTAGGGGCCGCTTCCACCTCAGATGACGAACCACCAGCGTCTGACGAGGATGAGGAGTTTCCAACTAACCGGGACCAGCCACACTTAACATTCGAGATAACCAGTGACGACGGTTTCAGTGCAGAAGCAGACAGCATTGAGGGTAAGGCTGATGTTATGTGACCGATACGTCACTCAAATGTCTTTTGAATAATCAAGCATGTTCTCAAAATAAACAATGGGAGAATTCTCCAGTCAGCAAGTTTACAATTCCCTAGCGCTCTCTGCATATGGCACAGTTCCGCCCTGATGGGCACACACAGATGCGTCCCCCCCTCCCTTCCCCTAATCTGTAAACCCATTGAACTGACTTCATGACGCCTAATTCTAAACTCTTCTCAGTGGCATGGAAAGCAGTGATCGATGGGGTGCAGGAGGCGCGAGCTATCGCGAGGTTGAGACCTCTGACCTTTCAGAGGCTCACCGGCGCCCACATGCTGGGTCTGGTCCGTGATGCAGTGGTATTCTTGCTGGAGCAACTGCAAGGAGCCCACCGCTGTCAGCGCCATGCCTTCCGATTCTTCAAACAGTTCACGCAGGAGGACGAGCTCCCTGTCAACCCCAGTGGCTGTGCTCGCTCTGAGCTGTATCTCAGGTAGGTACACCAATTCTAAGTGTAGGTGAAAAATGAACATGGAAGGATGTCGCACTATAAAGAATAAAACAAGTGTGATGTCTTAAAGTGTTTGACTTTTTGTCATTTAGTTTTGAGCAAGTCTGCATTCATCTCAACCTCTTGTTGTTTTCTCTTGTCTCAACAGGAAGTCGACGTTTGACATGTTTAACTTCCTGGCTTCTCAGCACAGACAGCTTCCTGACACTGGGCCTTATGACGATGAGGAAGATGAGGTTCTTTTGAAGTCCACAAGGTCAGGCTTTGTCAATTTAGTTGGACAAGAGTTTGCAATTTAACTCAAATGGAAACCATATGGAGGTGGTCTTTTGTTTCCTATTTGTTAAGACCAGTCAGCCAATTTAATGATTTTCTGCTCTTTCTTAGACGGGCTACCAGCTTGGAGTTGCCTATGGCCATGCGCTTCAGACATCTGGAAAGAACATCCAAGGAGGCGGTCGGCGTGTACAGGTCAGCACTGCACTACATTTCCAAAATAATCAAAAATCCAATGCACTTTTTGCATTATTAACTTATAGGACCCAAAGCGACTCAAAGAAGAAGTCATTTACAATGTTTGGAGTAAATTCAAACCAACGTGTTAAAATAAAATATAACTTATAAATCATACAATAATGCCTGTCAAAATACATTAATATCACATTATTAGAACCAAGGAACAATAACGTTGCCAGTTTGTATTATGCAAATTACATATTATTAATGTATTGAGTAAATAGAAGAAACACCATAACATGCCACGCCATCAATTGTGTCTGGAGCCACATAAAATACGAAACATTATAAAAATGTTCATAGTTTTAATCAAATATCTGCATTTACATCAAATAATACAACAACAAAAGTAAAGATGATACGGTTCACAGAGTCTGGCCAAATCCTTTCTGGGATTATCAAGAATTTGAAAGAGTAAAAGTTGGTGAGGGAGTCAGACTTTTATGTTATTTCCATGTTTAATGGAGCATTATGAGCAAACAATTGCTCGGCTGTAATGTTGACCTCGGCAACAGCTGCTGCACAGATGCTGGTCTGCTGAGGCTTTCTGGGAATGCACAAACAACGGAAACAGAACACCCACTAAAAAAGAAAAACAAACCAGAGACTCCGCAACACGCTGTTCATCTTTGGCTTTGCTTCAATCCAGTGGTTCTAAGTTATTATGGAAACGTGGACCTGTAGAAAATCAAAAAAAGGTTGATGTTTAGTAGACTATTTTCCATAACCCTTATCACAGTTGAGCTATCAATTTTTGCTTATAGGCACAAACACAAATTACAGCTCAGACTAATGGGAAATGCAGCAGTTGTGTGATAAACAAAAACAAAACAAAAAGTATTGGACAATATAAACTAAAATACGTCTTACTGTATAGAACGAATTAAATGTATCACTATCACTGTAAGTCTTCATTTTTCATTTCAAGCGTATAAATAAATCATATTTGAGCCTATTTTGTACATTTTTTTTTTTAATTTGCCATTATTTGTGATAAGTCAGACTCTAGAAATGAGGTTAGTCTGCATTTTGATTGACACACTGTAACGCTCAGTACCATGTGACATGTCACCACTGTTGGCGTAGCAGCAAACGACCTTGTCTTCCACCTGTGCGTCCGATGCAGGTCTGCTATCCACGGCCGTGGTCTCTTTTGCAAGAGGAACATCGAAGCGGGGGAGATGGTTATCGAATATGCGGGCATCGTCATTCGCTCAGTGCTCACTGACAAAAGGGAGAAGTACTACGATGGCAAGGTTCGTCGGGTCTATTTCTTTGATCGCTTCTGTTGCAACGTAGTCAACGGTTACCGGGGGTCGTGATATGGAAAGGTTAGAGTTTTTATGTTTGCCTTCGCAGGGCATCGGCTGTTACATGTTCCGCATTGACGACTTTGACGTGGTGGACGCCACCATGCACGGCAACGCGGCCAGATTCATCAACCATTCATGTGAGCCTAACTGCTACTCGCGGGTGATCAACGTGGAAGGCCGGAAGCATATCGTCATCTTCGCACTTCGGAAGATTTACAGAGGGGAGGAGCTCACGTACGACTACAAGTTCCCCATCGAAGACGCCAGCAGCAAGCTCAACTGCAACTGCGGGGCCCGGCGATGTCGGCGCTTCCTCAACTGAGAAGCTGGGAGGATCCCGTCTACTAGTAAGCCTTAAATTTAGGGACATTGGGTTCAGGAAGGCGGCAGGCTGTCTGCAAGGAATGGCAAGCAGCCACTAAGAGGCCGGAGGGGTATATATTTGGCAGGCCAGAATTTTGGACATTTTTGTGGGTGTTAGAAGGAGGCGGAGGACGAGCACAGTTCACATCAGGCCGCTCACACAGCAGCATCACAACAGCAGTAAATGTGATTTTCTTGTTCATGATATTCAAACCTGATGTTAGAATTGTTTGGGGTTCCTCGATCTGTATGGATGACACCCAGATAATTTCTTTAAAACACACGTTAAGCCTTATCTGTTAAAGTCATTGCTCAAAATCTGTTGCGAGGTTTTGAGACTCCCTCTATGTTTTATTCATTTTGGGTGGGAAGTGGGGGGGGTTTTCCGTCTGTCCGTCCTTCTCCATTACACTTAATCACGTTCTCTCCATTCTGTAGTGATGCAATCTTTGCCCCATTCATGCCGTAGTGAGGTCAGTTCTTGAGCCATACATTTACTCAAACTTTTATTTGTGTGTTTTATCTCACATTTAACACTTTTCACGATGGTAATATTTTTACTTTTAGATTTTATTTCATTTTTTCGAAATAACAAAACAACCATGGTGCTAAGCTTGGGACGTTCTTTAACTTCTTTAGTTGGACAAAAGTGTCCCTCACATCAGGAATTGTTTATCTGTTTATTCACCCCGCTGAGACCATTAATCCAATAATCAGAGTACGTAAAGTGTCGTCAGTTTCACACTTTGAATCATTGGTGTGCTATTTGTCTTTCTCCCTTGCTGATTTCAAAATAGTTAGCTATGTAACGGTTTCAATTGGTGACAGTGTCATATTTATAAAGACAGGAACTTGTCTTTAAGGTGTGTTTTTCTCTCTCGATGTACAGACTATGTAGCAAACACTACCCAAGCCAAAAGTGAAGAGTTGTGGTGAATATCACTTTTTAAAATATATATTTTACTACTGTCATGCCAGATGCTCATCACCTATTGCAATAAGACGTTGCTGCCCGACAGTTGCACACAAACGACCATCAAACGTAAAAATTATTTTCATCTACAGTTTATTAATCAGGGAGAGCACTGGTTTAAAGCATCGCCACTGAGTGTATATTTAGCTCTCGCTGAGAATGTGGCGCACAGACTTTTGAGGTGTTGCAGGAACACATTCAGTCTGAAACGGAGCCGAGAAAATGCACTGGGCTCCTGTTTGAAATGATGTTCAATTGTTGTTCTTAGTTGATGTTTAGTGCCGCTGCGAGACTAATCTAATTCACACACTGTTCAAATTGGTAGTTATATTTATTCATGTTTTGAGTTATATTTTTAATGGTAAAAGGTTGTGCTTTGTAAAAACGGTGACGGTCGAGTCTATAAGGACATCTCCCCCATTTGTATCCTTTTTCTTTTCTTCTGTTTACAACTGAGGTCCTTTGTTTCACTAATTTACTTGAATTTTTTTTTGGGGCAGTTGTGTTGTGCATTCATGCCTTGATGACAGAAATTGATCTAAAGCAGGTATTTTTTTAAAGAATCGTTTTAATTTTTTTTTTTTTTTTCGTTACAATAGATTACTGACCATATTATAATCAGCCACGCCAGTAAAGTGAGCAGTTTGCTTCCCCAAAGCCATGACCCTCCCGTCCCCCCCCTCACCCCACACACATACACACACTTTTCTTACCTTTTCCCACTGAACTTTGAGTAACTTTCCAACACGTTTTTGTCTTGATCTTAATGACCTTTCGTTCTTGCATGTGTCAATCACCTAGCTGGCTACGAGAGCAGAGTCACTCCCAACTCCTTGCAAAGATTCTACCTCAGCTGGTAACACAGATGTTTGGGAATACTGATGCAAAAAGAGGATGATAATTTTAGAGAAGCTCGGTTTTAATGTCCTGCAGAGCTGGTGAGTTAGTGTGCGCGCATGTCTGTTTGTGTCATTTTGTGTGCGTGCGAGTGTGTTTGCAATGAAGGATGAAAGCACTAGTCAAAACCTGAAGTTATCATGACCATCTCTCCCAGATTCTGTTAAGAAAGCTGTATGTTATATATACACACACATATATATAAATATATATATATAAATATATAGTAGGGTTATTTTAAAGTAAGTGTAAAAGACATACAAATGAGAAAATATGTGACCTTTAAATTTACGTCTTTGTTACCATGTAAAAATAAACCCTGGGTTTGTAAATATTTGTATACATATTTCTAAACCTGTTTAATTTTTCTATGCACTTTTTTATTTATAATGTTATTTGCTTAATAAAGATGTTAAGATGTTTGAACAAATTCCCCTTTTCTATTATGCCTTTACTGTAAAAACACAAGAGCACTTGAGATGCAGACAAATGAGCGCAATTCGTTCACTAAAGCAGGAACTTGAACAAAAATAAATGTTGCCCACTGAAGCAAGAAATTGAGGAAATCACAAAGAAATGTCCCAATTGAAGACCTTAGACCCCAAACTCCCCATAATGAGTCTCAAAGAAATTATCTGAAAAATGCAAAAGTCTGCCAGGCTTTTTTTGGAAAACAAAAAAACAAAAACAGGGTAAAATGTCCGTTACGCTTGCATCACACACTCTCCCAGCTTGCTGAGAACAGCGATGGCGTCGTTGCGCTCCATGAGTTTGAGCCGCTCGGCCAGGTGCCCCACCGTCCAGTCGGGGTGTTTGCTGTTGACGCCCTCCAACACGGCTTTTAAGGGGCTCTTACTGTCCTTCATTGAGTAGATGTAAGTAATCCAGGTGGCGGGGAAGGAACAATGAGACGCCAGATGCTTGGTGTTCTTTACTCCTTGGTTTTCGGGATCCAACAAAATGACGAGCTCTTCCAGAACATCCAGGTTGTCCAGCACCGTCTGTAGAGGCGACGACAGGATGTCGGGACCTACAGAAGAAAAGTTCCAGCTGTTAAACTCGTTCTTTTGCCAATTTTGTGCTATTAGAGCCCAGTGTTATGATTGTTTCAAAATAAAAGACTACAGTTATTACTTTCCATCGTTAAGCTGTTGCAACCGCTCACGATGCAGGAACAAGAATTGAAGTTAATGCAACTAACATTACTGATACCTCCGGATCTTAACCATGTCTATGTAAAATGACTGTTTACACAGTTGATTCAGCAATAGCAGTGTCAATTCCACTCACTCAGAATGTGTCTCAAATCATTGTCGAGAGCAGAGAGGGGAGAGAACCCAGAGTTGATGTGCGATGATCTTCTGTGAAAACCCAACACCGCGTGCCGACGACCTGTGATGAACCCCAGCATGAGAGACACGTCTGCTCAACTCCAGAACCGGCTCAGTGTGATTACGTTGCGGGATAATGATAAAACACTTTTTGTGCAGCATTCTCAGTATCCCACAGTCATGTAGGGCTTTCTTTTCCCCGTTTTTGCAAATCGTCAAATTAACACCTAAACGTATTTGCAAACCTCTCTTCCGCCTCCAGATTAGACAAGCACATATCACACCAAGTGTGATGGTGATGACAATGGCAAATGCAAGTGCAGCTGCGAAAACAGAAAGAAGAAAAAAAAAGGGATCAGGTAAAAGTTCCACTGTGAAGAAAAGCGTTTTTGGTCCGTAATGGAGTCACTCACTTATTATTCCTGCACCAGCTGCCTCTGTGTAGAGGGGAGGGGGTGTAGTTGCAGGATGAGGTTTTAAGGTGAATCCACGCTCTGTGCGAATCTGAAATGACCCAGACTAAACACCAAATCCAGTTTCATCTGATGCGTAAAGCTGTCCGTGGTTGAGGGAAATGTATCTGCTGTCGTATTGTTTTTCAAGCAACACAATAATGTAAAAAAAAAAAAGAATAAAATGCAGGCTAATTGACGTTTCTTTTTTTTAGAACAACTGTGAGCAAATTAAAAGGATGCTAGGTTTATACATTATATATATATAATGTATAAAGTGTGAATGATATGAATTGAAACGTTAATATTAATATATAATAAATAATATAATAATAAATTTGTTATCAAAAATTTTGTATCATCACAAACCTCGCCTTGTAAACCAAGGCTGACTAGATGATTCACACCATGAAGTCATGGAAAACTCACTGTGACAGGATGTCCGGTTCCTCTTCTGAAGACATTAAGAAATATATTTCAATATGTTATATTTATTTGTATTTTTTTTGTTTGGAGATATGGCAGATAATAATGAAAGTACTGCCTCACCCCGAGGCTTCGCACTTGGTGTCAGAAGTTGTCGTGCACTGGTGCGCGTAGATGAACCCGGGCGGGCACTGCGCGCAAGGTTTGCAATGTGCGCTGCTGCCGTCGTTAAAAGTGCCTTTTTTGCACTCTCTCCAGGGCACCTCGTGACGCCCACCCAAGTCATCAAATCCGCAGTTGGGGGTTATTTCACGTCCTGTATTGGTACACATCAACAATATAAAACATAAAACAATAGAATCAAATAGGACGGGATATACAGCAATAGCAAACCACTCACCTGCCGCTCGAGGACACTCCTTACATGTTGAAGTACTCTGATCCCAGAAGGTGTCCAGATCGCGGCATTTTTCGGAATGTCCCATTGTCGAGTGTGCCACTGTTCCTCTGCGCTCGAGACCCAAAAAACTTTTGTGACTAAATGTTCCGACAAATGGCGCCTCCTACTTCCACCCTCGCAAGAAATGTGAGTGAGTTCAACAAAAAAACGGCATTACGTGCAAAGCCAGCGATCCAGCAAGGCGCTTGTTGTCGAATCGATGCCAGCCAGGCTCCGCTGCAGTGCGCGCCTGGCGCGTCACATAGCGTGGCGCAGATAGCACAAGAAAGATTATAGAAGGAATAGGGCAGCAGGCTTTTCCTGCAGCATTCTATGAAGGTGGATTTGTGTCTGTCTTATGCAAACAAAAAAAACTGTTGCAAACGAAAATCAAACTGAAAATAAATGATTTGTTCTTTTTCAAACCTTTTTTTTTCCCATTCAGACATTTGGCCCTGCCCAGTGAGCACAATACGTACTTTTAACGTTGAAATATGGTTGAAATGAGGTCTGAACGTCTAAGACCTTATTTCAACGTCTTTTCAACCGGCTAAAAAGTGGATGAAACATCAACGTGCCAGAAAACGCCAATTTGTTGATAAATGTGGCATGTTGTAACGTAAGGTTTAAAGAGAGGGGATATTAACATTAAAATGTTCATAATAATTATCCACTGTTTTTGTAGATTCCTTCAAAGGAAAACCCTATAGTTGAGAAATGTTTTTTATTGCAGTTCAAATATGGAGAAATTGTCTTTTTGAACTTGCAATTATAGGGCTTTTACTCTGAAGAGATCTCCAAACCTGTACAGTAAAAATACATGATATTCAGCCTGCTAGTAGTCAGGAAGGTCCTTAACACTACCCAGTGAGCATTTTTTGGTTGAAAAGACGTTTAAAAGACGTCTATGCCCGACGTTGAAAAGACGTTGCAAAATGGTTTAAAAGTGAAAGTTGTTTCAACGTCTATTCGTAGACGTTGAAAAGACGTCTATGTTTAGACCACATTTCAACGTGATTTTTTAATACGGTAATATTTCGTCTTCTCTTGTGTGCTATATCATTATTTTAGAGGTTTAAAAAGAAACTACGTCCACATTTGTAAGTTTACCACCGATATTATAAATCACGTTGAAAACGGGTCTATACGCGAACGTCTTTTCAACGTCTACGAATAGACGTTGAAACAACTTTCACTTTTAAACCATTTTGCAACGTGTTTTCAACGTCGGGCCATAGACGTCTTTTAAACGTCTTTTCAACGTTGAAATGCTCGCTGGTTGAAATGTGGTCTAAACGTAAACGTCTTTTCAACGTCTATGAATAGACGTTGAAACAACTTTCACTTTTAAACCAATTTGCAACCTCTTTTCAACGTCGGGCCATAGACGTCTTTTAAACGTTGTTTCAACGGATAAATTGCTCGCTGGAAACTTACAAGTTACATACGGTCATTGCCCGGAATTATTGAGAAATGTGTTTTTATTGCAGTTCAAATATAGTGAAATTGTGTTTTTGAACATGGAAATATGGGGGGGGGGGGGTTACTTTGAAACATTTAATTTATTGTACAAGAGTACTCAGAGGTCCTTTACACACATACTTCTATCATTCTCCGGAATGTTCTATTTAAATAGCACATATCCCGGTTACGTGTTTAATGCCGTAATCGTCAGCATACACAGGAATTCAAGCGTCTGCTGCGTTGACCGCAGTTGAAAAAGGAACCTTCCACCGGCTACTACTGCAAGAATCAACCCTTTCTTTTCACTATATTTAAGATTGGATGTAAAACCACTGACGCCCGCTGATTTTGGATCCTACTTGCCATGAATCGCAGAATAAAACCAATTAACCATCTCAGAATGAGCCATCAACCACACGTGAATCTCCGAAGTCACGCACTTCCCACAAACAAGCGTGAACGCAGCGGCGCATCCGTGCGATGGAGGCGCCTCGGTTCGGACTTCCTGGTTCAATGGCCCGTCAGCGAAGCGTTGCTGAACGCACGGACGCGTCTCTGTAACCATGGTGATGTCGCTCTGCAGACGGCCCGCGCGGACTCGTCTCACGGGCGGCTGCACGTTGAGATGCACGTGGCTCGTCCAGCTCGCAGACCAGTACGTGTTGCTAAGAGGATGCTTCACATGGGCTGCAGCTGGTTGTCCACATCGCTGCGGTTACAGAGAGGTGTTCGCTGACGAGCCTTTGGACCGGGATGTCCGAATCTGTCGTCAGCCTTTATTTGTCAAGCCGTCACTCATGATTACACGTCCCCCGCCCCCTAGGTGATGCCCCGCCCCCTACGGCACATCAGGGTCAAAAGTCTGAATGTAAAAAATGAAAAGATCCGAACGCGAAAATACCGAAACTGAATATAAGATTTGAATCTGAAAATATAAAATCTGCAAGCGAAAATTATAATACAGTGAAAATAAAAAACTAAATACAAGTGAAGAATGAAAAAAAAATCTTATTCAAAGAGTCAAAACTATTAACAGGAAAATACTTTTGGTGCACTTATTTTTATTTTGAATACATTATTGTATTTTACAATGTTCAATGACCAAAACTTAAACTTTCAGGTTCACATTTGTTTTTAAAATAAACAAAACCTTTGACCTGGATTTGGCACCATACATGTCAACACAGCAGCCCTCCACGTCGTTCTTTAATGAAAGACTCCGCGACGCTAACAACATGAAAAGAATGACAGTGCTGCTGCATTTAAAATAAGTCAACTTACCTCCGTGTCGCTCGTGACAGTCTCACGTCAGTGTTTAATGGTGGAAGCAGACACGGAGCCCCAGTCGATCCACCAATAGAAACTCCTGGTTCATTCAATAAGCCCCGCCCACTACAAACTTGTGTCGCAGTCTTTGTTCCGAGACCAAAACTTTTTTTTAGTGAGCAAAAGTTTTTGTTTTGCAGCCAAAAATATATATTTTTATAAGCAAAACTAACAACTAACTTATTCTCAGTTTATGTGCTTTGAATTACAAATTTAATTTGAGTTTTTTTGTTTGCATAATAAAGACACATATCTGCCTTCATAGATTTCGTCGTAATAACATTTTGGGTAACATTCCAAAAGCAATGGCGGATAACAGGTAGTCTAATGACATGTGTAATTGTAGTAAATCCTTCATCAACAAGGATGCATTGATGTGCTGATTTGGTGTTATGCACGGTTACATTACAGGTCATTTAGCTGATGCTTTTATCCGAAGTGATTTACATTACACTTTCAACCCATAGCTTTTTTACATTTTGCCCGGGGGAGCAATTAGGGGTCAGGTGTCTTGTCCCTGAGACACTTCAACTTGAAACATGTGGCAGCCGGGACTTGAACAGTTTGTTTACCATTAAAATAGAAAATAATGGCTTCACATGATTTAAAGATAAAATGACAAAACCCTGGTGAGCTGCCCCATCTTCCCCCAACACTTGATCACCCACATATTTTACTATCTGTACGGAAAGAATAGCCCAGATGGCTGTCGTGTGGAGCAGACGGACAAATGCGGAGTACAAGCCAACTTGTAGAAGGTAATCTTTATTTACAGTTTCTGCAGAAAGAGGAGAACTGAACATCACAGAACCAAAGGATCCAACACGGACTGAACTCAAAACCAAGACTAAAATACTAAGTTTAAGTGCAGGCGGAGAAATGGGCAGAGAGGCTATACTGAGGTGGATGAAGTAAGGGAGAAGAAAATAAACACAGCACAGACATCAAATGGAAGGAACGGAGATGCTTTCATTTTAATCGCAGTGGAGAGGAATTCTTTCATTGAATGTTCGCTGTTTATATCTTCCATCACTTAGTGAAAATACTCTTTTGTCCTAAACATATTCTGAGCTACAGATCCAATCTTAACACAGTGATGCATAAGAAAGCGCTATGACAGAAGGAAAACCCAGACTGTTACAGTACCTCCTCGTCCCCGACGAGGGCACTCAAAACCTTTGTGCAATTTACGCCAACAGTCGAATAATACTGAAAGTAAGAGGGAAGGTGTCTGCGTCATTTCACTCGTTTGACGTCATGCAAAACTCTCGATGGGGCCTTAATGCGTGACCTATTGTGAAATGCCCAGCACTTCGTCATTAGGAACGAGTGCAGCTTTCTTCCATTCTATCGTTGTGATTGTGAACACGGAGAAATCTCAGTTTGCATAGAAATCATTGAAACACCTGTGACAGCCCCAGTTTGTGCATCTAGTGTATTTAATTGTAACTTTTAAAAAGTGGTAAGTGTTGTTCACGGACCTTCTTGCTTTTTCCAAAAATCATCTGGGATTTATCCTTAAGAAAAACAAAGGTTCACCTATGCTCTTTAAATATAACGATAGCACACGAAAGGCCCTAAATGAGAAGTTGTGGCGGACAGCGATGTGTGCTGGGAGCCCTTAGATGTGTGAGTTGTACAGATAGGTGCTGCTGATGCTCCAGTCGGGAGGGAAGTCCCGTCCCGCGTGGCCCTTCAGGTGCCTCTGCATGGCGACCAGGCTATTGCAGAACTCCAGGCACACTGTGCACTGGTACGGCGTGGCCCCGCCATGAGTCCGCAGGTGCTTGATCATGGCAGAGTAGTCGCGAGAACGCTGCCCACAGAGGCGACACTCAAAGGGCTTCTCTCCTTGAAGCCGAGAGGGGATAGAAAAGGGGGGCGCGGGAAGTGAGACAACAGAAAGGAAGACGTTTGTGCTCACATTAGAGACGGCTTCTTATCTCTAGGCGCTAGATATATTTCTTAAATAAACTCATGTAAACTCATTTATATCTTTCCAATGTGATACCATTGACCTGCCATATTGGCCATATTGTAGGTAGGTACAGTCTTGCATCCTATCAGCGAGTACTCAGCAAGCCCAATATCTCACTGAGCACTTAACCTATAAATTAACCTACAAATGCTTGTTAGTCATTTCTGCTACATCCGACAAAGCCCTTCTTTTTTTAAATCTTCTTCTGCCGATCAAACAGCGTGCTTACCCGTGTGAACTCGGTGGTGTGTGTCCAGTTGATGTTTCAGACTGAACGTCTTGGGACAGCGTTGGCATTGGTAGGGTTTTTCTACTCTGCGTTCTCGTTGATGGGATTGTGGTTCATGCAGCAGAACATCTCCTCTTCCACAGAACCGGCACCCCGCACAGGCCTCCCCTGTGCAAACGACCAGATGTCCAAATGTCAACATTTTCATTTATTCAATCGGCATATGATTTGTTTAGAGATTGATGGTTAGCTTCAGCCTCTCTGCTTTTATTTAATTATGAATTCAATACCTTTAGGTTTGGAACTGTTTAAGAAATATTTAGGTATCACTTTAGATTATAGTTTGGTGATGACAAGATACTAGTGAGGGAATAGCTTGACAATTGGCTAATAAATAATTCAATGTTATACCATCTTGACTACCAGGTAGATTTGGATTGGGTCAAACAAGAACAAAACGTTACACATTATGAGGTAGTATATCAACATGATGTAATCAAAATAATCTTTACGCTCTGTAATTTTCTCTATTTGTTTAACATTTTATAGATCGAACCACCAATTCATCGAAAAAATAAGCATCAGATGAATAAATTGATTGATTGATAAAATGAGCAAACAGCGCAAGTTTCTTTCCATCCTGCTTCAATTGCCAAAAGCCGTCGGAACTAAAACCGTCCCTGACCTCCGTGACATGATTACAGTTCATCATAACGCCGGTGAAGAACATAGTTAATGCACAAGCTTTAGAACAACATACCGGTCACATACTTATTTCAATAACTTGCGGGGGCACAACTCTATTTTTGGGTCAGCATCCTGTTACAAGACAATGAATTCAGTTTGTACGCTTTCCTGTCACTCTGCACACGGCTCGTCCTCAGCCACGTATGCCAGTGAGTCGTTTAAAATGCCAAAGGTGTGATTTTGAGGTTTAAGCTGCAACGTTTTGGTGTTATTCTAGTGAAAAGCTGGGCCTCGCAGGTTCGACAGGATGCTGAAATACGAAGGGGGTGTACTGTAGTGGGGGAAATTTATAGAGTAAACCACAACAGTTGAACACTCGCCACTATAAACACAACCTCCTGAGACCTTCTCCCATCAGCGTGCTTCCTGTCCAAAAATGTTCTTTGGTTGTCACTTTAAAAGACCTCAAATCTGCACTGCTGAAATGTGTTGACCTCATTAACGTACAGTGGTTTCAGGGGGGGGAAGCAAAAACAAAGAATAACCGCTCAAAGCAACAACGAGGGCAGGTTCTTAAATGGTTTATTTGTATTTTTTGTTGTTGTGCTTTTTTGTATTTAGATATAAATGAGAGAAACAATGTTGGTGCCTGATTATTATTTTTGTGTACTTGAGCTTTTATCTAAACGATGACGCTGCTAATGCGGATTGTGACTTGAGAACCAGTTTCACCATTTCTTAATATCTTCAAGTGTGAGCACAAGGTTCAATCAGATAAAACATGCTAAGCAGCTTTATTTTACCATACCAACCACCATATCTGTGTATGCAGGCATGTACACACACGGTCACGCAACACACACTCGCATGCACTTTTGCATTGCAGTTATTTCTTATAATACATTGATATGTATGATTCTTCTGGACAAACCACCGTTGCGATGCAGTGCATACTGTACTGCATACATCTAGCCCCATCTAGTAACCACACTCCTGCTCCTGCTGCACCGTGCTCTGAAAACCACAACTCTCTTTATCACTTTCCGTTGCGTAGCTCGGTAGCTGGAGTCGACGCAGGTTAGAGTTCAGGACAAGAACCGCCTTACTGTCACGTCAAAGCGATAGTGTCACAGTCTTGATTGCGCTGAGGAGGAATACTAGCACGCTCGATGCGTTGCTGCGCTTTCTGTCACCACGTTACCTGGTGGCGTGGAGGCCGGCTCCCGCAGCGCTGGAGCACCGAGGAGGCTCGTCCCGCAGTGTTGGCAGTCTTTACCTCTCACTCGGCTGGGACGGGGTGTCTCAGGGTTACTGTGGGAAATTGATTTTAGATGTAAAAGTTGCAAGAAATGTATTGCAATTGTACCTTCGGCAAAAATAAATGAACTGCTTGTATTTGTGATGCAAGGAGATATTCGATATGTAGCTAAAGACCAAAGGACAGTTTTACATATATTTTATTACTTCTGAAGCCTTTTCTTTGCTCTCTATTCCCATAATGGTAGAAGGGGCCAGAAAAGGGAGAGACACTGAAGAATATTGACATTTTGATTTGAATACATTTTTGTGGTAAAAGTGGGTGGAAAATCTTGAATTCTACAAAGGAGGGGAAAAATGAAGGGGGCTCCCCTCACACTGTTTGTTAGGCTTTGTGGAAGACTGTACGAACTGCAGCTTAATCTACAAATAACCAACTTGTGTGGGTTTTACACTATCTAGTATCGCAAGAGGGACGCTGACAATTAAGTGAGAATAAGAACCAAAAAAAAGTTGTAATCGCCACAAAAGTTACAAATATATTCATAATTATTGCAATATTAACCAATGTTGTTTGCTCGTGCAGTCATGACAAATGGGATTATGATTTTTTCAAAAAGAGATGTTGACTGACTGGGACTGCCAGGGAAGGGTTCACTAGTGAAACTGCTCTACTTGGAAAGTGCAGGAGGCTTGATGCAGCAGTGAGTCAGGTACGATAGCTGTCGCAAGGGAACAATTGAGCAAATTAGGGGATTATTCTATGTCTTCATGAGAAAAGAAGACATAGAGAGGAAGACATTGACTAAAAATAAAAGCCAGAAGTTCTGACTTACCTCTGCTCACTGGCGTGAACGACCCCTTTAAATTCTCGCTGGCTGATTTTTCTTCTTTTCAACAGGCTTTGCTTGATAATGCTCCCCATACCTGCAGGCCCATTGCAAAGGTTTTGCGTATAATGTGGATAAAAGCTTGAACCCACTATGGAGCTCTGAACAGGGGTTTGAAAATGAGAGCCGAGGACGGGGAACATGTGGGGGGCGGAGAGGGAGAACGGGTACGCTACAGTGGCGGACTGGTTTGGAGTCGCGAGGGGGTGAGTTGCCATTAAGCTCGGATAGTTCTCCGCCATCCGCCTCAGCGTGGTCACGGAGCTCCACATGTTTGTGGGGAAAATCCAGGGGGAAGACAAATAGGGACTGCTGACTGCGGAACGAGTGATCACGCTGTCTCTGTGCCAGGGCATCTTTCTCGGGGATGGCCGGGCGTTGGGGTTCTTGGCAGGATCCGGGGTGGAGGGGCCTTCCAGGACGATGCAGTCGCTTGCTTCCTCCGCCGGGGATGGAGTCTCTCGCCGTCGGTCCACTTGATCTGGACTCCCATTTTGCTTCTGATCATTGTCCTCTGCACTTTCTTTTTCTTCCGCTTTAATAGACGTGATGTCTCTCGTGTTTGCACCCTCTCCGGCTCTGTGGTCGAGATTTCCCAGCTGCTTTCGGCACTGGTCCTCCAGCTGCTGCATCTCCAACAGCTGAGCGGCATTCAGCAGCAAGTGCAGGTCGTCCAAAGACACATCCAGAGTCTGTGTGTAGGTGAAGTCCAGGACTTGCTGGAAGGTGCGTGGCGAGAAATACTCCAGAGTGCAGTGGACCGGGCTGTCTGCGTCCGCCTGGGCGAGCTGCTGCGCCAGTCTTCTGCTGGCACAAGCCAGTACCAGCCGATGGGCCCTGAAGGTTTGACTCTTTACTGAGATGATGGCATCGCAGAGTGACCCTGAGCGCCGTAAGGCATCCGCCTGCTGCAGGAAGTGGACGTATTGGGTGTTGTTGATTCGGATCATTTCGAAAGTTTGTGTAGTTATTTCAAAAGTCTGAAAAGTAAAAGTTGAAAGAACAAAAGGAAAAAGTCAGAAGGGATTCCATTAGATTATGCCCACATTGCTAAAATGGGTTCTGTTAACCAGGATATTTTCAACATTTGAAGAAATGCTCTATTGTAAGTGGAAAAATCAGTTTGGAAATGAGCGGCAGGGTCTGACTTGTTATTGACAGATTATCTGTGGTTTGAATATTGTTTTTCCATCCTTGACTGTGGTGAGTTGAGGGGGCAGAATGGAAAAAGGAAATTGGCAGGTCAGTAAAGTTCATTTTCAACCAATTTACATAACAGTTAATAAAATGGTTAAAAACTGTTTAAGTTAAAGTACTCTCCTCCCAATACAACTACACACACATTAACATCTGGACTGTGTAAGATTTATAGTCTATTTTCAGCAGCCACAACCGTCTAAAAAAGTTGATGTGTGCAGATGCACTTTTTTTGTGAAAGCTTTGATATTCGGCGCTCACATTCACATTGCAATCCAAAGCCACAAAGCTCTAACAGTATATGAAACCATGACTAATGACTGTACACACGAGTAAACATTGGTACGGTTTCAGTGTCAACAACAACAACAACTGTATTTGGTTGACTGTATTTGGTTTCTATAAACTTTAGCAAGGGTTTAATATGCAAGTATACACTATATGAAATATTTGGAATTTAGCCCTAAAAGTGAGAATAAATGGTTGATAACGTTGTGGCGATGTGTTGAAATTAACGGATGCCTGAGTAGTTGCCGTCACGGTCTGAAGTCTATAGTGAGCTTTTGTTACGTTTTTATAATTTATATTTTTGTTGGCAATTCTGCAGTGGTGGTCCAACGTCTTTGCACAATTGCAACCGCAATAGGTTCAATGGTGGTGAATGTAAATGGAAAGTTACAACATTTAGTCATCTGGATACTGGAATTGAAAATAAAAAAATAATGTGTATGCACCTTTTTATGTGCTCTCCAAAACGTACTCTTATGATCATGATCAAATAAATCTATTTAATTATTTGGAAAACATAGTAGCAAAGAACAGTAATTCAAGATATCTTAATTATTGCACCTGTCACGGTGTGGTTCACTTCCTGTTGTATTTTGTAGTTTTCTGCCACTCGTGTCCCCGGGTAACTTCACTTCCTGCCTTGTCCCGTTATCCCCTGTGATTGTCTAATAGTTTCCCCCTGTGTCCAATCACCTGCACCTCCCTTGTGTATTTAAGCCGTGTGGCTCTTGTGTCACTTGTCGCGTCATTGTCTTTCGCCACGCATGTCCGTGTCCCTTGTTGTGGGTATCCGTAGTTGCATGCCTGTGTGTTTTTGCCCCTTGGCCTTTTGGATTTTTTGACCTTTGACTATTAAAGTCCTTTTGTTCCTGCAAGTCTGCATTTTGAGTCCTGCCTCCCACCCGCACCCGTGACAGCACCTATAATTTAAACAAAACAGCACGTAGCACTGAGAGTGAAACTCAACACTACAGCTGCTCCAGTTTTAGAAGAAGAAAGTCACTTAAATGTATTTGATCCGACTCAGCCAGCGTGATTAATGTAGACGTAGAACAAGTAGACCATTCTGTCACGACAACTTTTGCGGCTGTCAAAAGTCAGAATTGTATTGTGAACGTATACATAATATATGTAGCAAACGGCTCGGTTATTTATTCACGCCAATTCAAATTTCTTCCGTACAATATCCCGTGATGCATGCAAACATGTTCCGTATAACAATAATAGCAACACCACTACTAATAATTGTGCAATTGGATCAATGTAGTGATCTATCATCATGTTCATTTTTATGCTGTTCTACATTTAAAATAAACAACCTAAAAGCAACTTCACTTAACAGAAAGGGATTTTGTGCGCAAGCAGATTTAGTAAACACGTTAGTTTAGTAGTGTAGTATAGTCCTTCAGTGGTGCGTGCAGCATACACTTAACTATAGTTTCAACTGTTTGTTTTGTCAGATTGTTCTTGTTGCTCATACATTGCATTGGTATTTGTACCTGAAATTAAATATTATTTTAGTATTGCAGCTCACCTGAAGCTGCTGGCAAATGAATATCCTGAATAATTCTGCTCCATGTGGTTGCAGACCACTGTCTAAATAGTTTCTACTTTTAAAATCTGTTTGATTTTGCAATAAACTACCTTGTAAAATTAACAAATTTCCATCGATGTTGTGAAAATGTACAATGCACTTTGCAGAGCATGGCAGCATTTCTTTCATATTCTTCTTGTATCACAATTCCTAAATGGAGGGAAAACTTCAAAACTTGCATACAAATGTCAGATTTGCACATCCTTTGACAGGACATGAGCCGGCAGTCAGCTTTCCCACAGTTTGCACATAAAGGACTGGAATCTGTTGCAGTCAACAGAAGATCACTAGCAGCACCATAGATTGCGTTAAAAGTAGATCGCAGGAAAGACCAAATGTGAGCAGCGAGTCTTCCTGTGGTTTCGTTCGTCTTGAAGACGAACGAATCAGCGTGAATGTGAATGAGATACTTACCGAGGTTTTGGTGAGTATTCTCCCTTGAAAATGATGAGCTACTTTGCGTCATGACTGTGAAAGTACTTGTTAGGTGACATGTCTGTTTGTGTGACAGGGTGACTTACTAATTCGTCTGTAGAGTCCCTCCCATTTGACTTGTCTCTTTCCCTTATTGGTTCATTGATTACAGTGATAAATGGCTTGCTTTGGTGGATGTTTGAGGATTTATATCATTTATTATTATTATTATTATATATGCTATTTATTATTTATTTTTAATCATTTAGATTTTTTTATTTAGTTTCAAACACGGACACAGTTTCACAACTTAACAATCATCAACTGTAACATATACTGGTCCCCCGCTGGTGTGCGAGTGAGAAGGACGGTGGTCAGAGTGATATTTGCATACTTTATTGCCCTGTGTTGTGTGGCTGCTATACACGCTGTGCATCATTTCTTCCACTTCAGCATCACTTGTTGGTCACTACAATAATAGGCTGTTCTGTGCTCAGACTAAAACCACTTCAAAGACGCTGATCTGTGACAGGAAGCATACAGACAAAAACCCAGTGGTACCGTTATGCAGGGCTAGGCCTCTGAGAATAGAAATGTGTGCTTTGTCCTTTCGATTTAACAGAGCTACAGAGCTGGTCAGTTCAGTAGACCTCAGTGGTTGAGTACATTATGACCCCTTTGTTTGCTTATAAAGATGCATTTTAAATACTAATAATAATCATACAGTATTTTGAAGCTCGTTTTTAATTGCAGCCTTTTCATTTTTCTCTGCAGTATTCTTAAAACAGGGGATATTTATAGAACATGTAATAGTATAATCAAGCTGCATACAGCCGGTAAACATCTGGCAGCACTCAGCAGCTCTTTTTTCATCAAGATTTGGTGGAGAGCAAAATGAGTCTAAAAGAGGGAATGTTAGCAAATTTGATTGTTCAAGATCATGAAAGCAGTTCTTTTAAAATTAAATCTTCATCAATAAAGCTAATAGACATTAAAGATCTTTCTGTGTTCTGCTGTTGATTATACTATTATTGAAACTCTAAAATAATGACATTGAAATTTGAAATATGTATCTTGATATTTGGCGCATCTGTTACTCAATAATTTAGCATCAATGCATAAGGAAAGCTGTTTTGTGCTCCCAAATCCCGAAATCTCCTTAGGCAACGTACCTATTTGACTGGGTTTAGGAAAAGATGTGTCGGGTTGAAATAAACCCTTTTTAAATTGATTGACAGATGGCACATCCCATAACCTGCCATGTATGTTTTTGCAGGTGACAGCCAGGTGCCCGGCCAATTCACCGGGTGCCGTTTCTCAGGTGGTTCTGTGTAACAAACCTTCCTGGTCGGTACGGTTAAACAAATAGAATGCATGTATGTCTATACGCACTGCCAGTCTAAAGTTTGGACACACACTTTGATTGAAGTGAATGAGTCCAAACCTTTGACTGGCCGGTACCTGTACTGTATTGACTGTATAAAAGTGAGCCACGAGGAATCAATTAATTCATTGTTTTTTGTGTGTGAGAATTATTAACTTTCTTTTTTTACGGGTCTTCATTTTTTTGTCCATCCCAGCTAATATCGGCATCAGGCTTTTGTGCATCCTGGACCGGTTGCCGGACAATTGCAGGGCTGAGATGTATCGAGGGTCGAACCCATTCCCTCTTTCTGTGAGGCGAGAGTTTTAGCTGCTGCACCAACGTGCAAACCTCTCATACACTACGAACCTAAAATGACAATGTTACAGTGACGCTTTCAGTTTTTTGTCATATCTATGAAACAACTTTCAACATTACATAAGTTAGATTTGACATGTTGCGCTTTATTTTTGCCGTGTACAAATAGAAAAGCATCCCGAGCGGACGCACAGACTACACCAAGTTGAGTCTTCCTCTCACAGAAAACTAAACCACCAATGTGTAGCATCGACGCACACATGGCGTCCTTTGTACATGTCAACTTTGTGGTCATGGGATGTGTTTGTAGTGTTAAATATAAGGTGGTTTACTTGTAGTTGCTGTTGACATTTTTACTTAATGTGACACTTTTTTTTTCTTAGCTTTAAATTTCCTCTTTCAATTTTCAGTGGATGTTCTCTTTCAAACTGCAACAGTTTGAAAGATTCATGATCATTTCATGTGTGTGTGTGTGTGTGTGTTTGTGTGTGCGTACGTGCTCACTGAAAGTATGTGCTTACATTTGGTCTGGGGGGGAGACCTTTGCACGAGTGGGCCTATTGCTTAAACCGCTGGACAGTTTGATGTCATCTGTTCCTCTGAGTGAAATTAGCATTATACCAACTGTTAAATGTCATCTTGTTCTATATGGCGAGGAGACAGTTGCAAAGGGCTCCACCATCCAGTAATATCAAGAGTGTGAGTCCCCCACACCACACTCCTCAGCACCTGTTATCTACCAGTTTAAAATTCACCATCAGGCCCAGCACGAATGCTGACTCACTGAGGTGTCTAGCTGTGTGGGGTATTTGAGGTAAATGCTCATCTAGCTTGTACGTCAGCGCCCACGCAGCAAATCATGTCAATGACATTTCATCTTCGCATCAAGAGCTTTTACTTGAGGAATTAAACTAACCTTAAACTCACCTTGGGTTCATCTACGAAGCTTGTCTTCATGTGAAAGGGCTTCCGTATTGTCTTTTCTGTTGAATGAATCAAAGTGCTACCGAACTAAATAAAATGCACACTCAGACTGCGACGTGATAAAAGTCAGGGTTAATATGAGTCGTCTCACATTACCGCAGTGGTGTTACGCGAGCAGTTGACTTCACAGGAACCTCTAGCGGGATGACTGATGGGCCCTGGAAGGCTTGAATGGCAAACTGTCACTGTACAGCCACAGAGGCTTTTCACAGTAATCTGCGTGAGCAGAACTACCCGTCAGTGTTGCGGTTTGGAAGAAGTGAACCCATGCAGGGGCCGGGGTGCGCGCGCGATTCTTTGTAATTTGTGGGTGAAGGAAGCGTGAGGCTAACCCTGCCCACGTTAGTGACAGTGTAAGGCGAGGTGCTGCTTGGGAACGGTCTCAACGCGTCTGATGTTTCGCTCGTGCTTATTAGAGCAAAGAGTAAAGGTTTATTTGATCACGGCAGTTGTTTGCATACACATGACAGACATGAACCCCCACTCATACAGTACATGATTACTCATCACACTACATTTTAAAGGGAAATGCTCATCAGTTACTGACGATGTTACCATGATTTGGAGATTATCAGCGCTGTTTAACTCTGGTGTTTTTCTCATTACACTACCATGTTTTTAGAATTCTGTCTTAGCCACAGTGCGTCCATTCAAAAGTAAATAAACAAAACATAAATGGTGATGGATATAACTAATAAATATATTTCATTTCTCAATTCTTTTGAGAGTAATGAGGTGATAAGCATCGCACGTAGCTTTTCCTGACAGGAAGTGAACTGCAATTTTGGTAGTCGCTGAAACGCCATACCGAGAACTGAGAGAAAGTCTTATCTTACAACTGATCTTTATCTTGGTTAACATGTGTGTCTTTCTCATTTATTGTATCGTGCCACAGTCTGACACATTGACTAGCAACATTTGAGCTTCCAAGTACAACATCAATATTGACGTGAAATCCCACCTTGGGCGCGCTGGTTTACTTATTTTGCTTTGTCTTGAAAGCATTTCTATTTCGCTCTGTAATGTAACAAAACACAACTCTTTTCAAAGGGTACTTAGGTTTCCTTTTACGAAGAATGCAGCTACGGAATCCAAGAAATATATATATATTTTCCAGTATGAGTACGTCATACAGTTTCCCCTCCTTGACTGTGGCTTTCACATCATGATTTCTCAGTCTCCGGCATGTTGACTCTTAACGATGGAATTAAGTTTCCTTATTAAAGGTGTCAGACTGAGAAAAAAAACATCCATGTGAAGGAGTACCTTAATAAACACAGACACAGTATTTTATGGGTCATTCATTTTTTATTACACTATTGATTAGCTCGACCAGTTTCAATTCCTAAGATTGCCCCCCCGAATACAGTTACACAACAGAGAACATTTTGCCAAATTGGAATATCTGTCTGCGTATTTGTGGTGCCTGTCTTTGGCTAACGGTCAGAATAAAAACAGCACTCTCATCGATGCTATCGACATCCTCAGAACCAATGCGGTATACTTGAAATCCGACAGACAGAATCAATGTCTAATGTTTAGCAACCACAGTCCACAAATTGGCTAATTTCTCTACTTGTGCTTGTCCCACTCTTTGTTGATTAGGCAGAGGCCGTATACCCGCCTGTATTATACATTTGAACGCCATGAACTTGTCAGTGTTTTCTCATACAAGCTTCTTAATTTACATTACAAGTAGAAAGCATGACCCTTGATCCAACTGATTATTACATAGAAATAAAAAATACAGAATAATTACATCCAAAACACAGCATTGTAAAAGGCAATAATGTAGCAATTAATATCTCAATTTTAAGTTTATGTTTCGTTGGGAAGTAAGGGGACAGACCAACAAAGAAGTCTAGATTTTGACGGAGGACGTACAAATGTGATTTGAGTAACTACAGTATACACCATCCTAAGTCTTCTAAATGCTGGTAGGAAACCGTAAGTGGTTTGGGAAACACAGGCAAGCTTATTCTCATCTATGGTTTCAGTAGTATCATTACAAGATCAACTGACTTAAACTGTGAACATACAATGTTTTCATTCACTAACATAGCTATACAAATTATACAAGGGCTATGACTTCTCTTCATCTGTCATAGCACAACCGCAACCTGCAATTAACTCGTCCAACGAGAGAAACCGAAGATTAATGGAAAATCATACCTCTGATAGTCAAACTCTTTATGCTTATTTCAAAGCCAGCTTTACACAAAAACAACACAAAATGAAGAGTAAACACCTCCTCGTCTGAATGGACAAATGCAGGTTGATAAAAATAAACTTCCACCAGTAACAAATAAATACAGTGAGAACTGATTTTGGTATGTTTTATCTCTACTTATAGCACACAGTTAAAGACTGACGAAAAGCAACATCCACAATGTGACCTTCTTCTTCCAACATGGTCTAAAGTGGCTAAAGGACACACTAAGTTCAACATTTAAGTAATGAACGATTAGCCAGAAAAAAGGGGCAATCCCTTTCTTGCTTACCTATACAAGGTGGTGCGTTGATCATAAATATGACAAACTACGATGACTGATTCAGTGAAAAGCTATCTCGCAAGAGAGGAACTCAAATATTGCAACTACAGAGTACCGACGTTCAATGTTGTTGAGTCCAAATTTGTCAAACGGGGAGATACGCTGGATATCTAACTACTATCATGCCATGAGTGTGGTCTGTTTTCAAGCACCCACCATACAGCCTGACACACTTTAGCTGTGGCCTCTTCACGCGCTGTGCAACAACCTTAACGTCAACCCGCCACATGTGAAAAGCAACAGGCTACTACAGGAAGCGATAAGAAGGGCATCAGGCAAGTAGTCTTTTGGACGGGGGGGAGCTTCACTACACATACAAAGGTCTACTAGGGGAATGACGCAATACTGAAAATAGGATGGAGTCTCAACGTCTACCTTAAATACATTCAGAAAGAAGTTACTTTGTCGTTGTCTTGTGCTGGTTTTTACAACAGTCCGTTTTCAATCAGCCATGTTAGGAAAATGTTTTTTCTTCTCCTTACAGCACAATGTACTATTTTTTTTTAATGTATTATTCCCTTACATTGATGCAAATTAATCATAGAAATGTCTACACCTAGTAGTATGTACTTCTTACGTTATATACAGTGTAAATTTTGTACGCTGACATTTTCCGACTTTTCAAAAGCAATGACAGGAACAACACAAATAAATACAGCTGTATCATACACCAAATTGTCATGCTTTCATTAAAATAACGGACTTTTGATTCATCTGTTTTACAGTTATTTAGGTAGCAGTACAAATAAAATAAACTCATTCACTGGCTTAATATTACGTGTGTTTTGGCAAATAATTAAAACAAATATTGAGGGCAGATCCTCGGAATTTAGAAACACGATGTTCATTTTTACAGCCAGCACATAGCTATGTATGGTGGTCTTTTTGGCCTTCTATATTGTAAAAGTAAAGCCTAAATATCTCACACATTCAAACTAAACACCTCCACGTCCTCACCTTATGATCATGTCTTAATATTAATATTATGTTCCAATGTAATAGCAGCTAAAGGCGGTAAGGAATAGCAATTTAATCACTGAGTGGATTTCAAATTGAGAATTAGACCAAAATTGAACGAGCCGGCCATTTGCATTCATCTACACAGATACAATATATCTAACTGTGGTAAGATTTGGACAAAAGAGACTACTACGGAAAAATAAATACTACAAAGCATTACACACCGTTCGGCTCCAGTTTCTAGTGAGGAGCAATAGATCAAGTCATGCCACTGGGATGGTTTTCCTGTCTGAGAGGTGAATATTTTTGGGGTCATGACACGCTGTGACGCTGCTACAGGCGAGAACGATCCTCAGGGAGTGCTAGATTACAATAGGTGATGTGATCATTCCTCTCGTTCTGCTAATGATGCCATGATGTTGGGTCATTTACAATGGGTTTGGGATGTACCACGTACTTATTCATATACTTTATGTTGCAACACGTCATAAACAAAAACAAGTGGTCAGGCGTGACCTGTTGGCAGCCCCCTGGTACCTCAGTTCATCTGTTCAAAGAATTTGTAGGTGGGGTTTTCATAGCCGTGGTTTTGCATTTTGTTGAGCTGTCGTTCTTCTGGTGTCAGCATGGGGTCGACCTGCAGCGAGACACACAAAAGCTCAAATTCTTACACACTTTCACACTAATTCATGTGCAAGGATCACACCATCGACTGAGATGTGAATACATTGTCTGTCCAATGATATGTGATATGCAGAATGAAATAGAAGGGAGCAGGAGTTAAGTTATAAAGAAGAAGGCCGCAGTTGTCGTCCCGTCAGGACTACCTTTACTTCACTTAAAAGCCTATCTGGGGTCGTACCTCTACGATGCCATGACTGATGGTCCCGTATGGCTTTCTGCGCACTAGCAGCAGGCTGATTACCATCACCATGGCAATCGCCACGGCAACCACAAGCAACCCCACCATGGCGCCACGGTTAAACGTCTCCAAGGCATCGGGTTGCTACGGAAAGAAAGAAATGTGAAGTAAGAATTAAACAAGGGAGACGAAAGGGAACATCGGTCATTTTAATTTAAAGTCCTGCTTATTCCTTCACATATTTGAGGCTTATGTATTATCGAGTCCTCACCAGTTCATCTCTCTCGATCTCAGGTGGCTTGTTGACTACCTGCTTTAGCTCAACAGAGGTGTTTATCTAAGAGGACACGGAGTGTGTCAGAAAAGGGGCAATATGGGGACACAGAAACGTTGAAAAGATAAATACCCACACAGTTATCTAGTTTAAATATCAACAGCTTTCAAATAGGCCCAAATTATCTTCAGTTTACCTTTTCCTCATATTCATACGTGGGGCCTCTCTCAGACGTGGTATAATCATATTCATCATCTGCAGAAACTAACAATTACAGGAACAAAATTGGAATTAAATTTTCAGGTGGAAGCAACAATCATTATAAACTGTCAAAAAAAACAACATTATTTAGTGACACTGAATACGAGCTCACCTTTCTTATTAGTCTGTAGTTCTTTAGAGAGAAAAGAGGAAAAGCATCATTAAAAACAGCAACCTCTGAGATTTTTTTTCATGCCACGTAAACGCCCTTGGATGGACTGAGCATGTTCATCTTCTGGTGTGTGTGTGTGTGTGTGTGTGATGTACATACCGATGCGGGGAGGATAAGGCCTGTTCTGGAAGGCTCGATCCTCTTCCTCCTCATCATCCTTTTCCTCCTCGCTCTCAGCGGGCAGAAGCTCCTCAGTAGTATGGGTCTCGGAGAAGGAGGTGGTCATAAGATCACTGATGTCTCCTCTCTCTACCTTGACCAGCTCCTCTGCAGATGATACCGAAAGAAAAAAAACAGTCATCCAGATAAAACACATAAAGACAACATGAATGACTACAAAAATACCCCAAAGTTCACACACAGTCTTCTGTGGATTTGTACACGGATCAAACGTGTAGTTCAGCTTACGGATATCATTGTGCAGCTCCTCGGCCAAGGTAGGATCCTTGTAAAGCAACGCGAGACTCTGGTTCATCCGCTCCTCAATGACATGGAGATGTGTGTACACCTGGAAAATATCAGAATCCGTTCTGCATGGGCTCTTCACCAAGCACGGTGAGCACAAACTAGTCTGTTTTAAAGTGGTCTTAGTCGTGAAAAAAACAGTGAACCAGTGAACGTCTGTCTTCTATGGAAAAGCTGAGATAGACCTTTTAATGGAGTCATGTATATAAAGCTGAGTTTGAAGTAGTCAGCAAAGACGGTCTTTGATCAAAGTTTGACATAAAGAACATTGGTGGCTGGTTTAACTCTGTGAGATCAGTATTTATTAGCTAATCCGTGACGTTCTGTTCATTACATGGTCAGCAGAAAGAAGTCTTGTATCTCAAAAGCTCAGATGTCTGCAAAAAGCCTCATAGAAGAGACTACCTCAAACACACACACACACACACACACACACACACACGCACACGCACACGCACACGCACACGCACACACGCATCCACACACGCATCCACACACACACACACACACACACACACACACACACACACACACACACACACACACACACACACACACCTGGAATTTCATCTGCTCAGCCTTCTGGGGGTCGACAGCCACAATGTGCTGGTAATGCCTGAGCGTGTGTCTGCGGTCCTTCTGCTCTGCAGCCATGTATCGCTTCAGAGCCTGCAGCACGCGGTCTGGCTGGAAGACAAGAGTTGGATGGAGGACAGGAGTCAGGAAATGCCAACCGGGGGAGACACGCGTTGGACACAGAGCAAAGAGTCCAACGCGGACCGCCGACCCACCTGGGGGGCGTCGGACTGCACGGCAGTGAGGTAGTTCTCCAGGGCCAGGCGGCGGTTATTGTTGAGTATGGCCTCCACTCTGACGAGATGCGTCTCCACCAGCCTCTGCCTCTCTCCGGCGACCTGCTCCTCCAGCGTTTGAAGCACCGACTGGAAGTGCTGGTGTCAGAAAGGGAGCAGACGGAGGCACGGGTGAGGCTGGTGGTGAATTGCCACAGGATAAGTTAAAACTATGGAATAAGGCAAACGAACAAACCTCGTTCAGGGCCTGTCGCTCTGACTTTGGCAGATTCTTTGACTGGTTGTCTGCCTCCGCCCATTCCTTCATGATCTAAGGAGTTGAAGAGACACAATATTGCTTCATTACTACAAAAGAATCACATGCGCAACCATAGTTAGGAAAGAGGGGACAGCCTGTATACACAGAACACTGAATTCCACAGAATGGAAATTTGCTTGCTTTTGTTTAGCAATAGAATGTGAGAAGTTGTCCAATCACATAAATTGCCTTTCGACAGGCGCAAATGTCAACGCCATGTCTTTATTAAAAGACACTTTTTTACACTTGTTAAATAAAGATATTCTGTCTTCCTGAGAGTTAGAAGAGATTTAGAGATTAGAAGAGAGATTCCAGTCGTGCAGCTCATAAGATGCAGCATGTTATGTATCTATAACACCTCTTAATAATGATAATAATAAATACAAAATGTGCGGAAATGTCTCTCTGCTGGGAGAAATGACGTCTTTGCAGTAACAAAAAAACAACAACACAGGAGTATTTGTCAACGTGGTGAACTACATAAAAACTGTGGCAATAGTTGGCATAACAACACCATATTTTAATGCCAAAAAAGTGATATGAATGATGAGTTAATGGCTTAATAAAATCGTGAAAGATATCTACGTTTCAGTTTGTCCTTTTTACATATAAGTGGAGTCAAGAAAGAACAGCTAGCAAGTCATATCTGTGCATCGGTGTAGTCAGGGTGCTCATAGAAACTGTTGATCACGATACGCTTAGCTGCAAAGATGAAACACACAATTTGTGGTCAAACCACAAGTCAAAAAGTCAAGACATCTTGAAGTTGTGAGCTCCTGTGCATGTGCAAATGAGAAGTGTGATAAACTCCTAACGTACATTATGTTCAGTATGAAACTCTAGTTCCACATCTATTGTGAATAATGTTTGGAGGTTTATTCATGATAACCTCAACATAAGATAACCCCTAAAACCACCACTGGCTCCTTTTCACCCAAAGGACCCTGTGGAGGTGTTTCGGGCGTCTAGTGAAGATGCCCCCCTCCCCCGGGAGGCTGTCTACGCAGACCCAGGACCGGGTGGAGATAAGCGTTTGAAGATGAACAAATTAGAAAAGGGTATACTGTCCACTGTCCATAATATGGTGGCCTGTCCTTCTGAGAATTTGATTTGAAAACAACAGTAATAAAACAGTTATCCTCCTTCACAGCTGCCAGTAAACAAACCCGTTGTCGCCCCTGTGAAAGTTACCTCATTGATGCGCTTCATTCTGCGCTCCTCGAGGTCAGTTTTTGCACGCAGGAAGTTGGCGTGCTCCGTGTCATCCACCGGCTTCTCGAAATAAACATCAACACCATCTGTGGGCCGAGGTGTAGTCACTAGATGGGGAGGGGGGGGTCAGAAAAACAGAGGTTATGACCTTAAGGCAGGTTGCACAACCCAGAAAGCAATTTTCCTGTCATCAAAAGCCCTGGTTTAAGTGTGACAGTGTGTTACCAAAGGGAACTAATCCTGAGAGTGTTTGATACACATTACTTTGTGCAACACACACAATTACACATGAAACATGGGACAGACGGTGAGCGCAGTGGTCAGCCGCTCCATGTACCACGCACACTAAACCCTGCTGAGGCCTGAGGCCTGCTGTGGATGTGAGTTACACACCAAATCTACATGCCAGCTGAAGTTGGCTCTCTGCGGTCCTGATGTTGACATGGGGTTAAAGGCCAGCCCAGACTGATGATAGGCTGAACAGAAGATGAATATAGGGGTGACTACAGCATTTTGGGTTGCATACACTACATGCATGTGTGGATGAATATGGCCATATCTGCTGGACAAAAGCAGAGCCCCCCTCTTGTTACTGAACACCGAACCACAAGTCCTGCAATGTTGACCACAGCTACTAAACAATCACTGCAGCCCAAGACGTTTTTTACAAATACTGAGAGGATAAACCAAAGATATTTGGGACACTCACCGCTGTCGGCCTTCATCAGGGGAGCAGAGGTGGTGGGTTTTGGGCTTTTCTCGGAGTAGAAGGAGTCCAGGTAGTCGGATGTCTGGTAGGTACCTGAGTCAATGGGGTATTCATACTCCTCTGGATCTCTCACAGCCATTGCCTCCACATTGTCTTCTTCCTCTGCTTCGTCTTCCTCTTCATCAACTTCGTCTTCCCCTTCTTCTTCCTCTTCCTCCTCCTCCTCCTCTACCACTTCATCATCCTCCTCCTCCATATCGGCCTCGTCCACGTCGGTGTCCGGAGACGGGCTCAGGGTGGGGGCTGCCACTTTGGTGCTGAGGAGAAGCGGGTGGTTTTTACTCTGATGCCCATTAACAAACAACCGCTAATCCTCTCTCATCTTGTGTTGGCAAGATGAATCATCTTACACAATGTTGAGCTTCCCGCTGGTGTGAGATGAGAGTGTCTGAGGACCAGCGAGGATGTCTCTTTCCTCCATCTCTCCTTTACCACTGGAAGTCCCTCGGCCTGGGCAGCACACATACTCGACCCCCCGGAAATGGTCTGCGCATGGCAACAGCATCCCGTAGCTATGGAGCTCCAAATTTTCTGCAGCGCATTCCTTGATTTAACAAAGTTTAAAAACACAATGTATGAGATTAAGAGGAATAATTGTTACCGCTTAAACTTGGTCACCACTGTCCTCTGTGAAAACCACCTCATACCTCGGAGTAACTATAACAAAAAGAGTTGATGATCTGTATAAAGCCAACTATATTAAAGTAGATGAAGACACTGTGAGGGATATGGAGAGGTGGGCTGTCCTCCCTCTTCCTATCAGAGACAGAATTATGGCAAAACATCTAATTGAACAGATGGACGTTGTCACCCGATTGACATTGTGGGATGTTTTTGCCAGAAAAATAAATGAACCTGGGTAAAAATGGAATAATTACAACCATAATAGGAGTTTACAACTCAAAGAAATACAGAATCATATCAACTCATTAAGTCTAGGAAAAACAACATGTTATGTAAAACTAAATGGGAAGAGAATATCAAATAGGATTAATGGTTAAATATTTAGAGGACACCATAGTCCTCAACATCCTCACAAACTTGGAGGGAACATTGTTGGACAAATGTAATAAGATTCTTTATCACCCCCCCAAATTACAAACAGGAGTCTGTCCATTTCTCAACCATGTTGGTGCAGGAATTGTGGGGCAGTAAATGTAAACCACTCCCATGTATTTTGGCTTTGTCCGGAAATTGTAGAATTCTGGGAAAATGTCCAAAGAATCATTGTCAGAATGATGACATACCCAAGTCATGTATGTTTCTCTACCTAATATGACAGAAGATGTTGTGTTGAGAGAAGACACGTATCTGCTGAAAATTTTGCTAGCAGCTAGTAAAAAGGCCATTACAATGAGATGGCACAGGACGGAACCACCATCACTGGAGGTATGGAGACTGTTAACCCACAAAATAAGAACCAAAGAGGAACAATATCGTGACAATTGGGAAAAATGGAACATGTTCAACAAATCAACGACAGGAACGTACAGGAGAAGAGCACATGAACGTTGTATCAGGATTCATCTCGTTATTGAGAGGACAGGCTCTTTACCGGGTAGCTGTACTGATAAAGTGTGACTAACAATATGCTAACTGTTTATCGGCCCTCCTCACCTCTTTAGCGATGTTGTGCCAGTACACGTAACTCTTGCATGCATCCATCTGCTCCTTGTGGAGGAAACGGCATCGGTCGGGCACCAGCAGGGCCTCGCTCACATACTCGCCCTCTACAGTCGGATTGAAGAAAAGTTAAGGTCAGTGGAAAAAGGATTGCAAGCAGTGGGAGTATTTTAAGTTACAATAACAGAAATTGATAATATGAATGAACAGAAACTGTGATAAAAACAAGGCCTGGAACAAGTTTGATCGTGGACCAGAATAGTCAGATTGGGATGGTTTCCTTAGTAAGGAACTAACAGAAAGTACTGATGTGTAATGTATAAGCATTTGAGAACAAATACAGAAATTACTCATTTTTTAGTCCATCCATTATATTTTACACTTGTTCACATCGCAGTGGAATAACATGTTGGTCTTTTGGGCTCAGGGACACTGATGGACAGTACGGACTGTAGTCATCAAACCAGCTACAGACAGTTCTACTGGGCCGTCGATAATTCATTCATTCATGTTAGCCTCTCTGGCCCTCTAGTGGCTGACAGCAGACGTTGCCTCTCTGCAAAGACGTTGACCTGCACAACCTGCATTGTCTCGCTGCCTAACTAGTGTTGTAATAGTAGGACAATCAGAAATCTCCGGTACAGGAGGAGATACAACATGATTTTGATTTAAATCAGTGTTCAGTCTTATTAGACACTAAAAGGATGATTATAGTTTCAGGCATGAGATAATTCATTAGTTAATGCTTGAGTCCTTGTAGTGTACTGAGCCCGTCTAGTGTTTTTAAAGAATCTGCTACAGCTGAAAAGGATGTTGTAACCTGAAATATTTCATAAATAGATATGTGGCCTGGCCTATTTTGTGGTACGCAATAAAACAAAAGAGCTCAGGATATATCAAAATATGCTGAGCTGCCTTTTTATCCACTTACATGAGAAGATTAATACCACCGAATAAAATAAATGTGACTTGTTACCGTTTGTTTCACTTTTTCGAAACACAAATAGTCTTTCTGCCAAGCTAAGTGGTGTCCATTTAAAGCCAACTCAAGAAAGCTAATCTGGCTTTTTGGCAAACTGTTCAATAGAAAGGGCCTGTTGGCCTTGTGGTCAACGACTTATAACTGCAATTTTCCATGTTTGAAGCTGGCTCCCTGACTCTCTAAAAAAAACCATACCTTTATGTTACAGATGGCATGACCTCAAGCACCCAGTCAATCCAATGTGATTATCTAACGGCGGTGTAGGTGCTGGTCTTACCTAGGCAGCGGTAGGGCAGTACTATGAAGGAGTGTGTCTGGCAGTGGCCCCAACCTTTCTTACACCAGGAGGGGATGATGACAGGTCTTTTTGACTCCTCTATGTGGGAGATTGGGAGTGCTGGGTACATCTGGACATGCAGGAACATGCAGAGACGACAGGGACGCAGACACAGATGGACGGTGTGAAGACAAGGAACATGGGTTGAGGAGGAGGTTTGGGAATTGGTTGGTAGGGTGGCAGGATCCAGGGAAAAGAGGGGGGAGAAAACAGTCATTGGGCAGAAGACTTGTAGGGGAGAGATGTATGCAACAATTGCAACAATGCAACTAACTAGTTCTACAAAGCTGTGCCCTTTGTCTGGAGTCACCTTACACATATAATCACTGAAAATGACAGTAAATATCCAATTTTGGATATAAATACTTTCAATTAGAATTGCGCACAACATGTCAAACCCCTAATGAGGTATAATAGTCTGAATGAACACTAAAATGCTTTCATCACAAATGTCAAGGAAAACAGGGAGGCCTTTGTGTAAAAGCCACCACGGACGCATAATGTGTCTGCTAATCACATCAGAGTCCTCTTAGGACTGGCTGCTCTCTGCTGCAGCAATGTCTACTTTGACCTGTAGATGGCGCTTGGTTGCCTTTACTATGGCACTTCAAACATGTATTGCTAAAGGTGGAGTCTGTGTATCGAATGTGTACCACTGACAGTAGATGTTAAAGCGTACACATATCGGGTAATAACAGGAGGAAAAGTAGATGGTGCTACTAAGGAAATATTGTAATATTCCAACAGGACACCATCACTTCACTATATATGGTTAAATATATAGATTTATGGGACAGGTGTTAGACAAACCGAATAAGGAATAAGAATGCTTATTTCCCTTGACGTCTTCCACATTTGATTTTATGTTGCATTCTTTCAAAACCAGCTCACTGCTGTTGGACGGATTGATCCGGACTGGTGTTCTTTACAGTTGTTCACGTTATTTCCCTCGCAGAGTTTGGGCACCCTACCTCCTGGCAGTAGGAAAGGATTTCGCCGGGCTCTTTGAAGCAGCCTTGGTGGCCCTGAGGATCCGGCTCCCACTGGCCCGTCTGTAGGTTCATGTGCAGGAGCTGACGGCCGCAGTACATGGCGATCTGCGGCTCCACCACCTGGGGGCTCGGCTCGCTCACCTCGGTCATGGCCAAAGCCTGGAGAGCACAGGGAGGGAGGGGGAGAGAAATGAGGAGTCGATAGAGACACGGGGCAGATCATATCGTGTTTGAAGATGATCCATGCCGGTTGGACCACGGGTAATTCTTAAATGCACTATCCAACAACCGGGGTACTGAGTGATTGTGTGAGTGCAGGATCGAAACAGAAAGGCGAGGATGTATAAAAAGGAAGGGGTGGCTAATGCATGGGAGACTTGAGCACACGTCTAATATCAATATAGGAAAACCAAAAAATTCAGGAAAAGATCCACTGGGAGGTGAATGACAAGACGTGTCAATCAGATACCTGAGTAATCCACCCGCCTGTGTGCTTCCTGTCAGCTGTGACAGCAGAGGGAGGAGGGGGGTTGGACGGTGGATGAAAAGGAAGGTATATCGCGAAAATATAGAAGACAATGTAAAAGCCTGCACCGCCCCATGCCCCTCCTACCCCCACCTCCTCGCTGCTATTATTGATCGGGGGATATGTTACCTCTGCCTGGGGGAGGGCCCAGGGGACCCCACATAGAGGCAGAGAGACGCAGCAGCTCGGGCGGAGAGTCAGGTGTTAATACAAGCTCATTGACCGATGGCCCACTTCACTACATTATCACAAGGCACAGAGACAAAGTCCAGGGAGGATTAAAGGGAAAGGGTTGGGTAGGAGAAAGATACGTTCTATGAGCTGCACAAACATGGACTTTACAAACTGTAACAGACAAAACGTGTTTTCTGAAAATGTGACGGCAACACAGCCTCAATAATTATGACAGAACGTGTCGTGTTGCCTTCTCTAGAGGTCACTAATCTCACGTAAAAAAGCTTCCTCGAAGCATCTTTTGCCGTGATGTTCACAGAACAGTACATGCGATGGTGTCTACCGTCCAAGGCGTCCCCGCGTCCTGGAGCCTGTATATAACTCGTTTCCTTTCATCTGCGCCGACAGACTGAGAAATAGACCTACTGACGACAGAAAGGACAAGAAACGCTGGGCCAATTAGAAGGGAGTTGCCCACAGGGAAGAAACGGAGTAGATTAAATATGTGAGAGTGACGCCTGATCAAAGGGAAGCCCCGCTATGCAGAGGCAGTGTTTGAAGTCCTACTTAAAATTCACACATAATAAAATAAATATATAAAACCCTTTGAGTAAATGTACAATAAATATAAAAGGCCCTCAGCAATATGATGATGCTAAGAGTTTGTGTTTCTGCATGTCCTAGCAGATTTATTACAAATTACGGATCTACTTTTAATTACTGCTGACCATTTCCTAAAGCATAGGGAGTATTTCAGATTTATATAATGCATTTCTCTTAGTTATAATCCTTATCCTCACCCCAACTAATTTTAATATTGAAGATAAATTGCAAGATGATTAGAAAAATTGATTGAGAAAGTCAATATACTACAGCATATATGAACTCTTTATTTATTATCTCTAAAAAAACAACTCAAATTGATCTTTTTGTTTGACTTATGGGTTTTCGGACAAATGCCTCAGTAAAACAATATTGTTTTGCAGCCGACTCAAAAGCTTTGGATGTCAGCACCTGCTGATAACTTCAGTGTAATTTCCCATCTGGGGCAAGTGTCAAGTGCTTGTCAATGTTCACCTCACAGGTAAATGAATGAAAACAACGGCTGCTTGGCGAAAAAGCAATCTAAAATGTAAATTATGTGTGCTTTGCCAAATTTTCAGATCTAATATTTGTAGTAAGTTCACAGACAATTCATGTTTAAATGTAAGTCATATAAATGGCTTCACGGTATCTAAAGTTCTATCCTCAAAATACAAAGTGTGATTGAGAGCGCTCAACTGAAGCTTTTTATAGCTTAAGAGTTGGAGCAGCACAATAAAATACTGCTGAGGCTGCTGAAACAGTCCGTCCACTGTAGCTGCTGAGCTGTTGTCTAAATAGATCTCTCTTTGACTCAGGGAAGGTCAGTGCTCCAAAGAGAAAAAAAAGCACTTCCGGATATTTGAGAAGATAACACGGCAGCTCCTCGTGGCCCAGCCCTCCCATTCCACCTGCTCTCCACTACTGCACTTGCAAAAAGAAAAAAAAAAATCAATGCTGAGCTACTGCAACTGTATCGCTACGTTCCCCCCAATCAATAGCAAGTCCATCAGGAGCCCGAAGCCCCGACCTGCAGCACGGCAAGGCCGCACAACCATCCTCCAGGCTGATCCGGGACCAGATCCGATCGCCCTCCAGTGAAAACCCTCGATAAGAGCTATTGTTTAAAGATGTGCACGTCACTCCTTCTCCACACGCAATTTAGCAACACAATTGATGCTAAATTACCATTAAATATAGTTTCAATTGCATCATGTCTATCATTCTTAAGCCAGAAATATAGGGAGCCTTTCATGAGATTTGGCAATGCTATTAATGCTCTGACTTATTCAAATATCTGGAATAACTGTCATGTTAGCATAATGTTGTTGAACATGCTAAATTATACCTCTTAACCATCAGCATGCTAGCATTAGGACAAAGGCGCCAGCAGGCATGGTAGATGATTCCCAGCATATTTCAATGTTACTAAGCATTATTCGAAAATTTGCAATTTAAATTTAACCAAATCAGGAGGGTTATGTCTACAGAAAGAGTAAAAATGCTTTCCTCACAATGATTTGGGGCCTTAGTAGACACATTACTGTATTCACTAAATAAAGCGGAAGGATTGGGCTTTCATTCACAGCTAAAAAAAGCTTTTGTAACAGTGCCTGAATTCCATTCTTTTGCCTCGATTAAGCGGTTTTGTCCATGTTACAATTCCCTTTGGAAAGACAGACATGAACAATGATTGGAATGCAGTTTCAATTTGGTTTCCAAATTGAGCACAGAGTGTTAAGACTGTTGTGGTGTGAGAACGGCAGTTTAATTCTCTCGGAGCACTCCCAGTCTCCACCGGGAGATGAGGCACACTGATCCAGTTGGCTTAGAAAAAAGGGATCACAATCTGTCAACAATTATGCTTCTTCTCCAGAAAAAGACAGGTTTATGACCAGAGGTTGGTACGCCAAGCGCTTTCCAACCATCCTGAAAACCACATATCAAGTTCTGGTGCCGATGAGGCAAAAACAGACAGACGGCCGAGACGCCCGACAGCTCCTCAGTGCAGAGATGCTGCATCATTTATAATGACCTGGTGATATAAAGCATTGCTTGGCTTCCTGCCTTTTCACCAGGTTCTTCGCCTCCGTTGGTTCCCTGAAATTATATTTTTGTCCTCTGATCTGCTTCTCTGTGTAACCAAACTTCACATTTGCAGAATGCATCACAAGAAACCTAATTGATCCCACAGAGACGCACTGTGCACTGTAACAGACGTTGTGGAAAAGCCGGTGCAGATAGAATAATGGTTAATTATATTTTCACATATATCCCTTTATAAAATGAGCACGTCAACTAAGAACTTAGATTTGATCTTAAAACATATGCTTCTATCAGTGCATGCCAAGGCAGTGCATTTACATGTTCTTCCAGCCTCCTCCACCCCCTTCTAATTAAATTTTCAGCACCTGTTCCACCCTTATGTTGCAGGATGACTTCATCCACTTTAATGATGCAATCTTCCGGCCCTGGGAGGCAAGCCAGAGCAGAAGAGGCTGAGTGGAGGAGCCCACCCATCATTTGTCACTTTTAACAAGTTGCTGCCAGGCTTTACATTTGAAAAGCATAACATAAATGCATCAGATGCTTCGAGTAGATGTGGTTTAATGCGTGCAGCAGGGAGCAGCACTACCAGTCAGATAGGGGCCTTTGAAATGAAAATATTTGCATTCCCTTGCACACTATTGTGCTTTGTGTTTGAGCCTGGTTTATCCTTTCATGTTTTTTTTAAATATAAAATGAATTTGTTTCCAACTTCCTTTGTTAGATCTAAACGACGTGTGACGTACTCCCTGTACACACGTGTTTCTGTTACGAGGTACACGTGTGCATCTTTGCATATGTTGCAGGGTGCGTGCTTGACACCTGATAATTAGCTAGAGACATCAGACCCCTATGGAGCTAATCCCTACCCAGCAACAGGGATCTGGGATTGGCTATCTAGCTGACAAAAACGCTGTATTGTGACAACGTAATCCAACAACAATCATCACTGAACAACTTACAGGATCTGAAGGTTCAGGCAGCAACATTTTAACATTGTACATCTTCTCTCAATACTATTACTTTTTTATTACCCTTATTTCATCCTTCTGATAGATGCATAGCTAGAAATATATATTGTTTTACTATTGAATAATGTTACCGGGCTAACTATGACTGGTGATTAATATAACATTGCAGACTGACCACTTACCATCATTTGTGCAGAGAACACACCCACGTCAAAAATAAGACTCCCTGATGCGCAAGTCATGCATGCATGAGACACGAGCCTTCCTGAGCACGTCTTTGTCCTTCTCTGCAGCACAGATGGCTGAATAGTGGGTGTCTTCCTGCTCTGCGGGCCCCTCCTTCACTCCTTCTCAATGTTGCCCTCTCTCTGCCTCCTCTCAAGGCTAAGCTCAATCCAACGCAGCCGGCCTGCTATCTCCCGTGCCCCCCCCCCCCAACAGCTTTCACACAATGCCTGACACTCCTGTTTGGCCTCCCGTTCTAGCCCAGTACTAAATGGCCAGAACGATTTGGAAACATTCATCATTGTAATCATGTTTGTTAATTATTTATAGGCTCCATCAGGCCTCTTCCTGGTGTAGCATGTAGTTATTAGAGAGCAGGAACATTAGTCTGACAGACTCTCAGGGTGCAACAGAGGGGACAAAGGAGGATAGAGCAGGTTCGCTCAGCGCATTGACGCTCATTATTATACATCTCTGACTAATGGCTAATTGAAGCCATTCGTTTTCTATTCAGGGATCCTGGGGGACATTTTTTTTCAAGCTTCCTACTGTAAACCACCGACAGCAGTAAAGTTACTTATTGAATATCAAATCTTGTTTTTGCCAAACATTACAAATAGAAGCAAAAATGTGGG